ATAAGGGGTAGGGCAGGAGTGAAAATAGGCGTGTACTACCAAATTATTGAATAGGCCAAGTTGAAACAGAACCAATGTGCCTGAGAGAAGTCATCATCTGTGTGATAATACCAAAGATCGAAAGAGTCAACATTATAGATATTAACCTCAATCCAAATGATTGAAATAAGCTCTAAGCAAAGGCAAGTAAGGCGACAACAACTAAACAGCAAATAATGAAAACAATATTAAGTGGATTGTTGTAATTTGTGGCAAAGGAGAACTTCCGGATGGAAGATTATCAAAGTTAAGCAATCAACAACCGAGAGTGGGTTTAGAGAAGACTTGGGGCCCAGCTGGTCAAAAGGTGTAACCTGGATTTGAGCTTCTTCCAAGGCTTTCGATCTTGAATACTGTCAAACACAAATAATCTTCTGATTTGGTGCAAAAAAAATAGGCATCACATGAAACCTGCAGCTAAACAAAGATGACCATCTCCTTATCTAGATACAAGTGCGAAGATAAGATTAATTGAGATGAAAAATAAAGGAAAGTGAATGTCAATTGAAGTGGGATGTTCGAACCAAATAAGTTGGAGAATATCAGAGTGTTGAGGTTGAAAGCTGTTGATGGGCTTGACAATAACATGGAGGCAAAATAGTTCAGGTTAAGTCAAAGCTATGTCCAATGGATCCCAAAAAGTATGACTTTTGGGTCTAAATGAATAATGAATATACACAAAAAGGGCCAACCCAGCAGAGCATATACTACAAAAAGGGCCAACCCAGCAGAGCACTTGGAAGCAAGGCCAATAAAAGCAGAGTAGATTAGGGAATTTCGTAATATTTTTTGTTACGTTGGCATACATGTTTTTGTACCTACTTTCATGTAATATGCAAATAGATGACCCCCTTTTTGTAAATGCACTGAAAAAATCATGATATAAAACGTAAACATATTTGCAAAAAATTGGTTTTGTAAGTGTTAATTCTTGTCTCAACTTGACAGTCTCTTAAATTTGTATAGATTGATATGTTGTTCAAATGAATATCCAACTATACTATTTCAAACAAATTGGTTCATGAGAACTTATGAAGGGATCGTTATGAAAGAAGCATAATCTCTACGTACTTATGAAACTAGTTATTAAAAAATATTTAAAAGCCGAGCAAGCAAGTAAATTTTCACTTGTTGTTCCCTATCATTATTTCTTCCTATCCTCAAGCTCTCCACTTTACAAACATGATAGGAAATGCTTGTAGAAAACAATTAACCATTGGCTGAAATTGAATTTCAGCAAAGCCACCAAGCAAATAACAAGAGAAAATATAGAGAATAATACAAACAAAACCCTTTTTATTGAAGTAGCTATGAAAGAAAGACAATATACAATTGGATTTTCAATTGGAGTGGAAGATCCAGCTCTCCCAAATCCCTAATTGCCAGCTAGATCCCACTCAACCTAAGAACAACCTAAATTCAGCAAACACAACATAACCCTAATCCCAGGGAAACAACCAACTTAAGGCAAACAACAATTTTCCAAATCCACAAACAGCCCTCCTATATTGACTTTCCCTCCTAGCCTGTCCCTTTTCTCCTATTCAAAATTGCCCTTAGGCCCCACCCAAAATGGCGGGCAATCATCCTAGGCGAAAGCTTGTTTCGTCTGAAACAAGTGGAAGCCTATTTCGCCTCAAATATGCTAGAGCCGGTCCAGGAGGGACCGGTCTAACAAACCACTAATGATATTAGTTACAAATATAATCCATCTAGAAACTTCTTTCATTAAGCCAAGATAACAATATCTTTCGTCCTTTGTCCAAAAAATTATCTAATATGGCTCAATATTTTCCAGCAACTTCAATACCGAATTTTTGTTGGATTTTAAACATTGCATCCATTCAGAGACTACTACATCCAATAAGATAAATCCATCGTTTTCAAAAATCTTAATCAGCATCAAACTCAATAGAATAACCTCCTAGAAAAACAAACCATGTGAAGAGCTTAATATAAATGAATTATGTAGAAAGATTCCTATCTTAAAAAAAAAAAAGAAAGCTCATTGCTTGGTTTCTTTATTAATGATCGTGAACTAGATTCAAATCTAGACAAAAAAGAAAAATAGTATATAATGTAAGGGATGCCATCAGTATTCATTATCATTGTAAGTGGGTGCTTCAACATATGCACAATCAATAATATTTTTTTTAATAAGTTATAGCCAAAAGAAGTGTATCCCTAAATGTGGGAAGTAATAGCATCTTAACTGTCAAGCATTTGGATTTTGATGGCTCACATAAAACAGCACCAAGATGTACAAATTTGATGAATGAATAAACATGCATAACATGCAACTATCAACAAAGCAAATATGCATATAGGCACTAGTAGTTATGTGAAAAGCTTGAAGCTCACTTGATAATCGCTTAAAATTGGATCAAAATAAAATCAATGTGTTCCATATGGCTAACTCAAAATTAGTTTGATTCAACTCAAGATCAACCAAATATGTGATATATGTGCATATATGTGTGTATTATTATATACAAATTCCTATATATTTATTCATATTGCTTAAGTATTGTATATATAGATAATATAGATCAACTAAAAAAATATTTTATAAAACTTATAAAACTGACTCGATTCAACTCAAAATTTGAATTGCAATCAACCATTTTTGCCTCATAAAGAATTTTCTATAGTCAAAATCAAAATTTTCAATTTCAAGTTTAGGTTGGCTCACTCATACTGGACCCGATATCACTCCCATATACAACTTGACAAATGACAACCTTAAGAAAATATAGCTCATTATTGCACAGAAATTTCACACCCTTGAGCCAAGCTACAATCTAAAAAGGAAATAGATACAAATAATAAAATATAGAGATGGAGCAAATGATGGGTAAGGATGGGTGTCATCTAATTGTGTAAAGCAAATTCATAAAAACAAATAACAAGCATTCAAGACAATGGCTAAAGATTGTATCTGTAGAGCATAAAATAAATTTAAGAGGCCCTTAGTGAAAATAAATAATCCAAATATTCATTTTACAATAATTCAAAAGCAGTTACTTAGAACTTGCATTAAAAAAGGTTGATTAACTGACAGAACAATATAAGACAGTAGCATCAATTGAAGACAACTGACATAAGTCATGCTTATGGTAATTTTGCATGTGCCATTACAGCAGCAATAATGTTTCAATTTTATTTCCACAGGTAAAAAATCCAGATAACACGTCAATAGCATAAGGTGTATGCATATCAAAATCATCCCTAATAGTCTAAAGTGATAACCAGAAAAAATGAATACAGGAAATAGAAAAAAATAAAAATAAAAATATGTCAATGGAAAAAAAAATCATTCTAATCAATGAATAAACATGCAAAACAAGCAACAATCTACAAAGTAAATTATGCCATTATAAGACATGGCCAATAGTTATGTGCAACACTTGAAGATCACTTGATAATCACTTGAAATTAATTAGCTAGAAATCAAAATCAATTCACTACACTCAACACAAAATCAACTGCAAATGTGATACATGCATATATATATATATATATATATACATGTGCGTGTTATCATAAGTATACATAATTGTATACATGCATTCATATTACATAACACATAAGCATCATATATATAGACAACAATCTAGCTTAACAATAAAAAAAATTATAAAACTAAAAAACTTGGCTTGAATCAACTCAAAATTCTAATTGTATTCAATCACTTCTGCTTCCACTCAAACTCGAGAAAGTCAAAATCCAAATCTTCAAATTCAACTTAAAGTTAGCTCACCCAAACTGGACTCGATATCACCACTATACATAACTTGACAGCCCTAAAAAATATTTCTCACAATGGCATAGAAAGTTTACACCATTGAGTCAAGCTACAATCTAAAAAAGGTAAAAAAAAACATTAGAAAACAAGATGCAGAGAATAATGGGTAAGAATGGGTCTCCTTTGATTGTGCAAAGCAAATTCATAGAAACAAATAACAAGCATTCAAGGCAATGGCTAAACATATATCTGTTCATCATACAAGAAATTTAAACTACCCTTACTGCACATGAGTAATCCAAATATTCATCATACAATGATTCAAAAACAGTTATTTAGACCTTGCATTAAAAAAAGAGATTAACATACAGAACAACATAAGATATTATCAATAGAAAGCAGCTGATGCAAGTCATGATTATAGTAATTTTGCATGTTCCATTACAGCAAAAATTAATGTTTCACGTTATTTTCATAGGTGAAAAATCCAAATAACATAAAGTTTATACATATCAATATCATCCATAATAATCCAAGGTCATATTCAGCAAGAAAATGAGCATAGCAGATAGAAAAAAACAAGAGAACAAAAATTTGACCGTAAAAAAAGAATCATCTTATAAATAATATTGGGAAATTTACATACATATCACTTTATTTCATGCTATTTACGTATCTAACACCCAAAATATTAATATTACAAATCTACCACTCATATACAACTTTAATCTCAAATATACCACTCATATAATTCATTTCTACCATTCATAACATCTTATAAACTTTAATATTTCATTCAATGCACCCAAATTTGTTCTATGGATGGTAGACATGTAATATTATGTTTTGGGTGTTAGATATGTGTATAGTAAAAAATAAAGCGTTATTTATGTAAATCTCCCAATAATATTATAGCAAAGCTAGAAAATGCCACTCAGTAGTGCCAAAACAAGAAACAATCTACATATCACTAAACTCAAAGCTAGAAATCTAAAAACATTGTGCATATAACACTGAAAATGCTAATGAGACCAAACATACTCAGCCAAATTCTATGCACAAAACACGCAGCCTGATCTCCGTAAAAATATGGATTAACGAAAAGAATGCAAAGTTGTCTAACATTCGACCCAAATTGTTCATATTTTTGTACCATACGTCACAACACAGTTGAATCATTAAGCAAAATATGAAAATAAAATAAAATAAAACAAACCTGCTGATTAACGGGGGCTCCACCATAAGTAACCACCACCTTAACACCAGTTTGATAAGCAAATTTCCTAGCCTCCTCATGTATCTGTGAATAAAATATGGAGCGACAGGAGTAAAAACAAGAAATGCAAAGAACAAATATTTATAGCCAATAATAACTCAAATCAGCATACTTGAACAGAAAGTTCACGGGTTGGCGATAAAATCAGAGCAAGTGGGTACACAATCCGAGCCCCTCTTGTTTTCTGTAAAGGTGGGCTCCTCATTATCCCACTTATAATAGGAAAGCAGAATGCGGCAGTCTTTCCTGATCCTGTCTGTGCGCAAGCCATCAGATCTCTTCCTGATAGTGAGATTGGGATTGCATGTCGCTGCACTGGTGTCGGCTTCACATACTTGCATCTCCTAATATTCTCATTTAAAGCCGCTCCAAGATCAATCTCAGCAAAGGTATTAGCAGGCGGAGGCACATTATCACCGCTAGTCTCAACTGGAATGTCCTCATACGCATCAAAATTGATCCCAGTGTTCTGCAGATCATCGAAAGCAGCTTCTGCTGTCTCATCCTCATGTCCAAAGGGATTGGGTTCCCGATCCCTGCCTCGGTCCCAACCACTGGTCCGGGAGTTCCACCCACCACCACCACCACCTAAGGGACGCCCACCACCGACGTTTGGGCGGCCCGCATCATGGCCACTACTGCCGCTTCCCCAGCGATTACCACCAGAAGGTACGGAGAACCCTGAAGGCTTAACAGCGGAAAAACCGCCGTCAGAGTGAGAAGGGGCCGGGGGATCTGAAGCAGCAGGACGATTACGGAGATGAGGAGGGACGTAAGAATTGCGCTCAGGGCGAGAAGTCACCGCAACACCTGCGCTGGAGGACGAGGTGGTGTTGAATCCAGAGGCCGCGCCCGCCGAGCTCTCGGCGTTCGCGACGGAATCAGCCCATGATGATCGCATAATTGGAAGGACAAACACGCTTTAAACCTAATCCCAAACACAGCCCAAAGCACGTCGTACAGATCGAGAAAACAATTCCAGTATGAAATCTAATGTATATCTCTTCTGCGAAAACACAAATCAAGCATCAAAAACACCTCGAAGAAAGACGATCTAGCATGCGAGATCTAGAACAGATCCATATCGGACGGGACTGTACCTGAAAAGAAGAAGCGTCCCACCAAGAAACCCTAGAATTGATTGATTTTCCTTCGCAATGGTCAGAGAGAAAAAAAAGAGAACAAGAGAACACAGCAGAAGAAACCCTAAAAGAAATAAGCTTTTTTGCCACCGAAAAATATCTTCGACTTGAAATAGAATCCCTCCTCGCGAAATTTAATTTAGCCCAATTAAACAATACCAGAGAGCCGTATACCACCGTCGGATTGACCATGCGGCATTTATTGACGGTTGGGATTGGATCACACGTTTTCCGATGCAGTGAGCAGGAGAACAAATTCTGAACGTAAAAAAATGTGCTATAATTACACGGACAGAAATATTGACCACATAATGGAACTTATAGAGACTTTGGACTTCAATTTCGTTGCAAGTCTTCAGCATAACTGCATTTAAATTTTAATTTTAAGTATATATAATATATTTGAAATACTTAAAATTATTGGATTGGATAAAAATTAAATATAAGAATTACTTATTTTGTCAAAAGAAAATAATTTTGAAATTTTGTATTATACAATTTTAATATATATATATATATATATATATATATATATATTTGAAATTGGCTCATTTATTATATTTTGTATGTATCTTTGAGGCATGCCGAAGATATAGCAATAAAATGTGATTTTTAATATAATATTTGAATTAAAAATTATTAGAATTAATTTTAGAACTATCTTAGCTTCGATTTCAATGAATTTATAGTTGAATTGATAGTCTCAAAGAAACTAGCCAAAAAAAAAATTAGGATATGAATCCAAATGAGCCCATATCAAACATCTTAAGAACAACATAAAATTTCATGATATTATTTGTCGTATAAAACGGTCTCCACATCTTGAATGGTTACTACAATCAAATGAGCATTTCGACAATAAAAACACTCAATTATAAAGTCACTAAAAGGAAAATATATGATAAGAGAATCAACAAGATGTGTCCAATAGAACATTTGAGTGATTTTAATTAAAATTATCAAAACATCGTTCAATAAAATTATAAATAGATATACTCTTCATATGAAGGTAGCTGAGATAATGTTCATATTACAAATCATAAAATTATAAGGTTTCATTTGGGATGACTTTCTTACTGCTTTTTAAATCAATTTTTTTAGCACGGAAAATTTTTAGTACACAAATTTTAGATGTGTTCATGTGAATAATAAAGTAGGGAGGCCATGAAATTCCATATCCTAGAAAAGGATGAAGAGGCTAGGGGGCAAAATGATAAGAAGTTGGCAAGCGACTAATGTGGTTCGAACAATTCTCTATTAAAAGAATGGGGATTAAACGACCAAAAGTCGACAAGCAAGGGTGGGAATGAGGGTAGAGTAGACCCTATCTTAAATAAAAAGGGGGCCGGGGCACTAAACAATTTGATATTGGCGGGCAATTGATGCAGTTAACCAGTTAATATAGTCTCACTTTGAAAAAAAATGGTGGGTTGAATGAATGAATAAATGTCTTACTGAATGAAGGGGTGGATCATTGGAGATAGCAAATAATTGCTTGCAAGCAATTAGGACAATCATTTTTATTGACCAAAAGGGGAGAACTGAATAATATGAATTATTGGAGTCACAAAGGTGGTCGGAACAATCCTTTTATGAAAAAGTAGAAGTGCATCACCTGAAGCTGACAAAAAAAAGGAAGTGAATGGGATAATTCCCCTTCCTTTAGAAAGGGGATTGAATGATCGAAAGTAGATGAATAGCTACATGAAGGTCACTAAGTTAATTCATTCCTTGGTTGAAGAGGGAAATTAAACAATATGAAATTGGTGGTAAGTGGATCGAGAATCTAGAATCGTCATAACGATCAACTATAAGTGGTAGTGAAAATCCTACTCCTCGAAAGGATGAATCAAAATTGACGATGAAAGGAGAATCTAGAAACAACAAATAGTCAACTGGGTCTCGAAGAGGCAAAACAAGTTTTTAAATGCTCAACATTTTGGAGCTAAGATTGCAAAAAAATAAGAAAAATTGGGTTCTATTTACATATTTTGGAGGAGACATTATAACCTTTATATGATGATGCATCAAATTAAACATTAATCATTCTTATCAACAACGGATTCACAAGATTGTGCCCTCCCCTAATAAAAAAATGAAAAATCATTCCTTTGAGCTAAATCAATTAGTCAAATCAAGCCAATGTCATATCAGGTAGCCATCTGGTGGTCGACAATGATAGTCCAACAAAAGTGTGACTGTGGTTGCTGCAAGCAACATATCTAATCAACTAACATAACATACTTTTTTTTAAGTTCCTGATGTTACAAACCCAACGAAGTTGAAAAATAGTGATTGGTTTCTGTCAGGTTGACCAGAATAATTTTGAGAGGATTTATGGAAGAAAGCATTTTGAGCCCAACATAAGTGTCGTTGATAGACCTCCATTGTTATGATGGAATGTTTGTCTTCTCAAGAGTAATTCAAATTGTAAGCAACATATCTAATCAGCTAACATAACATACTTTTTTTAAGTTCTTGATATTACAAACCCAACGAAGTTGACAAATAGTGATTGGTTTCTGTCAGATTGACTTGAGAGGATTTATGGAAGAAAGGATTTTGAGCCCAACATAAGTGTCGTTGATAGACCTCCATTGTTATGATGGAATGCTTATTTTCTCAAGAGTAATCCAAATTGTAGGCTGTGTGCCCAAAATCTAAATGGGGAGAATTTTTTTTTTCTTTTAATAAATAACAATAATAATTATCTAATATTATCTATCAATAATAAATAATACAGCATATTCTATAATTTAAAATATCAATATACACATATATTTTCATTCTCAAAAATCATATACACTACTCAGGATATACACAATCAATTCATAACTACTCTATCCTGAGAAAAAAAGAAATAGAACCTGAAGAATCCTGACCAGCCTTACACTCCTGCTCCTCTGCCATTGACCTAAAATCATTTAATCACATATAATGATCTTAAAAAGTCCAGCAGGTCACTAAAACCTATACTGAATTCAAAGCACAGTACAGGAGTAATATGCATTTCAGCAATCAAATTATAACAGTTACATTCATATGATCATTGAATCGGTGCAAAAACAAAAAAATTTATATGCAATAGTAGTAAAAACTATAAACAACAAAACACTACAATATAAAAAGCCGGTAAAGCAATAAATTAGTACGAGTGTCAAACCTATAAAACAGTCATCGTACTCATAATATCAATCAGTGAAGAAATTATATAAAGCATCCAATCAAAACTTCAGTAAAGACCGTTGAAATTAAATTACTGTAGTAAAATCATATCGAAATGTACACATGCTATTAAGTTATTTTATATTACATGCTCAATATATCATATATATATATATAGCATCAGTACAATGAATCAGTAGTATCAAATAGTATCAATATCTATATAAATAGCAATAACAATCTAGTGGCAAGAGTAGTAGAATAATATAATAACAGTAAATACGTATAGTAATAATAAATTCATACAATAATAAGAAAATTACCTCAAAAACATGCATTTTAGAAGTCACACTAAACAAGTAAGAAGTCATGACTATCACAGTGTTTTTCAGTGTTGTATCAGTATCAGTAAACAGTTGGCTCAGTAAATAGAGTTGTCACTCTTTGCCCGTCAGCACAGTATCATCTCCTTATAATTTCAAATCAATATCACGTGAATAAATATAAGATAACACCAAATCACGTTATTTAAAGGAAATCCCGCCAGCCCACCATCCTTAGGGGTGTCAAAACGGGTCAATGGGTCGAGTTTGGGTCCAATCCTAGTTGACCCGGAAATAAACAGGTCAACCCGAACTCGACCCATTTTGACATGTTTCTCAAAGCAATTTTCTAGTACAAAATTAAAATTTGGTATTAAAATGTTATTTTAAGAAACAGTTAGAAAGATCTCTCACACAGAGCTTAAAGCGGTAGAAAAGTCATCCCAAATATAGTCTTAAATAGTTCAAAAAGGAAAGAAGTAGATAAAAGAAATAACACGTTATTTTTAGAGCCTTTCATTTTGAAATAGCAAATTATTTAAAACTACAGTAAACACTTGAACTTAGTCAACATTAGATTAATAAAACTATTTAATTCAAGGTTTTAATTGCAAGCTTAATAATCATAATTGAGCTTGATACGTCACAAGAAATCATCTTAATTAAGCACGAATCTCGAAACAATTGAATTAGATATTTCCAATTAAATTTAGAAACATCCAAATTCTGATTTTACCGAATGTGTAGTCAAACGAAACGTCTTGATGAGACGAACACAATGATACAAAAAAATGGTTCAATCTGAGCCCAAATAAGCCCAAATCAAGAACCTAGAGCATAGTTAGAAACCTCCAAATATGAATTGGATGACAAAATGATCTCCAAATAATACATGCTTATAATCAAATCGGGCGGCTCAATGAGACGAATCCAACGAGCCCAAGATAATTTAGTTCTGACATCATAAAGACATTTAAAGACATAAAGGCTTGATGATGATGATCATAAAGACATTTAAATGTTGAAGAAACAACCTATGATCGAGATAATTAATGAGTAGTCCAATTAAGTGCTCTAAATTTGCTCTATATTTTCTTCATATTTGCAGGACATGTTACTCTTAAAATCTATAAATATATCCCCATTGGGAATGAAATTCAAGATATTTTTGCAATAACTTTTATATACTCCATTGGATGCATGGTCCATATTAATCCCTTGATTATAGATAATTAGTTAGGCATTTAAGATATTAATGACATTAGAATTGAACTAAATTGGGCTCATTAGATTCCTCTAATCAAGACAATCATTTTATTTTAAGCATATAATATTCAGGGATCGTATGGTCACACATAAGTATTGTGAAATTTCCAACTATATTCTTGAATGTTTCATTTAGGATAAAATATCATAACTGAAATATAGAAAATAGAGTTAGAATCCCAATTATATAACCAAAATAGGTAAAAAAAATCACCGGACACTTTAAGAAGCAATAAAAACCCAAAATTGGAAAAAAAATACCACCAATCATCTTTAAAAAAAAAAAAAAAACTAATCTTGGAATCAATAAATACAAATTCACAAATCAAATTTCGTCCTAAAATGTCCAAATTACAGAGATCTTTCGTCTCATTCCGTAGGCAAGGTTCATTGAGCCGAATTTGGAACGATCTCATCCGTTCAATAGAGCTCAGAGAAGAGATCGTCGTTACAAGCAACACCATCACCGCCGCCAAGTCCACCGCCGGTGATGCAAAGGTACATACCTCTGACCATCTAAGATTTTCACAGCCTAGACCTCGCAAGACACAAGCTCAACCTAAGGCCCATAGATGCGGCTTGTCAACCATTTTCAGATCTTGCCTAAGACCTTCCATGACTACCCAATAGGTTATACATATGTTATTATGTTGTAGAAATTATTTATAAAATATTAAATATTTGATCATGTGTCACATAAATGTATACTATATTATGTATACTTATTTTTGGGCAAAATTTGTGTTCTAATCATTTTGATTGTTTTTATGATTTTTATCAATTAGAGCTTATATTCAAAGCTTGGTGATTATTAAAAAAAATGTCAATCACAAATGCTAATAATATATTAATGTAGCATTTAAAAATTTTTTTGTGTTGAAGAGTCAGCATGTTGATCTTGGTGATAATTTATCTTCAGACTCCTGCTGGAAACAAATGAAGATTTTTTTTTATATATAGAAAAAAATCCAATAAAATTAATTTTTTTTTTTATCAAAAGGACTTATGTAGCAACAAAATGAAGAACAAATTAAATAATAAGAAATAATTGTAAAGACAAAAATAAAAGCTCTATGATGAAATTAAAGTGGCCAAATGATTTGCTTTAGTAAGATCATAATTGCTTCTATTTCACTCTTTAAAAATAAAAAATAATAATTAAAATTGATGATGATGAAGTCATGAATTATTGCAAAAAGCCATAGCTACTAATCATCTAACAGAATTAGCGTGCAAAAGCTGTAATCCACAAGCTTACAAGGTGGATGGGGTCACCACCAATTTTTTCTTTTGTAGATATAAGTTTTGTTTGTGACGACTTTTTTATTGCTTTTTAAAGCAGCTTTTTAGTACACAAATTAAAAATTTTGTACTAAAAAGCTTCTTTAAGAAACAGTAAGAAAGTCATTAGCCATACTATAATTAAAATAACCAAAAATCAACTAGGATTCAATAATATAAAGAATCATATCAGTGAGTGAAAGAATCCCATAGCATCTTCCTTTTCATAGCACTATTCTCAGCATAATTAAGAGTAACAAATAACTTAATAATAAAAGAGAATACTAACCAGCCAAAAGGATGGAAAATTACAACCACCAATGATGATTTAAAGTTATTACAACAATGCTTTTGAGCAAAAACTATATATTTTCTTGCTAAAGGATTATCAACTAAAGAAGAGGTAGAAATTTACTCACAAGAAAATACATAAAAACAATCTTTGGATCTCCTGCAATTGCTGATTCTAGCATCCACCACTACAGCCATTAGCATTTCATGAGATAATGTTTGGAACTGGCATAGATCACTATGAATTTGTAGGGAAAGACTCCTTTTGTCTTGCTTTTATGCCCTTTGAGGTAGAATGTACATACTTATTTGTCTGTACTAATTCCACTTAATAAGTTTTTGTAAATGTCTTAAAAGAGGAAAGAGTTTTCTCCCTAAGGGGAACCAAACATGATTGGTGATTGATGGAACAAGTATTATAAGAGGGAGAGAAAACTTTACAAAAGGGAGATGAGTTCTACAACAAGGCAAGATCGGGGTATATTTCATTTAGGGTCCATTTGGAATGAATATAGTTTTTTTGTAAAATGATTATAAGGTTGTTGCCAGGAAAACAATTTTTTTGAAAGTTCCTGTAAAAAACAACTTCCTAGCACATAAATTTCTTAAAAGCATTGAAAAAATAATAGCCGAATAGAAACTATGATTGCGATATGAAAAGCAGAGTAATAAGAAAGTCATCGCAAACGAAGCCTAATCTAAGAGAAGGAGAGGATGGATCTTCACTGTCAATAAAAGAGGATACATGAATATTAAGATTATGAGTCATAGCAGGAGAAATTATTATGGGAGAAAAAAGAGACCGTCTGAGGCAAACTATTTTCTCTAGCAAATGTATGCCTTTAAACACGGACAAATTTTGATAATATTTCAAGCAAATATAACCACACATTAGATATATAAACTCTATTAGAATATTTATTAAATAAATATTTCAAGATGTAAATTTTTTTTTAAAACAAAGGAAACTTTTTATCATACATAAAAAATATATTTAAAATAAACTCAAAATTTTTAATTTAAATAATAATAGAAAATAAATATTTTTTATCGAAATCCCTTAAAGCCATCTATTTTCCATCAAATATTTAAAAAATGATACAATTATATTACTAAATGCTTAGGTTGTAAGCTAACATTAATGATTTTGACCTTGTATCTAAATACCATGAATATAAGACTAATAGATGAACAGAGAATAATGTGCTAAACAAAAACCACCAAGCTAATGAATCCAAGTATAATTCAAATAAAAATTGAAAATAATGAAAACTATTACCTGCTGGAATTTGTTCAACCAGATCAAACAAACTGCATGTTGTACAGTAATAGGCAGTATTATGATATATCATAATCACATGAAGCACAAATCACCAATAACAGTAGAAGAAACCACCATATATACAGCATAATAAAAGTACTCAAATTGTCTAGTGAAAAAAAAAAAAGGATTCAACAAACTAATCAAGGTGTAAACAGTAGTGATTATCTAAAAAGCTTAGCAGAAGTTCCTTCTCCATATTACCATATAGTTGCAGTGGATGCAATTTGCAAATTACATTACAGATATTTCATAAAAGGCCTGAAAGAGCAAAATAGCTGTTTTTCAATGCGTTCTGTTTATTCTGATATTATTATGCCAGCATCTTCTGAGAGCTGCATATTTCAACAAAATATTAACCATGTCAAACATCAATCCTGTTGATTATACTTTATAGTATAGAATTTGATGGGTTAATCAAATTTGACGAGCTAATGATGGAAAAAAGCAGCTGCAGCTGCAGAACATAAAGGATTTGAAAATACTAAACAATTGTTTGAAAAAATGAAAAGAAAAGAGTTAAACAAAAGGCCAATCCTTGCGTTTTGAAATATATTATCTGCACGGGGTACTAACATTCTGCAAGAAGGCCTACTGCTCTCGCAGGAGAAAGTAAGTGTTATTGATTCAAGTCTTCTGGATGACGGGATCAAGCATAATATACATCAACAACAACAACAACAACAACATCAAGCCTTTAACCCAATTCGTGGGGTCGGCTACATGAATCCTTTTTCTCCATTGTAAGCATAATATACATCCATGCCAAAAAATATTTTGATCTGAAGCTAGATATTTGAATCAATAAAGAGTAAAGCCACTCATCCACCTAAGCATCCTCACCTCTGAAATACTTAACTTAATATTATGTTTCGCTTTTAATGGCCAACATTCTGCACCATAAAGCATTGCAGGTCTCACTACCATCTTATAGAATTTTCCCTTAAGTTTGAGAGGGACTTTTCTATAACACAACAAGCCCAATGCATTCTTCCACTTCAACTAGCCAACTTGAATTCTACTAATAATATCACCATCAATATCACCATCACTCTGAACAATAGACCCAATATATCTAAAATGAGTGCTCTTATTAATGACTTGATCGCCCAAAGTCACAATTCCCCCACTAGATCTATTATAAATAAAATTACACAAAAAAAAATCCTCACTACACAAATAATATAGCAATTACTTCTGCATGAGTACCCAATAAAGGACACCAGCTATTAAGAAAGAAAGATATTGAATTATTGTTCTTGTTTTCTAAGTCATAACACATAGAAAAGGAGAAAAATGCTCCACTTAAGAAGCCACATAAGCGTGTCTTGATAGCTTTTTACATAAGGCGGAATTTTGAAGTAGGCGGCATTTTGAAGCCTTTCTCTTTTAAAAACAACATTTATCTATAGCTAGGAGAACCATAAAAAAAAAACATTTCTCAGCCATCTTATAAGTAATCCCAAGCATTATCAAATAAAAGAAGTCAAGCCAAGCATTATTCATTTCCTAATACCACTGGAATATTGGCAATTAAAAACATTAGCTCAACGTTTTAATAGGGAAAAAGCGCAAGCAGCTATCTTCCATATGGAATCCAAAGATAAAGCATAAATTTTCATCCCATTTATGAGCCTCTAAAGTTATCATTGTAATTGGTTTTCTTATCAGCCATGCAATTTTTAATCCAAAAGATTTTCAATAAAATTTCTGGATTCAATCCCCTGCACAAAATCGAATCAAAATTTTTTATTCAAAAGTACTCTGATTTTGATGAATTTACTCCCAGCCACGCAAATTCGTTTGCGAAGAAGAAGGCAACTTACAATGTTATCTGGTAACTGGAGAAGATTTGATGTTCTTGCCCGTCCTTGTAAATTGTAATACTTCCTTTTTTTTTTTAAAGAGTAAAGCTACTCAGTTCGAAAGGTCCTGCCCAACTCTCTCACACTAGAATAGTTTAAATGGGAAAGCAAACCATTTCTCCTCTTTTTTTTATCATAAAACCAATTTTAGGGTTATCTGTTCACCAAATTTAATTCATTTTCCTCCTCATAAAAGAAATCATAAAAAACCATTCATTCCAGATGCTCACGGCAACCCAAAAAAAAAAAAAGTCAAGTTGACATCATCGCATACTTTCCCCTAAAAAAAAATGAAAAATCAACAAAAAAAACTAAATCATATTTAAAAGAATAAGCCTTACACGATACAACCCCACGCCATGTTCCACCAAGTCCTCCGACAACCCCTTCTGACATGAATGAATGTTCTTAAACTGTCCGACGCTAAGCTTCTTCGTAATCAACCAAACATCGAAGTAGATATAATTGGAGGGCGGAAGATCAACCTTGATGGAGTCGACGTCAAACCATATGAAGAAACGGTGGACTTGGATGCCCTTGAGATCGTCGATCTCGCCATAGCGTATGACACCGGTTATCTTGGGCGAGTAATAAACCAGGTATTCGAAGTTAACGTAGCACTCTCCAGCAAGGTTTACTTCAAATTCGCCGTTACTGGCGAGGGAGAAGGAGGTGACGGTATTGGGGAGGAGGCCGGAAGGGAGACCGAATTTGGGGAGAAGTTCGTATACTGTGGTGCCGTTTGATGGAGGGGATGGCGACGTAGCTTCCGCAGAAGCGGCGTCAACGGCGCCGGCGGCGACAAGGAAGAGGAGAAGGATATTTAGAGAAGTGTCAAGCATGACTTAGCATTTAGATAGAGAGAAGAAGAAGGGGGTAGAGACTTGTAAACAAAAAGTTCAGGACTTTATGCTTATTTTACTTATTATTTTAAAAAAAAATCCACCTTTGAAAGTTACAATCCCCTTCGAATTTTTTTTTTTCTTCTTTTTATTATAAAAATATTATTTTAGCTTTATTAATGCACATGTTCATTTAAACTTCATTTAACTTTTTTACTAGTTATTAAAATAGTTTTTTATAAATATTTTTTATATTTTAAAAAGCTGCTTTAAGAAGCAGTAAAAAATTCGTCCCAAACAAAGCTTCAATCATATTTTGTGCAAACACCAGATATCATTCTGAGGTAAATCATATCACACCACGTCACCTCTTTGATGTGTATCACAGCTGTGTATCAGGTGACATGGCACACTCTAATTCGCCTCTGAACATAGAGCTATTTTTGATATCCACACAGAATAATTTCTCCTAATACGACATCACAAAATCAACTTGATCGGGCACGAATCTCGAGGCAAAAGCTAGTTGGAAACTTCAAAAATTAATTCCGAGAGCACCCGAACTCCGATTTCGGCGAGCTTATAGTCAAACTGAGCATCTCGAAAATACGAACCCAACGACACCAAGATCAACCCAATTCGAGCCCAAATGAGTTTGAATCAAGGACCCGAAGCTGTTGGAAGGTTCAAACCGCAATTTGAGTTACCAAACGATCTCCGATTTTAACTAGCTTCTACTCGAATTGAGCGGCTCGACGAGACGAATCCAACGAGTCCAAGATCGCCAAATTACAATATCATTAAGGCCTCCAAATGTCCAACGAACGGTGCACGATCCAAGCGTTCAATATCGGCCGTCCATTCAAACCACTCCCTATTCACCCATGATCTCACACCTATTTATGAGATATGCCACTCCAGAAAAACTATAAATAGAGCCCTCATTCTTCACAAGAGGAACTCAAGTGAAGAGAGAGAAGAAGAAGAGAAGGAGGAGAAGGAAGAAGCTCCTCCTCGACCACCGCCGGAGCTCTTCCCGCCACCTGAAGCGCCGGAATTCTGGCAGATTTTCGGGAAAAGCAGGGAATTTGCAAAACTTTGTAAAGTTGCTTCAAGTTGTAATCTGATCGTCCCGATTTGTGGGACGAATCAGTTTCTTGTAATTTACAGAAACACTAGTGGAATTTGTGGGACGAATCAGTTTCTGGTGTTCATTTCTCTTTTCGGTTTGTGTGCTGAATACTCGTGCAACGCTAAGACGAATTTACAAACTCTACCGCCGCGTATATTCTAGCACACAACATCTCCAATCATACAAAGGATGTTGTGTTTATTTATTTTATAAAAGTAATTGCAAATATAAATTACTTTTTAATATATAAAATAGATTATGATACGATTCTATAATCATATAATTGCATACAAATTTTAAATCCACTTCAATAAAAAAATAGTAAAAAATTTAAATTAGAAAATATATCATATATTATGATATATATTTTACATTATAATTAATTCAAAATTCAAAAATCTTAATTAATAAAAAGTATTAATGCTGATTGAGTTCAAAAATATATACATAAGTTCAATTTTTAATGATTTTATAATTGCTTAACTAAGTAAATGATTTGATTTATTCAAACAAAAATCAAACTTACCCTCTAAAATAATAAAAACTCTGTTAAAATATATTTATATATTTTATAATAAGAAATAGCTACTTTTATTATACATATTTATTATGTTATCATTATTGTTGCGTCTTGGAGTATTCATGGTGGTACAAAAATATAAAATTTAGCGTCTTAGCGTTGTACGAAAATCCAGCACGCAATCAGATAAGAGAGGGTGTAGCATTCATGAGACATTAAGATTTTTACGTGGAAAACCCCTAAAAAGGGGGAAAAACCACGGGATATAGCCCAATTTGAATGAATCCACTATTATTTGCAGTCGATTACAAATGAGGCCCTTCCTTAGGGGGGTAAGGCATTGGCTTTATGTACATTATATGAAGTACATGATGAGAATACAAAGAGTCACTATTGATGTGTTCGTTTAGTTGGAAGGATCGTAGTCAATGGGCGACGTAAGTCGGAAGGACCATAGTCAACGAGCGACGAAAGTCAGTAGGATCTTAATTGGCGGGCGACGTAAGTCGACAGGACTGTAGTCAGTGCGCGACGGAGGTCATAAAGATCATTGTCTAGCGACAGAGGTCGGAAGGACTGCGTTAGATAGAAGTCCAGCAATGGACAAAAATCCAGCATCAGATATATGTCAGTCAAAAGTCCAACAACGGGCAGAAGTCCGATGTCGGGTATAAATCTGTCGACGAGCGGAGGTCCAACGTCGGGTAGAAGTCCGATGTCAATAGACGGCCGGGGAGAACTCTGACATTAGATGGTGTTCAGGAAGAACTCCAGAGTCACTTGGAGATCGGGCAGAGTTACGGCGTCACTATAAAGTCGGGAGGAATTCCGGCATCACTTGGAAGTCAGGTGGAATTCCGGCGTCACTTGGAAGTCGGGCAGAATTCCAGCGTCTTGTGGAAGTCGAGTAGAGTTCGGACATCCCTTTGAAGTTGGACGAAATTTCGGAATCATTTGGAAGTCTGGCAGAATTTCGGCATCCCGTAGAAGTCAGGCAAAATCCCGGCGATGGTCGATGAGGAGTTTCTTCCATCCCACTCTTCTCTTCTTCTTCTTGCTTTAGTCCCCCTCTCAAGAGAAATGAGGGGCTATTTATAGTATTTTGAGGATGACATGACCCATAAATAGGGGGGAGGGGGGGAAATAAATAGGGGGGGGGGGGATAAAGGACAAATGTGGAGTGTATTGGATGGACGATCGATATTGAATCCCTTGATCATGGACCGTTCGTCAGACATTTGAAGGTCTTAATGATATCGGAATTCGACGATCTTGGGCTCATTGGATTCATCTTGTTGAGCCGCTTCATTCGACTATAAGCATGTCATATTTGGAAACTGTTTGGTAATCCAAATTATGGATTGAACCTTCAGGCCTGGTCATGGAAAGAGGAGGGGGTGAGGTAGCCGGCGGCCAGGGGTGAGAGAGGGATGGAATCCGGCAGCCAAACGAAGATAAGGAGGAGGAAGAATATGAATATGACTATGATGAACAATAAGAAGGAACAAAACAAAAACAAAGAAAGAAGATAAAAACCGCGAGCCTTGGACTCTTCCAAAGACTGACTTGTGATTCTTTGCCCTTCTCTAAGGGACTTCAAGTCACGAGCCCGGACCTATCCTGCGGATGGTGAAAACTCTGATTCCTTCCCATAGGAATCTCACTATCGTCCTCTCAAAAGAACAAAAGTGTTGAACACAAATTTTTAATATCAATCATCCATCTCTATTACAATAGCTTAAGTCTCTATATATAGACCACAACATAAGAAAACTCAAAATGCAAAATTGCCCCTTGGGCTACAAGACCAACCTAGGGGCAAAACCGAAAATACATCAAATAAGAACTAAAATTCAGAAAAATAACTCATAATTGAAGATTTAAATTATAGCCGTCGATTTGCGACGCCTCCTGTGATAGATGCGCCAAATCTTCGTACCGATATCCACATCATATATTTATTTCTATATCACTTTAATATCTAAATCATATTAACATAAATACATGAAAATATATAAATAATTTTTCTTTAGGAATTGCTAGAGGTTGCAATAATTTTTATTTTTATTTTTACTTTTTTCCCCACCAAATAGAAACTACATTTCAAAGTATGAAAATTGAAATGCATTCATTTCTTTAAAATATTTTTTTTTCTAGCGAATTAAAAATTAAAATTTTGAATATAACTATCTGGTTCTTAAAAAAGGACCCTCACATATTTTCCATGAAGAATTTTTTGAATTTAAATTATTAAATTTCATCTCATTTCAATCAGATAAATATTTATAAAAAGTTAAATCCACTTCTATTTGAAAACTCATCAAATTACTTTTTTAAGGCTTTGAAATTAAATTTTTTAAATGTGAGTTTTATGCATCCATGTGATAATATGTATGTATGTACATAGGCATACATGAACACATGAATGTGTATATGCGCACGTATGCATAATGACAAATTAAATCACCATATGCACATGACAAAGGATGTCTAATGAATACTAATTCTCACATTAACAAAATTTTAATGTAATTTTCAAATTTACAGTTTTCTATTCTCTGAAAACAAAATAATTCAATTCAATTAAAATATTAAATATTAAATATAATTTAAAAGCAAGCATAGAATGACAGGTTCTGTTAATGCCCATTTGGACAGATGAAATAAAGACAATAATTTTTTTGTCGCAAGTGAAATAAATGATGGAAGCTTCCTTGCAATTGCAGGTGAAGTTGCTCTCAGCCAATCTTAAGAGTACAATGATAGGAATAAATATTAAAAACCCCTTCCAAGAGAGATTATTCTGTGTGGACACCGGACATAGTTTATCGTTCAAAAATGAATCAGATGCAATCATGTTATCCAATACCGAGTAGAGCCAAATTGCGGTACCGAGTATGAGGTGACATGACGCATTTTCATTGGGCTCTGGATGACGTTCAACGTCCGCACAGAATAATTCATCCTCTTACAGGGAATGATCAATCATTAGATATCACATACATAACAAGATTTTTATAATGATATGATGGATGGAAATTGTTAATCATTCTTCCTCATATGTGTAAGTTTTACACAGAAATTGAATGATCATTCACAGCAAATCTTGAAGCAAGATCCATATGAACAAAATAATGAACAGAAATTAATTGCAGAACCTCAAATTCATAAATAAAATCTTGCAAGTTTCCATCCTTATGGATCATCATTCTGCAGAAGCAGAAAATCAATCTCATGTGCTCGATTCAAAGAATTATACAGTGTGGAGTTTGGAAAGGAAGCAGGAAAATTTACCATATACAGACCCAAACAACAAAGAAGAAAATTTCAGCAAATTAGCTAGATCAAAAATAAATCAGACCCTAATTTGGAAATGCAACACAATAGTTGAAGAAATTGAATGAAACAAATTACAGCTAATTATACAGGGATCTGTATACAAGAGAAAATTCAGATTAGGAGCTTCCATGTGATCTTACTGATGACATAGACATTGCAGAAACTGAAGCTGTTGGGCTGTTAATGTCTCTCTCTCCATTGCCCATTCTAGCCTTTCCACTTATCTTGCTTATATTTTCTTGAGCAATATCAATAAACCAATCATCATTAGGAAGAACACTGCATTTGAGGATTCAAATTCAACTTTAGGAAGGTTTAGAATGTAAATGTTATAAATTAAGATGTTTTTCCAGTAATTATATGAGCATTATGATTTAAACATGTACAAAGAAGGGCTTCATATGAACAAATTTGTATAGGATACACATGGATAATACTTGTATCAAGAGCTCATATAGAACAGATCAATAGTATACATTTACTTTAAAATGTTTGCTTGAGACAACGAGAAGCATTAATATATAAAAAATATTGCATTTTTATACTACAAAACAACACCCAAAATTAATATTTTTCTTAAGATGAAGTTTAACTCTCATCTTGGCTTATGAAAGTTCTTACAAACTTTGGCAGTTGGCTAGTTCAATTTTTTAATGTCAGATTTTTTTTTTTCAAATCAATAATAATCATCTCTGGAAAATAAAAATCATAATATATGTAAAATAAAAGAGCAGTACACTTCCTTCCCTAAAGGCAATGGATAGTTCAACTAGAGATAAGGCGATGTAGATTAGTGTGAGGTAACTAAGGCTTCGTTTGGGATGGCTTTCTTACTGCTTCTTAAAACAACTTTTTAGTACAAAAATAAAAAATTTTGTGCTAGAAAGCTACTTTAAAAAGTAGTAAGAAAGCGCTTTTTTACTGCTTCTTAAAGCAGTTTTTTAATATAAAAATTAAAACATTTATACTAGAAAGCTGCTTTAAGAAGCGGTAATAAATCCATTCCAAATGAAGCCTAAATTTAATAGATAAAGGAAAGATCTCTATAAAATATATTTGTCATCGTATTAACTTTTGAGAAAAGGAGATTTAGGGTGCACCAACTCGAACACAACCAGTCCCATCCATCTAAATAGGAATGCAATGAGCAGTGTTAAGAGGTGATTGGTGAGGCAGTGCCTCTTAGGAAAACTTTTTCAGGCAAGATGAAAAAAGGGAAGCCTTCTGCTGCACGTAAGATTCCTTCTCCCCTTATTGCCCGTCCTGCGCTCCTTCTACCCAAACGTATTTCTATAGATGCGTCATTGTACTTTCATACACTGTACTTATTCGAATAAAGTCAATTAAAATAGCACTAGGATTTCTGTGCACATGTGTATAAAGAACATAAACTTTATGGTTATCTACTGCCTTCCATTTATTATCTCTTGGAATGTGGTACTATTGATGAATTATTTTCAATGCACTGTTATTTAGAATTCTTCTGAGATGAATGTGCTGAATAATAATACACAACAATAACAACAACATCAAATCTTTGTCCCACTACGTGGGATCGGCTACGTGAATCCTATTTCACCATTGTGTCATGTTAAAAGTCAAATTCTCATTTAAATCTAATAAAGAAAGATAATTTCTAATATTTTCTAACCAAGTCTTTTTAGGTCTACCTCTACATTTCTTAACATAAGTCAAATCTAATACCTCAACTTTCCTAACCGGGTCATCAGAAGGCCTCCGTTTAATGTGACCAAACCATCTAAGGCAACTCTCCCTAATCTTATCTTTGCTACTCCAACCTTTTCACGTATATGCTCATTTCGTATCCTATCTCTAAGGTTAAAGCCACTCATCCACCTTAGCATCCTCATCTCTGCAACATAATAATCTTCATTTAAACTCTTGTGAAGCTACTGAGATGACCATTTGTATTTTAAAGAAGTTAAAATCTTTTATTTGATGGATGGCATTTAGTTAAAACTACAAAAAACTACTTATGACCAGAAAATGAAGCTGAAGCAAGCATTCATAGTATTGCTTCTCATCAAATATAGAACTTGCCTGTCAGGATCGACTCCAGTTGCAGAAAACGCAGCCATAGCTCTATCCATGATCTCTACAATAACTTGATGAACATGTCTGGATAAGTATCGACCTTGCCCAAAAAGGATAACAAACTGCATGTCCAGATAAAACTACACATAATGCGGGAAGAAAACATCAGTAGTGAATCCATCATCGATAGTCTTAGAAGAGAGATGGAACTGAATCTACCTGCTGAAGACCTAGAGGGCCAAGAGGCCTAGGCCCTTCTTCAAGATCTTCCCAAAAGTTCTGATCTTCAGAAAGCCATAATATGACGGTTTCTGTAAGTCTCATCATTAATAATGTAGAAAATCGTTCCCTTCCAATAAACATGTCTGCAGCTATGCCAGACATCCTATTCAACTTCGCATATAATTCCTGGAAAAAAGAAAATTGAAATATCAATTAAGCACCAACAATGCCAATTTCCAAATGAGCCAAATTAGTTAAATTTTCCAATAATAAAACAAATCCATATTTGACATTGTCACTATTATTAACTTAATTATTTGGGTGCGGCATTATTATAAATCCTCAACCTTCATTCATTACTGTTGAGTATCATGTATTATGAGTAATTAAATTCATAATAACATTTTTATTTTTAAAAAATGCAATCAATAAAACATTGTGAGTGGCAATGGTAGGAGCAGAAATTTCAAATGATTTCATAACTATTTCCAAGGGGGGCTTCCTAATAACAATGTGACGTGTTCTTCTTTCCTTTGGGGTAATTTGTATCCATATTCTTGTCTTTCAAATTGATTAGCCATTGGTTTTGCATAGTGAACGAAATTTTTATCAAGATATATTATGAGTTTTCTTTTAAATCATGAATTTGATTAGTTGCTAAATTTTTATATTTGTGGTGTTTTCTTGTGAAATTTCATATTTTTACTAATTGTTAAATTACCTAGGGGAATGAATAAAGCAGGTGCGTTGTCCTTATATTATAAGTGAAGCATTTTTCTTAAATTATGAATTAGCAAAATATTAACTGTAATTTCCTTTTATTTTCTTCTTGAATATAATCCTAACTAGTATTAGTAACCCTAGACCCAAAACATTCTACATTATTGAAAAAGGGAAGGTTGGAATCTCAATTGTACTATTTTCTAGTTGAATTAAATCCACTTGCAGCAGTGAACACAACTTTACAAGGCAATAAAAAAACAAGAGAAAACAGATTACCCTAAATAAAAAATTTAAAAAACTAAAAATAGCAAGAACAACATCAAGGCACATGATTTGTATATGCAATGACTATAGATTTTAGATTGCTTTACCAAGTTTATCTATGAATATTTAACGAAAAAACTACCTGTCTTAAAAGCAAGATTACTTCTGCTCATGGAAAAGAACATAAAATTGGAGTAATAGTTACCAGGAATATTAGAGAGGGAGACCACTCTGGTTCTTCATGACTATCATCCATACTAAGGTACATTTCTGCACTGAGATGTGTTTCACCATCCTCCGTGAAAATAAGATCAAGAGCATGCTGCCGGCAAAATGAATCTCTTAGTCTGTCAACACAACGCTGCAGTTTTCTTTTCCATTCCCTTTGTTCTGGTAAACGATTATGTCTGTCGCTACTTTTTTTGCGAGAATCATCAGCTCCACTGTTCTGGTACAGTGAAATGAGCTTTGTGGCTGCTCGAGGGAGCAATTCTTCAGCTAACAGAGATGCATTTGCCAGTAAAGCTAGCTGTTGTGCTTCAGTCTCTGCCAATCTAACAATTTTATTTCCAGAACCTTCCAGATTTTCCACATCTTCCATTGAGCCTGGTAAGGCATTAATTAGTAAATTTACGTAGGAATTGAATACTTTGTGAAGGCCATCCAATGTGGAGCTACCCAACTGCATACTCATAAGTGGCCCTACATCTTCAAAAAAATCCTACAAGCCAATAACACAGACAAAACATGGTAAGAAAAAAAAAAGCCCATGTAAATGAGGGAAACTTGATGTTTGGTACTGTCTTAAACCTACAATTAATAAAAATGGATAAATAAAAACGAAAGAATTGGAAGTGTCTGACACAGTCTTGTGTATGCCATCTTTTTAGTTTTAGGCTTTGTTTGGGAATTGGGATGGCTTTTTTATTGCTCTTAAATCAGCTTTTTAGCACAGAAATAAAAAATTTTTAAAAGAAAGTTGCTTTAAGAAGCAGTAAGAAAGCCGTCCCAAACGAAACCTTAGCTTGCCTTATGTTATACTTAAAATTTTATATATAAAAAAAAGACATATTTGGCTGTAAATAACAATTTTTCCTTAAAATCCTCAACAATTTAGTAATGATTATTTATTTCAGACGAATTGAATGTCATGGAAATTAAAAATTATTTAAATTGAATCAAATAATTGCTTTTAAAATAAGTGAGCACTAGAAACAATAGTTCACATAAGCAGGACCTTGTTAAAACCAAGAACCTAAATATTCATCAATTAACGTCAAGGTACAAGAGAATTTTGCGCATAGAGTACATTAAGAAGGTTCTATAGAATGGGATGCATCTCATAGAAAAGAAGTAGAAGGGAGTGTTGATTACATTCTAACAAGCAACCATGAGACCATTTGTTCATGAGAACCGGCCAAGTTTGTATGACAAGGAAACAGTTAAAGAATTAAACTAACATGGCGACCAAATAGAGAGCCCATCAGCAGAAGGAGATGGCATTAAGGAGGAGCTATAGGAGTCCTATGCAAGATGAAATTCCTTCGCCCTTCTTCGGTTGGAAAGGGAAATCTCCAACAGTAGTTGATTCAATTGTTTAGGAAAAAAAATCAACTTGCTAGAGATTGTAAAAACACATCATTAGTCATAGATTGGGTCATACTTGTAATTCTTGTTCAATTCCAAGAAAAGATGAGGTCTCAATCAAGGTCTTTTCTTGATGCTCTACAGGAAGATGAATTTTTTTTTTGCGATCGGATGGAATTATTTGCCTCCACCAGCAAAATTAGGCGAGGCAACCTTTTCAATGGGCTTCTTTGGCACTAGAATAAATATTTGATTATTTCTATCACTTCATTAACCTTGATTTTTTTTGTCAAATTCAAATCAATATAAATACTTCAATATATGATGAAAAAAGGTTGCATCAAGCTTAGTGGCTTTACCATCATGGTCAGAAAATGAGATAAAAATAACCCTAGATCTAATAAACTCAAATGACTGTGGGCAGCCATTCATGGTTTATCATTTGTGAAGCTTTGATTATTGCGAAAGTTGAAGACTTTTCTTGCATTCCCAGTCGACTTATGATATACTCTTAAGGAATTCACTTGTAGAACATACATTAATCACAAGAACTCTCTCCCTTTCATAATTTTCCTCCTGTGGTTCACCGTATTTGGTTCTTCCTCCATAATTACAGTTTCTCATAAATTTGAGATTGCAAATGTCCATTTTGGAAATTTCACATCTAGATATCCACAAGTTATATAGGCTTTAATCCAGCCATAATGACAAACTTAACCGTCCTCTCTAATTCAAATTCAAATGTCTGAGTCTACAATGATTTATGTTGGTAGTAATTTTAATGCTTCAATGTTTCAAAACACCTTTTCATTTGAATCCATGCCAAATGTATTGGGTTGGGCTATCATTTTTAGGCTTCTAATTTGACTCCACTGAATGATGCTTTTGTATATCTATAATTTCAAAATTGGTATCTAGTCCCTCCGATTTGATGCTTGCAAATGCCGCCTCATCGCCAGCTTAGTTCACTGTTGCCGTTCCACTTCATGAAGATTTTCTATTGTTGCAGGCCCTCTACCAAGTTGGAGCTCTCTCAATGTTGAGTTTCTTCTTTTAGATGTTGACACAGTCAAGACTGTAATTAGCTTCCAAAAGTTCTAATAATCATATGATTTCCTTTGACTTTTGAACATATTAATTTTGAAATCCTGCAAAACAAAATTGTTCTAAAAAAATTCTTGAAATACAATTAAAGTAACGTAATCTATGTTGATTTCTTTACTTAAAAGTCCCCTTTCCATCCTTTGATTTTTCCAAGCTTTTTAAGCCCACAATTGTCAAATAACATGGTAGAACTAAAATACTCAATGAAAAGTTTTTTTTTTTCCAATGAAAAGTAACATTAGAAAAAAAGAATTTTATTGGACACCATTTACTAATTCACCTTCAATTTATGTTGTTGGATTTATATCTCCTCTTCTAGTTGACTTCTCAAATATTTAGCTAATTCTTGTGATGTTCTAAAATTGGATGATTCTTTTTCCTTGATTGATTGCTCAATCTGATTTCCTTAGACTAGTTTTCTTAAGCTCAATTTACTTTTATGAATATAGGAGCATGTAACGTTTGTAGCTTAGAATTTCTTGTAAGCATTAAATAAAAATTACCTTGTGCGCCATCTAGGGAAATGGAAAACAAATCCTAGAAATTTCTAGTTGGCTTTAAGCATTAACAAATCATATTTGTTAGAACTCCATTATTCTCCATTTACTAAAAAGCAAGACCAGCACCCAAAAGGAAGAAATAAGATAAACTCTTGTATGCATTGATTGCATTCAATAACAAGTAGCTTTAGATGAGTAGGTAATTGTCTAAAAATGTTAGCTAATGCATCATTTCCCTCCATGCTAGAGTTTTTGCTAGAAGATCCTTTTGACCATTTATTGGGTGTTATGTGTGGAGCGGGGGGAGATAGAAAAGTAAAATATTACTTTAGTCACAAAATGGCTTGTTTTAAATAATTAGGAGTATTTTTTCTCAAAAAGTTCAAGAAAAAAGAAAAAAATGCATTGGATATGATGCCCCTGTTGTTTAATTATCATTACAAAACATATTCAAGATAATTGTCAATAAATACTCGTGGATTTAAAAATATATGCACTTCTAATTCTTAAGGTGCATAAGTATATTTGTATAAGAAAATTGATAGAAGCATACTAAAATAGCCTTAGTAGAAAAGCACAGGTTATGAACAAATTAAATGTCATCTGAGTGGAAGAGCATCTCTTACCTGAACCATCGAATTAAAACGATGTGCACTGCTTGAAAGTTTGGGCTGAACTATAGCTATTGTGTTCGTCGATCTACCAGACACACGTGTTCCAGATGAAGGTTGTGTAAAAACCCAATCATCTGCAGCTGCCAGTGCTGCTGTACTTTCTTCAATCCGCTTTAAATTAGCTTCCAATGCTTGTTCAACACTGGGCCTGAAAAGTTTCATAAGAACAGAGGAAAGAGAAAGCCCGCGAGCTTCCAGCAAAGAACAATGTCCAATGGCTATCTGAACACATTCTGCAGCAGCTCTTAGACCTCCGGCAGCTGCAGATGAGGCTAATGCATGCCTCTTTACAAGTCGTGCAAAATCCTCGGTCTGCTTAGCAGACCATGTTACAAGTTCTGATGTATATGCTGAATCATCACCGAAGACTTCCAAAGAATCATTCACAGCTTGAGCAATGGCAGAGAAAACTTGTTGTGATAGTGCAGCAGTATATGCTCCTCCATATGAAGTGCTTGTTGGATGAATGGTTTGCATGTTATATTGAAGCCTACGATAATGAGCATTTAGCAATAAACTATGGGCACGGTGTCCATCCCCAAGCCTTTTCAGAGCTGAGGCAGCTGCACGAAGCTCCACTCCACGAGTAGATGATTGGCAAGCTGCTTCAGCAAGTTGATCTGATAACTTTTGACGACATTCAATAATAGTATTTTGTAGTGACATAAGCTGAGTTGAACTCAGTGTGTGGTTCTCTTTTCCATCTGAGGCCGCCACCCGTTCTGCTTCGTCCAGGGCATCTAAGGCTTCCTCCACCCTCCTTTCAGCAAGTAAAACGTCAAGCATATCAGGAAGCTCTCGCAACCATTTTTCTAAATTTGAAGGCTCTTGATCATCAATTTTTGCTGTACTGTCTTCCGTAGAATAATCAGAATCCTCAGAAAAAGTTTCAACATGAACTCCTTCAGCTAAATTATGAATTAAAGCAGCTTGAGAGGATAGCAGATTTCTGATAGAAAGAAGTTCACCTTCTAGATCTGATATTTCCTTGGATGTCCTGTAAAAGCATTGTGCCCATATCAATTTGCAAAGAACAAACCAAAATGGAAATAAACAAAAAACATAATGCATGACATTTTTAAGAGAAAATTTTGTATCAAACCAATGTGAAATGGAAACATGACTGATAAAGTAGATAGTATCTAGACCAAATAACTATGATGGAAAGAAGAAAATATAAATGTCATATATTCTTAAAGAAAAACTTTTGTGGTCATAGTCCCTAAAAAAAAAAAAAAACACCTTGTGCACCATCTAGGGTGTACACATACATAGCACTACTTTTCAAAAAAAAAGCTTGGCAATTGTGTGACAAAAACAAGCCAAGCTGAATAGCTAAATTTCACAAGCAATAGTAAAAAAGTGTACCAAAGAACAAACTTAGTGTATGAAAAATAAGTTGCCTTGACATGCAAACTCATCATCAAAGAATTTTAATGATTAGATTACATACCTAATGAATGCTGCATAGTTAGCATAAACACTTTTGCGCATTTCTTCCGCAGAAGCCTTCTTTAGATCTTGCAAATAGGCACACATGTGCCTTATTTCCTGCAGTGGGGGTAATCCAAAAAGTAACTTAGAATCACAAGTTATCGCAAAAACAATACGACAAGCGACATGATAGTTGTAACATAGTTATAAAAAAAAAAAAAAATCTTACACAACATGTAAACTCTTGAAAAAGTTGCACAAATTGACTTGATAAATAAATAGAACTGAATTGCAGAACAATCTCTCCATAATGTTTGGATTTTCTAAGTAGAGGAATGTGAGAAAAATAAAATTTAAAAAGAGCACAGCTTGCATTATATTACATTCCTTAACTTAATGAGGAAGCTACCCAAGCAAACCACATGATCTTGCAGTTCCACTCACCGACTTGATTAAATTCCTATAAAGCCAGCCTTTGGAGAGAGAGTGAAATGAAGCAGGACAAAAGAGAAAAATAAAGATAGTTACCCTACAAGAAACAAGTGCAATGACCTATTTATGCAATAACATACGGATTCATGAGTAAATTACCTAACTAATGAGTATGAAGTGATTTTAATTCATAGCAAATTATCAGCTACTAAGATTTGATAAGATTTGATAAATGATATGCGGAGATCCTACAACTTCTCTAATCAGGAGCCTCAATTCTTGTCAGGCTTTACTTTTAATGCATCATTTCCAAGTGTAATGTATAAAAAGCACAATATAAGAACAGTTCTAAAATTGAAGTAAATGGAAAAGAAGCTTTTTTTATGACAATAGACAAAAGAAACAAAGAAGAAAAAAAATGCATGGATCCATACAACATCAAGAGTGCTTATCATTCTTGAAATATAAAGAAGAAGAAGAAAATAATTAAGGGAAATGCTCACCATCCACATGCAAGAGACACAGCCAGTGCATGCATCAAAATCATAATAAAAAACTAAACAACCTACATAAAAATAGTTCCTACTTCAAAGTTAAGAGATGCTAAAACATGCATGGGCAGCTCAACATTCCAGTTGTGCAGCTTATTTCCTAGAGCAATCACTTCCCTTTCCAGCTTAACCAATATAGAAATCAACATCAAATTATCAATGAGTCTATATGATCCCAAAATACTGACTTGGTCATCTAAATATCATCCATTCGCCATAGGAAAGCATTTAAACCTCAAGCGCACAGTAAGTATACTAAAGACCATAACTTTGTGAAATAAAATTTGTTTCCACTGATTCAATATAAACGACTACACGGAACGAATGTACTACCAAAGCAGGCGTCACAAGCTACAACACTTAAAAGGAGACCAAAAGGGTTGATTGAAAGAAAATTCGTCGTGGTTATCAAAGCATGTGCTTTGACACATAGCTCGTCTACAATTTATAAATTTTGCATTCCTATAAAATCACCCCAAGCAGAATTCTCTCTATCACCCTAACAAATTAAAACTAAACATGATTCACAAACGAAGAAGGAAGGGAAAGAGCGAGGGAACTTACCTTCTCGTTCATGCTCTGGCATTTGGACTGCATGTAGGCATCCGGATCAAAATTATCAGTTTTGAATATCTTTAGCTTATCGGAAAGCTGTACAACACTATCTTGGGATCCAGGAATCGATCCTCCAAGATGCTGGATCCCCGTGGAGCTGAGGCCAGAGGGCCCCGAAGCCCTAGATCGAGACGACTTCGCCGAAGCCATCGGCGACAGAATAAGCTAAGGGGGCTGTTTGGCAATATGATTTATGCAAAATTTGAGCAGGATTTATGTTAAATCCTGTTTAACAGGATTTATGGAACCGTTAAATCTCACAGCGAGTTAAATCCTCCGTTTTGCTCTTTTTGCTGTAAATCCCGGATTTACTAAATCCGGGAGTTTGGTGGATTTACGGGATTTGGCCGAAGAAGTGCACGAACGGAAGAAAGATATGGCCAGCAAGCTCCCGTCATCTTCGGCGAACGGCGAGGTGTGATTTCGGATCCGATCGGAAGGAATGTTATCGAAGGAGGCGAAGGCGAAGATGAACGAACAGTGTGGAAGGGGAAAGACGAACCTACCGCATCTGCGGAATCAAGCTATCAAAAAAATATGAAAATAAAATAGTAAAAAAGTTAATTAAAAAAACATAAATATAGCATAGAAATAAATTAATTTAATTTAATTAAACTAATTAAAATATAATATAATATATAAATAATGAATTACTTAAATTAATTTATCATTAATTTAAATTTCTATTATATTATTTATAAAAAAAAAATTTAAAAAATAATGAGAAAGTCATTCCAAACGAAGCTAAGATAAATTTTTGAACGATAAGAGTTAGCTTGGGAAGAAGAAACCCTGAAAGAAATCAGCTTTTGCAAGATAAATATCTTCGACTTGAAATAGAATATCACACATTTCATCTTGATGTGTTGGTTGAGAGCTTAGACTATCAACTAAGACGTCTTAGATTCAAGTCTTGTGTATGCGATGTGTGTGTGAGTCTGTCTTAATTGACCTTAATGTCAAAAAAAAAAAACTCCTCATGATTAGCACAAATTAAACAATATGAGAGAGCGATGTACCACCGTCAGATTGACCATGAGACTTTAAATGACCGTTGGATTAGTCGGCATGTTGTTCGATGCAGTGAGTAGCGGGAACTCTTTTTTTTGGACATTTAGGCCGTTTAAAACAAACACACATACGACGCATGCACAAAGACTAGAATCGAAGATCTCTCAATCGGAAGCCTAAGCTCTCAATCAACATGCCAAGATAAGCTGTGTGTAGCAACCGAAAAACATTTTCTGAACGAAGAAAATGCGTTATAATTATATGGACTTAAATCTTGACCAGATAATGGGACTTATGGTAGCCTTGCAGCAAGACTTTTGACTTATGTTGCTAGTCCTTAGCATAAGTGTATTTAAAATTTAATTAAAGTATATATAATATACTTGAAATACTTAAAATTATAGAAATTAAATATAAGAAATTTTTATCTTATAAATTTTAAATTTGTATAAAACAAATTTATAATTTTTATTTTTACTAATATACATTAATTTGGATAATGAATGTGAGTAACTCTGCACCCACAAAATGTAAAGGTGGAGTTGTTTTAACGCTATTATTTTTTATTAAATGCACTTTTTCAAGGGGAAAGAATTAATATGAATTTATTAAAAATTATATTTAATTTTTTTAATTGAAATCATATTTATATCTTTAAAAAATAAAAAGATTTTTTCATGCTTGAAATTTGAAAGTGGCACATTTACTATAATTTGTATGCATCTTTAGGACATGTCTAACATATATCAATAAAATATAATTTGCCGTGCAAATTTGAATTAAAAATTATTAAAATTAAATTTCAAATTATCTGCACTTAATGATTGAATTAAATGTCTCAAAGAAACAAGCCAAAAAAAAAGAAAGATATGAGTACAAATGAGCTCAAATCAAATAATTAAGCACAATTGAAAACTTCATAATATTATTTGCCAAATCAAATGATCTCCATATCTTGTAAAATTATTATGTGCGGTCACTAGACGACATATGGAGGCAAATCACGATGCGCAACGTCACTTTTTGATGTGTACCTGTGTTACGTACCGCTCTGTACCAGATGACGTAACATATTCTAATTCGCCTTCGAACAGTCTGATGACCACATAGAATATTCTCTCCAATATCTTAAGTGCTTCCTATAATCAAATCATCATCTCAATAATAAAATCAATCAATTATGACATCATCATGTCACTACATGGAGAATATATGATAAGAGAATCAATAAGATGTGTCCAATAGGACAATTGAGGGGTTTTAATTAACATTATCAAAATGTCATTCAATAAAACTATAAATAGACTCATTCTTCATATGAAGGGAACTCAGGTGTTTGAATCCATTCGATTTCTAAAAAGAATTACTAATCCTTAACTTTTCGACGAATACTTCATCAGTGGTTGTGAATGACTAACTTTTTCAATCCTTTCGACCTTGGTTCCGTAAGAGCAAATCAGAAAGATTGAGAAATAGAACCATCTGATTTGATTAGTTCTCCATAGCCATTACATGATCATCTTAGGGTGTTAATTGATCGAAAACTTGCATAATGTGCATATGATTTTGTCTTAATTTAGGGGTGTCAATATTTGACATGACCCGAACCCGAATCGAAAATTTCAGGTTAGGGTCAACCCGAACCCGAAACTGGTCGGGTTCGGGTTCAGCATTTCGACCCGTTTCAAAAATCGGGTCTGGTTCGGGTTAACCCTTTGGCCCGAAATTGACCCGATTTTGACCCGGCAACCCGAGATTGACCCGAAAAGAGGAGTTTGACCCGTTTTTTACCCGAAAATTAGCCATTTTTTGTTGGAAAAGGGTCATTCGGGTCGTGTCGGCTTGACCCAGACCCGAAGCAGGTCGGGTTCGGGTTGACCCGAATAGTACCGGGTCAATTTCGGGTTCGACCCGAACCCGACCTGTGACCCGAAATTGACACCCCTATCTTAATTGACCTATTAGAGAGAGCTTATAAATCCAAAAAAGCTCCATAGACCTATCCAATGATAAGCCGCCACGAACAACCACCATCACAATTTAACATGATTCATTAAGTGATTACTCAAAACAATGAATTAAAAACAACATAATCAATATGAGAATTGTGTATGTTGTCAATCATAGAACTATTTAAAAAAAAAACTAAAAAATTTAAATAATTTTGTTTTTCCTGGAGAAACTGAGGGCCACAAGAAGCCACTTTTATTAGCTAAACTGAGTAAACATGAGAGTTGCAGGTAATCCTGTGAAAGGAAATACAACATTCTTGTATAGCTCTCCTAACAATTGAAGAAAATAAATGATCAAAATTCAAAAGAGGCAAATGACTGTACAAAAACGTATGAAATTATAACATCAATGCATCAAAACAAAAATAAGGCAGCTCAGATGTCCATATCAGCAAGAGTATATGAAAGACAGATGTTCATATCAAAATAAGCAGTATTCATCAATATTTCTTGAACATTACAAGCAGAAGCATGAAATACAACATCCATCAACTTCTCAATATGATATCCAAAGCTATATATGATTAGAATTGCAGAAATGTCAAAAAACATAAGAAATTCCATATCCACGATATACATTAGGATTGCAAACTAAAAGTCTTACTTATCATAAACATTAACAAACACATATAATATAACAATACTAGAACACAACACCTTACAACTTATATTAATTAAGAGAAGAAATATACAGATGAGGCGGAAACCGTGGATAGAGAAGAAGAGGAAGAAAACCGAGACGAAATAGTAGAGGGGAAGGGGAGAAAGGAAGCTAGCTCGCAAGCTAGAACAAAACCCGCAGATTTTACATTCAAAAAATCATCACATATCGCACTAAAACTGTCACTAAACAACCCCATTTATAGGGGAGAAAAAAAGGAAAAAAAAAAAAAAATTAATGCATGGAGTTAAAACACCACCCAAACAGCCACTAAAAACTCAAAATCTGCAGCAAACAAGGACGGAAGGGACAACAATCAAGGGGAAAAAGAATCAAAACAGCAGCTAGTGGGCACACAAACCGAAGGAATAGTTGCCAAGGGGAAAACACAACAGCCAATGAACACAGAAACCGAAAATCAGCCTTGAGAAGCTCAAACAAACTGTTTGGAAATTCCAAACACCACACACAGCACCTAGGGAATTCCAAACAGCACACACAGCACCTTGATTGCATCACCAAACCAGCAGAATTCCAAGCAGGGAAGGCCAAGTATTTAATAACATCCAGAAAAAAACATGAGTCATGTTTTGCCATAAAGTTTAAAGTTACCTACTAAAATGCCTCGGCATTTCGGTATCAAAATGAACCATTTGACACAGTACACATAAGACGAATAGCAACAATCTAATGAACCTTAAAAAGCTTCTATTACACGAGGGCCTATAAACTGAAAGAGTTCTCACAATTACACATGACAAAGTTCTCTAAAACATAAAAATAGCAGAAGAATGAGCTCCATCGGGCTAAAATGTTTATTCTGTATTGAATGTATCAAACGGTCGGTAAAGTATAAAACTGTCCACAAATAGGTATAGCTAATAAAATAGACACAAAATGAATTGCTCTTTTAAACCACCTAATTCTTTGCTAACATAGTGTCCACAACAAGGCGTTATTTTGCAATATGGCGCTCCTATTTTGGTCTATCGGAGGGAACAATCTGTAGAGTTGTATAATGAGATGCATTCAAAAACTGAACGGCTGAAAAAAGAATACCTTAAACTTCAAAAGCCCAACCAGAAAATTTACACACCTGGAATTTGAAGCATGCTATTTAGCTCAAAAGATCTAAGTATACAATAGAACATTATTGCAAAATAAAAATTCTTGAAATTCAAATCCATGTGTGAAAGATGAAATTCTTGGAGCCAAATACCAATTATTCGAAAACATCCAATTAAGCAACAGCCCTGCAATGGGAACTTTTATTTGGTCAGGTGACCTGACGTAGCTCTACGTTCGGACGCCAGTAAAATAGTGCAACATGTTCTTACTCTTTACCGCGCGGCCTGACAACCCGACTCGGAACGGACCCGGGATTGCTATGTTCTCGTATTGCTAGTTATTGGTCGATTTTGCTCGGCAATAACGAGAAATACCATTCTGTGAAGACCAATGCTTGCTGGGTATTGGCCTTGACAGAGCGGTATTTCTCGTTATTGCCAAACAATACCTAGCAATACCGAGCAATACCGAACATAGAAATCCCTGGCTCCGGTCCGGGTCGGGCCATCGGGCCGCGCGGTAAAGAGTAGAACACGTGGCGACATATTATTGACGTCCGAACGTAGAGCTACGTCAGGTCACCTGACCTAATAATTGTTCCTGTAGTGTACATAGGCTTCGTTTGGTTGCTCGGTTCCTTTTGTAAATGGTAGTATTTAAAAACGTTGTTGAGAGAATGGAGGTTTGTAACGGATAAGCAGATACCAAAAAACTTTTGAAAATAGTAGAAAATTTAAGTTTTGTAAAAAGTATTTTTACAAAAAAGTAACATTCAAACAACAATCGAAAAATAATTTTACCGTTTTGAAAAACAGATGGCAGAATTAATCCGTCCAAACAAGGCCTTAATGTCCGTAATGTTATTTAGATAAAAATGGATACCATATACTACAATGTTACAGCGCAGAATATAAATTGAAAATACTATAAAAAAATTCAATACAAGAGAAATTTTCATTCACTCGAGATTTCTACTCCAATCCACTATTCTCTCTCCAGTAGAAATTACAAGTTGATGCAATGCCTAAGCAGTCAACTTTTACCGGGCAAAACGCATGGTAAACTCTGCGGCAATTTGATCATGCTTGGCTCTATCGGTTACGTACAAGCAAGCAATATTGGACATCAGAGGGTTATCTACAGAAGAAAGCAAGTGTAATCTTTAGTTGTTGAACAAAAAAAAATTCAAAGCTAAAAGTTTACGTGACGCAAGAAGAGCGGGCAAAAAAGATTACAACAACAACATCAAGCTTTTATCCCACTACGTGGGGTTGGCTACTTGAATCCTTTTCTCCATTGTGTCCTATTAAAAGTCAAATTCTCGATTAAATCTAATAAAGAAAGATAACTTCTAATACTTTATAACCAAGTATTTTTAAATCTATCTCTACCTTTCTTAACATAAGACAAATCTAATGCATCTACTTTCCTAATCGGGTCATCGGAAGGCCACCGTTTTATGTGACCAAACCATCTAAAGCGATTCTCTCTAATCTTATCTTCCATTGACGCAACTCCATCCTTTTCACGAATATGCTCATCTCTAAGGGTAAAAAAGATTATAAAATATAAATACATCTTGGCTCATCTAATAAAAAAACAAAATAAATAAATTTCAATTCAAACAAGATATGTCTTCTGTAATTTTAAATTTAAGATAATCCCATCAGATAAAAATCAAATCAAACCAAAAATAATAATTTAATTGAACCGAATCAGTCCACCCAATAGTTTCTTTTTTAAAAACGAACAAAAAACTGAATAAATAAAATAAAATAAACACTTTGATTTAGTTTAAGTGTAAGGCAATTTGATTTTGATTTTTTTTTTTTAACTTTTTGATGGTCGGATAGGGTTCATTCCAAACAATAATAGTTCGGAACAACAAAGAATTGTGCATACCTTAGAAAGATCAGAGCATGTAAGGCATGAAACAAACTAATAAAGGATAACATCAGATTTAGCTTAGCAGGTATACAGGACATACAAGGATCAGGGTTGGTGAACATTGATTTGATGGCTATCAGCACCTTTGAAATTGTCAAAGCAGGGCTCCAACCGTCCTTCAGTATATCCAGACTTACATTGCCGCTTGAATCAACATTACAGTGGTATATTCGAGTTTTGGAAACCACCTGAAACGCAGAAAGAATACAAACGATCAAAAGAAATACTCGAGCTCTTGGAAAAGTTTTATAATGGAATGTAAGCGATTAAATAATGCGAGTCAAGTGTTCTGAACTAGCGTATTAATTCACAAACATTCAAAATTATCAATTCTTTCCATGGAATATTAAAAATTTTCATATCATTATTTCAGCTTTTGTAGTTTGTCTCGGACTTCGTTTGGGACGGCTTTCTTACTGCTTCTTAAAGCAGCTTTTCAGTATAAAAAAATTAATATTTAAACTAGAAAGTTGTTTTAAGAAGCAATAAAAAAATTGTTCCAAACAAAGCCTCAGCATGCTACTGTAGAGCTATTGAATGATAGTGACTACCGCATTGGTATTATATCAATGACAACACTGACATTCTTTAGAATATCAACAAGAAAACGCTTAGATACATCCTTTTGCCCGCTTACTTCTGTGGAAGAGGTGTTATAGATTGACTTTTAGGCACGGTTTGTATTGAAGAACTTGCAAGAGAGCAAATGAAAACAAAATGGAATGGAAAATGATAAAAAAAATTGAAATTAATTTTCACCTATTTGTTTGATATAGAAGAAATGAAATAAAAAAATATATATTTATTTCTTGATTAGTTGATAAGAAACTGAGTTTGTATTTCTGTTGAGGTGACATTTCGAGTGACAGAGATGACTCAAATATAATTTTTTCCCATTTTTCACTACAGTTGAAAAATGCATTTGCTCACATTTCGTAGTTAAATTAACTTATTTATTAATTATATTAGAACCAAACAACCAATATGAAATTGTAAAGTCAAATGTACTTTATCTTCCCTTCAATTCTTTCAAATCAACATACCTTAGTTAAAAAGGGATGGGTATTAAATAGACATTGATATATAAATGTTTTACATGAATTTTATTCTATTAAGAATTAAAAAAGTGGATTATATTCTATTTAAATTAAAGCTTGACAAGTCAAAATGTGACATGTGAAAGAGCATTTAACATAACGACAAGAGTACAATTTGTGAAAATGAGTAATATAACTTTGAAATATAAAATACAAGCATTCTTCCGAAATATTCATGAAAAGAAAATGTTTGAAATAACTCGTACATAAATATGTAAGTATAATATGCAAATTTGCTAACTAAAAAAAGTATTCTAATATCATATGTTCAGCTCATCTGATTTTAAATGGTCCTGCGAACAAAATTCCCAAAAAAAGAAAATTATCAAGCTAGCAAATATTAATCTTGATAAAGAGACTGTATTTCCATTACATGAAGATTTGCCATCCGATTCACATGTATCCAAATAGTTTATTAGAAACACTGAATAATGGGTTAGGAAAAAAAACTTCAACAGTAAATTTTTTTTTTTTGGGTGATTAGACTTAGGCTTCTTTTGGAACAGTTTTCTTACTGCTTTACTTTTCAGATCACAATTATAATTTCTGTTTCGTCAAAGTTTTTTCCGCTTTTTTGAAAAAAAAAAACAAAAAACTGGGAAGCTATTTTCTTATTTTCTACAATAACTTGATGCGCCTTGGTATTAAAAATAACAATCAAATCAACGGGATTCGAACAAAATGCAAAATTTTTTATTGCTATGAAATCAAATAATAAGAAGTAAGATACAATTGATCCTCTTTCGAGAGGAGGATCTTCTCACCTAAATCATAGAAGCCGCTAGGATCCCTCACACAAGAAAACTACTGCACTGAAACATAAAATTCTGCATAAGAAAAATAAACTCTAACTTTATACTTAAATAAGCATCCTCCTTCCCTCCTAAATCAACCTTTCTTTGTAAAGTGTTTCCCTCCTCTATTTGAAATTCAATTAGGAAAGGATTTCCTAATTGATTCCCTCCTAACATAATATTTTAATTCCATGCTGGCCCCACGCCTTCAACTGACTCCCTTGCCTTGTCCGCTGGCCCCACTTGGGTCGAAATCTGCTGAACAAGGCGATTCAGTGGCTAAAACAGGGAATTGTTGCTGCAAAGTCTGACATCACTCCCATTTGACCTCATGCTCTAGTAGGCCCTTCCACATGATCAATACTTCTTTGCTTCCAGCTACTCTCGATCACACTCATTCGATCTCTAGAAAGTGTAGAGGAAGGAACATGCTCTCCTATCACTCGTCACAACTGGGGCACGAAACACATGATGGATGGTTGCCGATGGTGATAATTGTAGGCAATAAGATATAGCCCCGATGCACTCCGCTATCTTGTAGGGACCAAAATATCGGGGGATAGCTTATCATTTTGTCTTCGTGCCAGGGTTTTCTGTTTGTAGGGACGAAGCTTTAAATAAACATTGTACCCTACCTCGAATTGAATGTCCTGCCTATGTGCATTTGCATTCTTCTTTATAATTTGTTGAGGTCTCAATAAATGCCCCTTCAGCTCTCTTATCTTGTAGTTCAGTATCCGTCAGCCTCTTGAATTTCCCTCCCTGTCGGGCTCCCGAACTGCCTTCCTTTGGCATCTCCCTTTTAACTAGTATGGGCTGCACCTTAGGTGCTAAGAAAGTGGTTGTCCTACGATAAGAACCTAATCCACTGACCCCTTTACTACTCTTTTGTAGTGACTTCTTGTCCTCAATCATTTGTGCCAACTCCATCGCCTCTCCCATATCACAGGGTCTTTCCACCCGTACTGCTGCCCTCAACTCTGATTTGAGGCATTTCATAAAGCTGCTTTCCAACACTGTCTCTGATAACCGCCCTACTCGTCCTGATAGAAGCTCAAATCGTTCTCGATACTCCATCACCGTGCCAACTTATGTCAAGGCAAAGAATTGCTTATAGTAATCCCCATCCTATTGGGCTTGAAAGCACTCCAACAAGCGTTCCTTGAACTCATCCCACAAATGGATTGGGTATCTCATCTCTCGCCATTGGTACCTTGCTAGTGCCTTCCCCTAAAGACAGAGCGGCGGCCATCATTCTCTCATATTCTGTCAACCCGTTTCCTGTAAAATATCTCTCCACCCTATATATCCACCCATGTGCGTCTGCCCCTTCAAATATAGACATTTTCAGCTTCCTAATCTTCCAAAGTCCCCTTTAGCCCCCCAGCCTCCCATGGCGCGAGCATTGAGGCCCCTCCGCAGTTCCCTTTCCTCCCTTCTCCATTCACATCCCCTCCTTCCTCCAAATTCAGCCCTCCTATTTTCTTCTTCCCATTCTCTCCTTCCCACATACTCCCTACCCATCCCCTCTATCATAAGAGGATCCATGTGGGGTATTTCCTCCTCTCCTAAAATTTCCATCTCCCCATCTTCCCTTGGCATGTCATCTTCTTGATTTCTACTCGCTTATGTTGGAACCATTTTGGTATGAATCTCCAACATCTGTTTCATAATCTTCTCAATTTTCCCAAACTTTCATTCTATCACTAAAATACGTTCATTCATTGACCCAATATCCGCTCGTAGTTGCCCTACTTCCCCTCCAACGTCTCAACTCTTTTTCCAGCTATTGGTACCCTGATCAAGGTTTTCTCGGCGAAAAACAATAACCTTTGACGTTGCTCTGGCTTCCAAACAACAAACTTTAACGGACAAAAAGGAAAACCGCAACAGAACTTAGCCACCAAAATCCAAATTTTGGTTCAAGAAAGTGCTATGATACCAATTTGATGCGCCTTGGTATAAAAAATAGCAATCAAATCAACGGGATTTGAAGAAAACACGGATTTTTTTATTGCTATGAAATCAAATAGCAAGAAGAAATATACAATTAATCCTCTTTTGAGAAGAGGATCTTCTCTCCCAAACCTAGACGCCGCTAGAATCCCTCATACAATAAAACTCAACACTCAAACACAAAATTCTGCATAAGAAAAATAAACTCTAACTTTAGACTTAAATAAGCTTCCTCTTCTAAATCAGCCCTTATTCCTAAAGTGTTTCCCTCCTTTATTTGAAATTCAATTAGGGAAAGGACTTCCTAATTGATTCCCTCCTAACATAATGTTTTAATTGACAACAACCGGCAAGGATGACGACAACTAAGTCACTGAGAAAAAGCCAGCCAGTAAGACACCGATGTTGAGGGTGTGGAGAACGAAAACATGAAGGAAATCAAACACAAAAGTTAACTACAAGTCAAAAGTTTTTCGTTGAAGTCAGGAAAAGAAGAGAACCGTCAAGGTTCTTCTTCACACTTCCATTGCTATATTCGGCCGATCTCCATTGAAGTGCAATTTTGAGTAAGCCAAACAATCTGATGGACCTTGATTTGTAATTTTCGGAATCCAAGCAAAACAGCCCAAAAACGATGGAAAAATGCGAAATTTCTTGGATGAAAACACTCACAAACACTTCAATAACTTGAATATTAAAAGACTTACAAGTTTCCACGGATACAATGCTCTCAATTCGAGAAGAGAAGCTTTCTCCCAAGCCCTAGAGAAAAAGAAAACTAAAACAGCCACCAAAATGAGATCCCTCCAAAAAGCCACCCTAACTCACTTTTAACTTTCACATGAACCCCTCAAATCCCCTCATTACCCCTAGGGCAAACACCACAACCTTTCTCTTCAATTTGGTGGGCCCAAGGGGCCCACCCGAGAGCTTTCCCCCCCTCGGCTTGTCCGCCCAGGCAGGCGGGTTCTCCGCCTGCAGTAAGTGAGAACCGGCCCTTTAAGGGCCGGTGTTGCTATGGACCGAACCGGTCCATCACAATCTTAGTTCTAAACCCTAAATTATTATGCAAATTGTTCTTAATATTCTTTTTTATTTTGGATTAAAAAAATACCTTTTATTGATTGATACGAAATTAATTGTATAAAATTGTTCGAACATTGTGTTTTTCTCTTGTGCAACGAGCATTGCAAGTTTTTTGTGTCGAATAGGATTCTATTTTTAGACGCTAAACTATTGCTGCACTCCTGATCCATCTTGTCTGCTTTAAAGTTTTTCAGAATAAATTCTTCTTTTGGATTCTATGAATGAGGGATCCTAACAGCACGGGTCAAAATAACTTGGTAGATTATCTTTTCATATATTTGAACAAGGGATTAATGAAAGATGCTTGAATCTGTGAATGTAGAATTGCTGTAGGGTTTGGATGACGCCTCCATGATCTCCTCTGATGGCCTAAACAATCACTCCATATAGTAATGATTCCTTACAGAATTTTTCATCGTTTCTATCGATAGGATGATGACAGATGATGTTAATGTACAGTTGAGGAGATGGATCTCGTTGCAGCGATTAAAGACGGCCGATGAGTTGAGTTGGAGGACTATAATCTTGAAATTGACTCAGTCATGAGACCTGAATATCCTTAATTGTTAAAGATGACCCACACATAATGACATAATTAAAAAAAAAAATAGAATGAGCGAGAGACAAAAATTTTTACTTGAAAAACTTAGAAAGAAAAAAATCCTAAGGCAATGTCCAGTTGAAATAACTTCTACTGACAAAAGGTATAAGTTATAAAAGCCACCTTCCTCGAAATGACACTGAAAGGTTAGGAGGGCTACTATGGATGGCTGTGACACAATTCTCCTTCCATAACTAGATATGACATGATCTAAAGGTAACGTAGATAGGTCATAGAGGCCACTAAGGATGGTATGATCAATCCTTTCCTTGCAGCAAGGCAACATATGATGTTTATAGAGGGCATTGAAGACGATCGGATAAATATTGCTTGGAAGGTAGAGATGATGTGACCTAAAGGCAGAGAAGGGTATCCAGATGTGTTCATGTGAATAATAATAATAATAAAAGTCTTCATGCGAATAACAACGTAGGGAGGCCATGAAAGCTTATGTACTAAAAAAGGATGAGGACAGAGGGCAAAATGATAAAAAAGTTGGAGGGGACTCATGGGATTTGAACAATTCTCTACTAAAAGAATGGGATTAAACGACCTAAAGTCGGCAAGCATTAGAGTATATCCTCTCTTAAAAAAAGGGGTACTGAACAACTTGATATTGGTGGGCAATTGAGGCAGCTAATATAGTCCCACTCCGAAAAAAAAGGGTGGATTGAATGAACCAAGGTCTTACTGGAATGAAGGGGGTGGATCATGGGATGACCTGGAGATAGCAAATAGCTACATGCAATTAGGACAACCATTCTTATAGACCAAAAGAGGAACTAGATAATATGTATGATTGGGCGACTAAACTAAACAAATTGAGATTGGCAAGTGACAAAGGTGGTCAGAATAGTCCCTCTAAAGAAAAAGTACAAGTGACTGGCCTGAAGCTGATAGAAAAATGAAGTGAAAGGGATAATTCCCCTTTCTTTAGAAGGATGATTGAATGATCCAAAGTAGATGAATAGCTGCAGGTCACTGAGAATCTGAGATAATTCATTTCTTGGTTGAAGGGGGAAAACTAGACAATTGGTGGTGAGTGGAGAATCTAAAATCATCATAACGATCAACTATTAGTAGTGGGTAGTGACAATCCTACTCCTAGATGAGGGGTGGATAGGATGAACCAAAATCAACAATGCAAGGAGAATCTAGAAACAAGAAGAAGTCAATTGGGTCTCCAAAAGGTAAAATGAGTTTTTAAATTATCAATGATTTTGGAGTTAAGATTGCAAAAAATAAGAAAAATTGAGGTCTAATTACATATTTTGAAGGAGACATTCTAACCTTTATATGGTAATGTACCGAAACATTCACCACTCTTATCAACAATGGATGCACAAGACTGTTCCCCCCCCTAATTAGAAAAAAAAAAGAACAATAATGCCTTTAAGCAAACCGGATAAGTCAAGTCGAGCCAAGGTCAGATCAGGTGGCTATATGGTGGCCGCAATGATGGTCCAATGAAAGTGTGATGGCGGTTGTTGCAAGCAACGCATCTAATCAACTAACATAACATACTTTTTTTATGCTCTTCATGTTACAAACCCAATGAAGTTGACAAATAGTGATTTATTTCTATCAGATTTCCTAGAATAATTCTAAGAGGATTCATGGAAGAAAAAAAATTTAAGCCTATCATAAGTGTCAATGATATACCTCCATTTTTATGTTGGAATGTTCTTTTCTCAAAAGTAGTCCAAATTGTAGGCACCTTGTGAATTGAATGTTTGTGGATACAAGAACTATGGTAACTTTTGATAAAGGCAAACAAATTGTTCAGAATCAGATGAAAATTGGGACGAACGTATAAAAAACCACCACAATATTGCTCACATTGAGAAAGGTGTAGTTAACTTGCACCTTAGTTGATTAGAATGAGGTCCTTGGTGTATGTTTTTTGCTAAAGATATAATTATAATCACTAAGATATATTGATTAGATGGAAAATTAGAATAATAGAAAAAATATTTAAAAGAAAAAAGACATGAATATGAAAACTATGATCGAGCATCTGATGTGTAATTTTTGTGGGATTAATATTATTGTATATTAGGCAATACTACTTGATAATAAAATAATACTAATATGATAATTTAGATATATTAGATCTATTATATAAAATAATGAGGAATGAGGAAATAGATGTTGATAAACTTCTACAAGTTAAAACTAGCTGATTAAAATTAAGAAATCTCGTGCATGTCAAGATAAAAGAAAATATAGAGAAAATTTTGTTTTATGGATTCGAGTGTTAGGCGCTAAAGAAGTCAACAAGAACAACAACAACATAAAGCTTTTATCCCACTACGTGCGGTCGGCAACATGAATTAGGCCCTAAAGAAATCATTGATAGTAAATTTGAGCATGATTGAGGATGTTAAAATAGATGCATGGCAAACCATGAATGATAATTTGAGAAATAATTGTATTAGAGGTGCGGTGGAAGTGACATCTATTGAAATTCATGTAAAAAAAAAGACTCGGAGTGAGCAATAGAAGATTAATCAAGGAGGTGAAGGGATAGATCAAAGGTAATATTAATAAAAGTTGCAAAAAAAAGTATTATGGAAAACAGGTTTAGAACCTCGTATAACACTAAGCAGTGATAAATGAAGGATTAGCGTTGATAAATCCAACCCCACATGATGGGTAGAAGGTAAATGTTAATGAATGTGTAAGAAAATATTTGTGATAAAGCAAATGAAGATTTCTACATTCAGGACCTTACAAATTGCACTCCATCTCAACTAAATGCTATATATATTTGACCAAAAAAGAAGAAATCAAAGCAAGAAATATCTGCATGCAGCTACAGATGCATGCAGGCAACAGTAGAATGCCTGGTAATGAAGGAACACCAGGTAAACAGAATAAATATCACATAATTGAAGAGACAAGTTAAATGCAAGTAAAAGAATCTGTGTTCCCTGCTCCTACATGTGTGTATCCATTCCTTTCCGACTTGCCTCATTGAGCAAACTTTTTGAAGGGTCAATTCTGTAGCAGTTTTCAAGTTATAACAATACACCACTGAGGCTAGCCAATAGTCAGCAGGTGGACTAGCATGTCGAGAAAGGTGTAATTTTCCTGATACAACCAACTAGGTTTGACTTATAGAAAGCAGAGAACAATTATGACAAATCAAATCTAATAATAAAAAGTAAATGGTTGTGTAATTCAAAGTGTATAATATCTAAAATACAATTCATAAATAACAAAGTCTGTACCTTGGGAGGTTTGAATGGATAATCACACGGAAAAGTAATGTCAAGGAAAAATATTCCATCTTCATATGGTGATCCTACAAATGAGCAGAAAAGACATAACAGCCAAGAACATCAATTTAATCGCATTCTTGAGATTAAATTTAAGAGCATTCCCAATGTTCGCTGGGTATTCTATGGTATCAGAACAAAAGAAACCAAAAAGGAAATTGAAAATTAAGAATATAGTACAAGATTACAACAAAAACAAAATAATGCGCAAGAATGACATTCACAACTCTTAATTCCTAATTCCTAAGTACATCACCAGATCAACAAAACATTAAATAACAAAAACAACATCAAGCCTTTATCCCACTGCGTGGAATCAGCAAAACATTAAAAATAAACAAAATTAAAGTTATGGAAAGGTTAGCGAGTCCATGTAAACCGATAAAATTAATTAGAAAGGCTAACATCAATCAATTAAGACTAACCTGGCGAGGACCTAATTATCACAATTTATTTTAGATGGCCTTTTACACAAGAAGTGAGTAGAACTTAAATCAACTATAGCAATTTGGTTTATTGATCGTACACAAATGTTTCCTTAAACATTTCATTAATACATTCGAACCTTCACCCAACTGTCTCTACTATGAACCCTTTGATATGTTGAACACCCTTTTATTACTTGATCAACAAAAACATACCTGATGGCCTAAGCTAAGAAGAATTTTGCAGTTGTATAGTTGCATTATAACAATAAAGATTTTTTTAATTTAAAAAAAAATAACAATAAAGGATTTTATAATATTCTTTTTCCAATTTTACAACACAAATTGAATCCTTAACAGGACTTTACAATGCCACTCACCTCACATTAGGGCCCTAATAAACTCATTGTAACACTTAAAAAGGGCTTACTCGATGCTTGAAGAACCCTCCTGAAGGTTTTAACAAGCAAATTTGAGCAAGCTAGCCTAAACTCAAAATTAAAGATTTTAATTTCAATTCGAAAGCAGAGTTTCAAACTGAATCAAGTAAAATATTCAAATTTATATGAAAAATTTAATAAAAATCAAAATTAATATTTACATAAAAATATCCAAATTATATTTATAAAAAAACATTAAAAAATATATCAAATATTAAAATCTGCATGTTTATGTGTGTATATCATATATTGAGTTAATATTAAGTTGAATAAACCTTAATTTGAATGAGTCATATTTGGGTCAGAGCATATAGATATTGATTTTAAATTGATTAAATTCCAAACAATTATCGAAAGAGTTTCCAATTTTAGACGAATTACTAGCCCTACTCTCGCATATGCATAATCCGAGGAGTGGTTAATACACACTCCTAGCTTGCATATTTATCATGACTTGAACTATAAGCTTCAGTTCATAATAGAGAGCTAACCACTACTCTGCAAAAACCTTAGATTAGACTTAGGAGATCATAATCTATTTCCACAGTAGCAAAATCTCAAATCTCTTTGCTCTTGCATAAATTGGGTCGAGTAATGAGTTGTGTTCATCAATAGAATTCACTGAAATAAACATATTTCAAGATACATTTTGCACAACAAGCATTTGTTTTACAATCCCACTTGAGAAAAATAAGTCCACATATATATATATATATATATATGTTTGTATATGTCTGTAAAACCAATCCTAGTTGTGCAAAATGTATCTTCTTTATAACTATATAAGTGTACAATATGAGTTGTCAATTTCATATATAATGCTCTAGGAGTAAAATGCACAAGCATTTCTATAAGTTACGGTGTTTTCATGTTTAATTAATTAATATGTTTTGCTTATTTCTTCTATATAACTATACAAGTGTACAAATATAATAACTATCTTATCTTTCTTCTATTTTTAGAGCTTTGCCCATTAGAGAAAGAAATTACAAGATGTCATTAAAATTTTTTTGGATTTCATCGATCAAGTTACAAGAGTTCAATGGATGTATAAGAGAAATGGTACTACAATCTATAGCTCTGTCCACCATGGAACATCAATACTATTTGGGTCGGTCTAATATAAAATGTCGTCGCAGGCAAAGTAATCCCCAACATATTGAGGTCTGGTTCCATCACTTGTGCCTCAACCATAATACAAGTCATCACAAAAACTTTTAATATGGAACCAACAACTATCACAAATCCCACCACCACAGTCGATGGCTCGATGCTACCAGCTTAACACCTACAGCATGCCCGAACTTAGTGCGATGCACCCATGGAGACATCTAGGGCTGCAAGCGAACCAAACGTTCGACGAGCTACTCGTTGTTCGGTTCAATTAAAGCTCGTTTGTGATCGTTTAATTAGCTAAACAAACAAACTTGAAAAATATTTTAAATACTCGGTTCTTAAATAAACAAACTTGAACACTAATGCGTTCGGCTCATTTATGTTCGCGAACAACATCATTTGAAGTTCGTGAACAAGCTCGACATTAAGCTCAATAAGAAGCTCGATAAAAGCTTGATTCGTGTTCGATTTTGAACTCGTGAATAAGCTAGATAAAAATAATTAATATTTGACCATAAAATTAATAAGTATAAATAATCATTGCCTTTGTTACATAGATAATTGCTTTTATTATAAATGTGTTTGTTCATATATATGTTCATGAACGTATTTGTTTGATAGTTAAAAAAAATTCATTAAATATGTTCGCAAACAAGCTCGATAAGTACTAAACGAACGAACATGAACTGAACATGAACCAAACATGAACACTCATTAATTTAAATGAACCAAACATGAACCCAAACAATAAAGCTCGAACAAACATGAACCAAACTTGAACAAGCTGATATTAAATGAACACAAACATGAACACTCACATACTCGGCTCGACTCGGTTCGTTTGCAGCCCTAGCGACATCTTCCGCCCTTCCTATTCAGGTGCAACATCATCCAGCATCCTCTAATGAGATCCACACACTCTATGCTAGAGATCTGCACAATATTGGATAGAGGAAACATACATCCATGGTTGCTTCTTTGTTCAATCGGAAGAGGTGGACAATTTCTTTGTTATTACATCTTCTAGTTTTTGTGAATTACCCTAACTGTATGGTTCTATTCTCAATTACATGTTATAATCATATTTTAATTAAAACTACCATAATAATTTCAGAATAGTAATAATTATGGTTTAATTAATTCATTTTATTAACTAATATTAATTGATATTATTTGTGATTTAATTTTATTCTATAGAATTTTTTTATGTTTCATTATTTAATTCTTGACTGATTAGTAATTATTTGAGATATTAATATATAATAATAACCATTTAATTAATCAAACTAGGGTTGGTAAAAAATTTTGATACCAGAATTTTCGTTCATTAGTTTAATACTTTACTAATAGCTAATAATTAGGATATTAATATGAAATAAGTACGATTAAGCATGATTTCACTAATCTTGTTATAATTGGGTAATAACTTTTAATTTCAACGTTAACAACAAGTATTAAAATTTTATTTGAGCTAACAGACTTAAATCATAAAAAAAGTGGCCAAATATTTTATCAAGATTTAATCGGATTTAATCTTTGTCATACCAAAAAAAATTTAAGATTTAACTACCCAAAGATTTACTAAATTCAAATCTATAGGATTTACTAAATCCTCCTTGACTTAAATCCTACACGCAGCCAAACAGCCCTGTCGGCTGCCTAGGACTGCCCTCGCATTCCTATTCCCTGGCCCAGACGGATCGATGGAACCTTCCAAATTAAACAAATTAATGTAAAGCAATTCGTCGGTGAGTTGAAGCAAATTAATTTTAATTTAAGTCGCCCATTTCTGAGCGAATTTCATGTTTCAGACAAAATTAGCACCCCTTATCGGCATTTGTCGCTCACAACTACAAATTATAGCTTTGGGTCTCAACTGAGTGAAGGAGAATAATAGCGAAGACAAATAATCGTCAACATTAAAAAGGGCAGGACTTAGAATTAAGTCTTCAAGGATTTACAAGTTACCTGGAGGACCGATGATTGTGGCGACCCAGTGGTACAAATTATCGCCTTTGGGGCCGGCGGAGCAATCCGAGGGTGGATCGGCGTTGAGCTCCATCATTTCTTTCTGAATCCTCTTCCCTGACGACGACACGGATGCGGTTGACGGCCAGGGCCGGACCCCGCTCCCGCCGACGCCGACGCCGCCGCTGCCACCGCCGCCACCAGAGTACGGGAGACTCATGGAAGATTTGGATTAAGCCCTAGATCGGCTCCCCAACCCATATTCGATTCCTCTCTCAAGCAGCGTGACTCCTTAAATGTGGAGAAAATAAGTGTGTTTCCCGTACTTGTGGGGTTGATTGCCGTTAGGCTCGTTGAGAGATTAATTAGTCTGCCAAAGTGCATCCTTCATGGGGGTGGCAACAACTAGATACACCATTTAAAAAGAAAAAAAAGATGATAAATTTATGCACTGATTATAATATTAATTATTTAATTAATTTACTTAATTATTAATATTTTTATTTATATTAATTAAATTAATCAATATAGCTTAGAGATGTCTAGGGCTCGCTGTGAATGTGACTTTCTCCCTTTCAAGCGCTTCTTTGGCCCAATCCCATAAATCCACCAAACTACATGATTTAGTAAATTCGGTATTTACGACAAAAGGAGGGAAACAGAGGATTTATTTAGGTCGAGCATAAATCCCATTTGGCAAGATTTACACTAAATCCCGCTCAAATCCGACGTAAATCATGTTGCCAAACAACCTCCAGAATTGTCAAAATGAGTCAACAAGCCGAGTTTGGGTCAACTCATAATTGCTCTAACCCTTTTAATAAACGGATCAAAAAGTAAAACTCGAATCCAACATGCTAGCAATTCAAACCTGACACGATAATCCATTTTAATTAAAAATATATTTTTATTATCATAAATTCAACATACACGATAATCATAATAATCAAAAGTTATCCCAAACGAAGCTTAAACTCCTGAATTTTATGAGAATTTTGATATAAAATTGAGGGTAGATGTCTAATATAATTTGAATTTATTATATTTTATTAGCACCTTCTCCAATAATAGTAAAAAAAGATGCCATTTATAATAATTAACTCATTAATTAATTATTTTACTAAGATTAAGCCCAATTCTTTCCCCTCATCAAAATTTTCATATATAAAAAAAAAATATTATCTCATATGTGCTACTCTCTAACTTCCAAAACTTAAATGGGTTACATAAACAGTACAAATTTAAATTCAAAATACAAATAATTAAATAAACAAGTTTTCTACAGAAGTTATAGAGGTAATGATCTCAACAAGCTTATCATGCATCCTCATCTAATGAATATTTGGCCTAAATTTCATTCACAGGCTAAACTAAGGCTTCCTTTGAGACGGCTTTTTTACTATTTTCTAACTCAATTTTTTAGTACACATTTTTTTAGTTTAAGAATTTTTCGTACTAAAAAATTGCTTTTGAAATTAGCATGAAAGTCGTCCCAAATGAATGGGGCAGTTTTCTTACTGCTTCTTAAAGTAACGTTTTAATAAAAAATATAATTTTTATATTAAAAAATTACTTTAAGAAGCAATAAGAAAGCTGTCCCAAAAGAAAACTAAATCTTAACTTCTTTTTGAGCTCATTTGTCTGCAAAACTGATACTGGTGAGTGACAAGCTAAAAGTAGAATAGTGAAAGCAATATCACAATGATTATATGCAGTGATGGAAGAAGCTGATTCTTTGTAATGCCATTGATTGGGCTCACAGGACCAAATCCTGTACTTCTGCTTGAACTGGAGTTGAGCCCCAAGCTGAGAAAAATGAAATTGCAAACAAGATAATTTTTGTGTAAGGAATAGTTAGAAGTTAATAGAAATTAATAAAAAAAAAAAATTTGAGTCAGAATTTCTTGATATAAATTTGATCAAGATGAATTTTCTGATCAGGAAAATAAGCAAAATATAAACTTACAGAAAATTTATCATGATTAGATTTAGATCAGAATATCCTAACTAAAGTGTTATCATGCAACTAATGAAAGATCATTTTGGCTTACCTCCCAGCAAAGATGCATGAGCCATGGCCTACAACAATAACAAAAAATAAAAAATATGTTAGTGCTACAAACATAATGGCCAAGTTGTGCAAGAAGGAACTGGCTTTTTGGAGCCTAAGTTTTGAGATATTATTTTGTGCGGACACCGAACGGGAAGAACCGTCTGGTTTTGTCACTGTGAACAGTAAAAAGGCAGCAAAAATAATAAAAGTGCAATGTTCTACGCTTATATTATTCACAAAGACAAACCGGACAGTTCTCTTCGTCCAGTGTCCGCACAGAATAATTCATCCTAATTTTTATATAAACAGGAGTAGGATTTCTTGCCATCTCCATTGTTGTTTTGAGTAAACAAAGTGTTTCTTAAGCTTCGTTTGGGATAATTTTCTTTTTTGCTTCTTCAAACAGCTTCTTAGTAAAAAAAAACTGCTTTAAAAAGCAAAAAAAAGCCGTCCCAAACGAAGCCTTAATCATCAAAATGAAGTTTCTTGTATCAAGATGTTGAAATTTTGATAAAGCATTAAAAATGAAAATAACAAGATCTTGATTGAAAATGAGAATAAACTGAATGAAAATGTTACTTTGATGAAATATTAAATTAGATATTTAAAGATGAAATCATTTGGAAGATAATAATGAACAATAAAATGGATAAACAAATTTAGGTTATTTGAACATATATAACAACTGAGAGAAGATGGATCCGTTATACGACTGGATAAAAAGTATTGTTAATAAACTGCTAAAAAACAGGGATGGACCTAAAGTCAAACCTCAGACAACACAACAAAAGTAAATGAAAAATGAGAATTTATAATGCCGACCATAAATAGTTAGGATAAAGTTAATGATGTCTTGATGATGATTTCTTATTTCAGAATTAATTTCATAAGGAATTTTTTTAATGAAAGAGCTTCCTTCTCTGAGAAAAGAAATTGTAAGGTGAACATAAATCCTTATTTGTGAATCATGAAATGATGGAAATCCAGTTCTGCAACCTTGATGGTGATATGGAAACGACTATTCAAGCAAATAAGCATATTTTTAGATGAAACACATGCTTTAATGGAGTTAAGAAAACTGATGTGCAGTTCAAGATAGGTGATAAAGTGTATTTGAAAATTCGACCCTATAGATAGAAGACCATAGCTCAAAAAAGGAATGAAAAGTTATCTCCATAGTAATATGGGCCTTATGAGGTTGTGGAGAGGATTGGTGTCGTAGCATATCATTTGCAGCTACCCCCTACTTCCACCATACACTCAATATTCCATGGGTCTCAGCTGAGAAAAGTTACCACAATCCATCAATGACGCTTCCAATAACTTTGACAGAAGAAATGGAGGTGATCTGGAGCCAATAGAAGTGAGAGGAGTTCGCTTGGCAATCGGATGATCTAGAGTAGTGCTGCTCGAGTGGAAAGATTTGCCCAACTATGAAGATACATGAAAACCGTGCAGGATGATTCTACAATAGTTTCCTTCGTTCCGCCTTAAGGATAAAGTGACTCTTTGGGAGAGGAGTATTGATTGACCGAGTGAGCCGGTCCAGCCAATTAACCCAGCCCCAACACGGGGGAGGCGATCTAGCTGGTGGGCGGAAAAGCCCTGTGATAACTTTTGAGAGGGGGCTCAAAGGGTGTTAATTCTACCATTAATTACTTACTATAGAAAACTAAAATTGAAAGGGACTTAGGAAGATTTACTTATATAAAGATGACAGATTTGAATTTAGATTTGGAGAGAATTAGGAAGATTTATTTAGTAAAGATGGATGATTTAAATTCAAATTTGGGAGGAAATTAGGAAGGTTTATTTAGGGTAAATTAAGCTATTTTATTTTCATTATGTGAATTGTGTTTTGTAGTAGTTTTCTTTGGAGTTGTTCCTAGTGACGCCTGGAGTTTGTGGAGAGTCGATCTACCTCTCGAATAATAGATTAACTTGTATCTTAGTTTGTTGAGCCAATATCAATAAAGTTAGCCCATAATATCATTCTTTCTCGTTGATTTTTGTTGTGTTTTCTCTTCGTTATTGCTGTTTTGGCAGTGTGGAGATCAGATTCCGATCAGGATGTTGCTTGTTTCAAATTGTGCATAGAAATGCCTCGAAAGAAAATCTCACACAAAAATGGGAAATGGAGCTTTAAGAAAGAACACAGGAAACATACTATATTAATATTATATTAAACATGTACGGTCTTTCAGGAGCCACCAAAACATTCTAAAATTTATGATATCAAGACAGCTAACTGTTGCTTTGCTCCATGTACTGCCAGCACTTGGCTTGGTATAATCTGCCAACTTGCAAGAATGTTTGATTTGGAGCAAGTACCATTTTAGCAGCTTTGCTAACTAGAAGATCTCATTCAAAAACCAACTTCACAATTACCAATCACTTGACTATTATTAGTTAGTCTAGCTATTGAATGCAAATATCTTCTTGTAATGGACATCATATAATGTTGTCCTTAACTGTCACCTTCAATTGTCAGAGTCTGTGCATTGGATGCTCACGATCAATATAGAAGATTTAGGCAGACAATCTAGCTTGAGAGACCAAATCCTCAATCTTGCTTGTTAATTCCTATTTCCTAGGAGTTCAGGCTCACACAACTCAAGCAGAGTCGAGTTAAAGCAAGTGAGAAGTGAGTGCGTCACATGCGAGTCATCGCAATGAAAATAAGCAGACTAATTTGGTGTGTGAACCAGCACATGATTCGGAGTCACAAACCAGCAGAATGTAGAATGAGTCGCGAGTAAGGGGAGTGAGTTGCAAACAAGCGGATCAAGACACGAGCAAGTGAGAAGGGCTGGGTTTTATAAGGGTTGGGGTGGGAAGTAGAAGGGAAATGCCTCTCTATCGGAAGAGATAATTCTGGTGTATTATTCACTAGAAGAAGGTGCACATATAAAAGCACAGAAGGAGAGTTTAAAAAGAAGGTAATACAAAGGTAAATATCCCCAATTAATAGGACAAAAAATGTAATAAAATTTATCTCCCTAATCTAGTAATTTTCAAAGATAACAATTTTCAATCTAATTATTTTCCTACAATAATAACTGAAACAAAAAGAGGAAACTTTGTTCACTCCCAAAATAATTTGGTGACATGACAAGCTCTACTTCAAAATTTTGCAATATTTAATATAACCGAATTCAAAAGACACATTCATGACCATTGATCAACTTGCTGATTTGATGTCAAGTCCACAGTTGGATATCAACTGCTCCAGCTTCAATTCGGTTTAGCTTCTAGCAAGTTGCCTGCTACTCACTCCATTCCAAGTGAACTCGATCTCTAGAGCCCCAATTCAACCTATCGACTTGCAAAAGATGTATTTTTTTAAAAAAGTTATACCATCAATGATTGACTTCGTTGTTTCGACTTCACAATAGTTGATTGCCCGACTATTACTTGCTAGGCTAGTTGTTGAATCTAAATTTATTCTTGTATTGCCCATTCTATATTATTTTCATTAACATGATAAAAAATGTTTAAAATGATATGCAACAAACAAGATATAATGCCTTAGGCAACACTCAACGAGAACTAATAGAAAATGAGGATTACTAAAGCTGGCTCCAAATAGTTGAGATAAGACTATAATGATGATGATAATGATTAACGACTTTATGCTATACCCGCAATGGAATAAGATGGATTAAAGAGATAGTATGACAGTAAATATCATTTTAAACATTGGTAGCTTAAAATAACTCTATATGTATTAATGCTTTGGCTTTTTTAAAACTATAAAACATTTAAGTCTTGGATCATTGAATTCATGATACTCTAAACAAAAATATTCGATGGAAGTTTTCTGGTTTAAAAATTTTCTTATCAAATCAAGATGGCTTCTTGCTAGTCTTTATTGGCTCAAATGCAGTAGACGATGATAGTAGTTTGTATAAGGAACTCACCTGAAATTAATGTACACATGAAAAGTAACAAAAACAGACTTGCAATTTGACTATTGCTAAGATGAAACTATCTGAGTGCCAAAACTAATAATTGTGTGAAATTATAGTATGAAAAGCAACGGGTATACAGGTATAGAAGTTGTTTTTTCACTGTTCTTTTTCAAACCAAAAAAAAAAAAGCATTACAACTTAACACAAGGAATTCTTCATTTTTATCATTATAACATACTGCTTCCACCATGGGCAATCCAACTACCAACAAACTTCCAACCCCTCTCCTATAATAAGAGGAGTATTAGTTTGTTAGAACATATAAAAATAATAGTAGGTGCTCATTTGGTTGTTCGGAGTAAGAAAATATGTATAACAAAATTAAAAATTACAGTATTCAATCAGTTGGTGGGTTGCAATTAAAAGCAATTAAAAATCATTAATCAATGTTTGATTTTGAACTCACAATTGCCTCAAACCCCCATCAAATGTAATGATTTCATTCACACAAAGCATAAGGAAAAACAAAAAAATATGTTTTCAATCTACATACAATAAAATGAGTAGTAAACATACAATAGAACTTCTAGGAGGAAATCTAAGAAATAATTTAAGAAATCATGCAAAAGATACTTCAAATATTGAACACAAATAAAATAAAAAAAACTTAACAAACTACTCGCAAGCATTCTAGCGACTAAAGTCTAAGAATTTCCTGCAAATGCTCTAAAGCTTTTTAATGAACGATAAACAAAATGGCATCCTGTATAAGTATGTGTACTGAGAAAAAAATGCATTTTTTATTCCCTACTAATACTACACCAAAATCCAATGAAATTATTTCATAATGTTCATAATCGATAAACACCTTTATTCCATAACTTGAATATGCATTTTGTGCCATTAAAATTCAAACTTTACTTTCACAACACTTGGAAATATAAAATGGCAAAAGATCAGAGAACTTACTGGGGTCATTTGTCGTAATTGTAGCCGTGTGGTCAAAGTTACAAGTTCCACCACTTGCTTGTGTCCTATGGTAATAGTCATTGTAAGCATACGAAGCTACAGCAACAATATTACCATCTTCATAACATGGTTTCCCAGACTGGATGGCACTACAGTTTGCACCGCCGGGGCCACAAACCCAGTCAAGTCCTCGCTTCACATCTGTCGGATCAGCACTAGAATTAGCCACACAAAAAATACCAGTCATCCCTGATAAGGCTGCGCCACTGTCAGCAACATCTACAAAGTCTAGAGCATATAGAACCGTTCTATTTGGAAAAAATAGTCCCCAGTTCTTCTCAGAAAGGGGCCCAGGCAGGAGATCTTCATTAAACAACTCATGGATGTATACATTAACTGGATTTTTCGGTTGACTGGGGGTGCCTGAATTGTTCAGTATATGCCGAACAAGGTTGGTGTTGTAAGCCAACGCATTATCCACATTAGCAAACGGTTCGTTATCCCCACCGTTCGATGGCCACCCTGAAGCCGTCACGATAATCGGAATCCCTGAGAAATTTAGTGCTTGAATGGAGAAGTAAGCAGCATCAACCATCGCATCAAACATGTTTGAATATAAGGAAAGGGTGTTGGGATCAACAATCTGATTGTCAGGATTGAGAGATCGAAAAAGAGCAAATTCAAGAGGAAAAATGCCATTTCCTTTTGTGTAACCATAATATGGCTGTGCATTTAACATGAATGAGGATCCTGTATTCTTCAAGAACTGGAGAAAATGATACATTATTGAGCTCCAAGTTGAATTGAAAGTGGCTGTGGATGGTGGAAAAGATCTAGGAATCATGTCCATGGATTGAGGGCTTGAGACTTTAACCTGAAAGTTCAGGTTAGCAGCTAGAAGAGCAGACTGGAGAAATTGCATGGCAGGAACAAGAACAAGAGCAGCATTAGGAATGGTGGTAAGAACTTCATTGCCAACTGCAATATAGGTGATGTTTGTTGCTGGAAGATAGGCTGCAACATTTCTGTTGATCCAGTCTGCTGCTGCTGATTGAGATTCCCCTACTCGTAGTAATTGGTCATTGGGAACACCAACCATAACTTCTATTCGAGTGTTTGCAAGGGCGGCGAGTATTTCATGGTCAGCATCGAATAATCGTACATGTTTGATCTTATGAGCTTCGAGGATGGACACTATGTTTGATGCTGATGGCAAATTCGAAATGTCTGTACCAATGTTAATCCCAACAAATGAACCTACATAAATAAATAGTTAAAGGAAAATCCATATGTTATCCATCCTGTAAATTACAGTGCCAAATTACGGATAGGTGATTCAAGTAATGCATGAAACAATTGGCTGGAACAATTAAAACCAAATAGTTAACATATGCAACCTTGTCAGTATTAAAGAAGAATTTTTTATCAGCGGTACTTGCTCAAAACCTCTCAAACTTCTCCCAAGAAGGAGAAATTTAAAAAGCTTTCCACGCTGGAAAGATAAGAAGATGCAGTTGAATACCTGAAACATCTGAGAACAGAAAGATGAGCAGTAGAATACTTCTTTTCCATATTCCATCAAGCAAGCGGCTGGAACCCTCTAAATCTGCAACCCGGCTAAGACAACATACAGGATGCAACTCACACATGTTCCGATATAGTGAAACTGAAAGAAACAAAGAAGCCATACATTCAAAGAAGGATCCGGTACTTCAAAACTACATAGCCTAGGCCTAAAAAAATTCCAACCTTCCTCCTATGGGGATGTCAAAATTCTCTTAGAATCATTAAAATCGCAAAACTAGTTAACAATCCAGCTTGTTTCAGGCAAAAAATTTATACTAAATAACATGTGCAACCTTCTAGAATAACACCACAAGGACTAAGGACCCAAAAGCATAAGGCAACATTACTTGAGAGCTTATTTTGCTCTTCAGAATTACAAATTCTTAAGTTATCAGCCGAAGATTTTATATCCTTTAGTGGCCAAAGTTCCTTCAAACTTCTTCGTTGAAGTTTAAGCCTAAAAATTTAATAACTCAATGTTAACATCTATTGATTATGCTTTAACAGCTAAATCAAACCTAAAAAATTAATAACTCAATCTTGTTATTTTGCTTTTTTATCTTTTTTATATTACATTTCGATTCTATCAGATCGTAAGCAAACTCAAACTTTAATACATTACACCCACCCAATTCCCATTTTCTAACTAGTCAATAGACAAACCATTGAGCCATTGATAGCATGCAATGCAGTGATTTCCTAGCGTGGAACTCCAGCCACCATGCCTGAGCTCACAAACCCTACAGGAAAAAATGCGAATCATGCCAAACTAAGCTAACCGATGCCAAATATTTCAAGAAAAAAAAAAAAACAAAATTTTAAAACCTATTCCTTTCTCCAAAATCCCTTCTTTCACAAAACTAACCCTATAAATACCTTTCCCCGAATTTCTATAACAACAAAACGCAATCTTTTTATCTCAAAAATTGCAGAATGTGCAACAAACCTCACCAATCCACCTCCACCTAAAGCATCAAAACCCTAAAGACCTGCAAACCAGCGTACGAACAATCCGAATTATAGAAATACTCGAAAAAAAACCAGAATGCAACTCTCCTAATAACAAATCAAACATTTCCCTAAAAAGTAAGATAGGAAGAGACGAACCCTAGGAAGCCTCCGAGCTCACAGAGTTCAGCTCTCATGCGACTCTCTGTAAAAAGCTGCAAGCTTTCGAGCTACAATGCTACCTGGAATCCAAAGAGACAAGTTAAATTAGCAAAAATTACATGAACGCTTTAATTTCTATGCCCATTTTACTGTTTATTAAAAAAATTAATTATGATTTTCCAGTTACAATAGTCCATATAGGTTAGTAAATGACTATTAAAAACTAATAATTTTGATTGATTATTAATTAGCCGTCTTTGATATTGATTAGTACGGCTAATCCATTTGGCCTTCTGCCAATTTTGATCAGTACGGATAATCATTTAGGGTTTATGCAGATCATCAATGTGGGGCCATTGTGCCTCCTCACATAGGTCATTTTCAGTTACAATTTGACTAAAAATTTCAAATATTTTTAGTTGGGTTGATCGGCTTGACTTTCAAATCTATCTCATGAGTTTTTTTTTTTAAAATAAATTAGTTGTATGAATAATTATATTATAATTGAATTTGATATGTCGTTATAATATTAAGTTGAAGTATGTATTTAAAATAAATTTTTTTTGAATTGACTTTTGTATCATTTGAATTTTATTTGTAGTAATTTTATAGTATAAATATGAATCATAATGGAATTAAAAAATAATAATTTTAACGTCATTAAGAAATTTAAATACTTAAAAGATATTAAATGAGTAAGAAGATTAGTACGGATCATTCAATTGAATGTACTTATTCTAGTTGAAATTATTAGAATGCTCTTTTCTTATAATTTGTAAATATATCATATATTTGAAGAGACTTAGGTTTCGTTTGGGACGGCTTTTTTATTGCTTTCTAAAATGGAGTTATAAAAAAAAATTGTTCTAAAACTCTGTTTTAGAAAGCAATAAAAAAGCCGTCCCAAACGAGCCCTTAGATGAGATCATAAAAGCAATTTTTGAGAAAAAAAATTTAGAGCTCTAGTTCTAGCATTTGATGCTTGTTGTTGCCACAAAAGTAATTTTTGAGAAGTGAATTTAGAGCTTTGCCACTAACATTATCTACAATGATGGACACCAACGTTGAAGCCCACCATTGACAATAACACTCATTGTTGTTGGCAAGACAGACCTCGTCGATAGCTAGTGTCACCAATAAGGCCAATATTTGTCATCATCAATAAAGCCAATTCTCATTGCGAGTGCCAATGCTTAATATCATTAACTCCAATGTTGTTATATGTCGTTGCCGGTAAAGCAAAGGCTCATCATTGATATTAATGTTGATGTCTACTGTCATCAACAAGGCTAAAGCCTATTGTCATCAATAAGGTAAATATATGACGTCAACACAAATGTTAATGCCTAGCATCAGTAATATAACCAATGCTCATTGTCATTAATAAAATTAACACTCATTTGCCGGCGTAGATGCTAACACACGACATTAGCATTAATGTTGATGTTTGTTATTGCCAATAAGATTGGTAGTCGTCATCAAAATCAACAATAGTGTATGTTGTCACAAAATAAGGATGATGCCCGTAGTTATCAATTTGGCATACACTTGCCATTAACACCAATGTTGATAGCAATATTGATGCTCACTATCAACATTGATGTTGATGTCCATCATTGCTAATAAGGCTAAAGCACACGATCAACATCAACTTTGATGACTATCATTGCTATAAAGTTTAACATGTTTTATTAACACCAATATTTGAGACTATCACTAATAATAAAGTTGGCGCCGCTCATCATCGATATTAATGTTGATATCCACTATCACCAATAAGATTAACAACCATCATTATCAATTGCTATTAATAAAGCATATGACTATCATCCATCCCAATATCTATGCCCATCTTCACCATGAGGCTGATGCCGTTGTCGACATAAATGCTAATGCGTATTCTCAACACAAACACTAATACTTATCATTTCTAGTGAGGATGATATTCACCTTATTGGTTGTTAGTCTCTCATCTTATTAGGAAACAATCCATCAACAACCTCTTAATGATATCTCAAACATATTAAAAATCATTTCACTTCCACCATGAAAGTGAGTTTTATATATTTTTAAAACTACATTATATTGATTTTCTTATCTAATTAAGTGAATATCATCATTTGTAATAAGCAACTTATATTAACAGAACAATTTCCAGTAGGTCATGTCTCCTATAATTGGGCTCCTACTCCTCGACCCGGCAGCATAAGGAGATCGAGAGTAAGATCTTTCCCTACGAGTTTGCCGGTCTTCGGGGGAAACAGATCTGTCCAAAAATATTTTAAAATTACAGTGAATCATCTCCAATCGAACTCCATTTTGTGTCCTTCGCAGAAGATAACCGTCCTTCTCCTCTTTCGCATGTTTCTTCCGCAAATCCGGTAGCAGGCGAACAGTGCAACGCCAATATTGCTGTCGTCGCAGTGTTCACCCGCAACCAAATGCCGAAAGTTTTGCCGTTCAGCTGGAGCTTGCGAGCGACGCCATTCATGCGTTTGGAGTTCGGTTGGAGAAGGCGAAGGGAAAATTCATGAATAGAGGGAGATAATTGCATACCTGGAGTGTCGTCCACGCTTGGGAGATGGAGAAGGTGAATGGTGAACGGGGCTGCGGGAGCGGGATTTTGCATGACGAGGGGAACGAGAATATCTTGAAGAATGGCGTGCTGGTGCTGGTGACCTTGAACGAGAATAGTGCGGGGAGCGAGTAAAGCGGCGCGGTGATCTCCGATGGCCATAGGATCTGCTGCGAGTTCAGAATAAAGGAAAACAAACTTATCAAACAGCATTACAAGCATGATGTATGACAATAACAAAAAAAAAACTTTCAATAACCTGCAAATAGCCTTTCTACAAGTAAATTATGGATGGAGCAATTGCAGAGTTTAGGTAAATGGTACGTCGCAAAACGGGAGGCCGGCTTTCTCATTGCTTCTTAAAACAGATTTTTAGTAAAAAAATTAATTTTTTTTAAAGCTGTTTTAAGAAAACAAGTAGTAAGAAAGCTGTCTCAAACGAAGCCTAAATCTCGTATTGAACAAATAAGCATAAAGTAAAACAACCAATTTCCTCAATTATAATCCAAAAAAGTCAAACTAGAAATTACAGGAACTTTAGCTTTTAATAAAAATGCATTAAATATAAAACACACGTGGTGAAGAAATAATGAATATATAGATTCCATATAATATTTTTTTGGGGAAAATTAAGGGACTGGCCTATTTTCATTGCTAAGAAGAAAAATTTACAAAGAATGAGCTGTAAAACCAGCTCAAATGCTGAAACATAGCAAATATAATAGCTAAAACAGAAGCCAAAGGCATTAAGGCCTGAAAATCAACATAGAAAAGAGACCAAATTAAAATAATTAAATAAAGGACTCAGATGCGGCTGGTGGTTCTCAGCATACGTGAAGACATCAGGATTCAAACCCAACTCGGTTGTCAGGTATAGCAGATCATCCAATGGTGAAGCAGAATAAAACAGCAGCCTAAGGCTTCGTTTGGGATGGCTTTTTTATTTCTTCTTAAAACAGCTTTCTAGTAAAAAAATTTAATTTTTGTATTAGAAAATTGTTTTAAGAAGCAGTAAAAAAACCATCCCAAATGAAACCTAAATGTAGCTGAAAAAAAAAAGAATAAAAACTAGATAAAAGCACCATAGTTGCCTCGACAAAGCCGGCAAGAGCATAATACAAAAATAAGTTGATAAGAACAACCAAAAGTAAAACAAAAGCCATACTTTACCAATAATAATAATAATTAAAAAAAACCAGCATGTTAAAAATTATGCATCAAATCTAAGGTTTTGCAAGTCACCTGACTCTCTCTCTTGCCCTCATGTCAACCGGTTTCTTCCTATTCTCCTCTGCATAAACAACTGTTAACTCACGACCAAGAAGAATCTGACCATCCATTTGATACTTGGCTTCTGCAGCATCAGCAGGGTCAACATATTGAACAAAGCCAAACCCACGGGGTTCTCTGAAAAAAAAGAAGAAGAAGATATGAGAGTAGAATTCTTGTAATAAGTGTAATATTCGTAAATGATGATTAAATAATTTTCAAGGTTGAGGCAATCCTGATAAACATAGAAGACCACTAGCAAATAATGCTTTAGTTATTTTCATGCAAATCAAGTAAAGCAGGCACCTGGCTGCTAACCTTGAACTCTTCAGAGTTAAAGATGACTTGAAATTCTTCAAGACTTGAATATCTTCAAAAATTATAAACTTCAAACCCATTTTCTTCCCCCTTCACAAGCCATTCTCTTCATAAATACTTACATCTTCTTGAATAGAACTCTTAAGACTTGACTGGTGTCTTGAAATCTTTATTTTCACTGTTAGATCTCAACAGCCTTAATAAAAAAAATTGTACAATGCATTTTACACACTAGTTAGGACTATAAAAATAATGCCCAATAGGAATGCAAGCTTAATGACGCCTTGCACTCCTAATTCCCAGAAATTTCTAAACATTGAAGTATGAAAGAATTAAAGGTAAGAAAAATAAAAAAGGAGAAACCATAAAAAGAGGGGAAAATGAGGCTTGGAGAGATAATGGTACGATACAGAATTGGAGCATAAATTTCAGTTATCTGACGATTATAAAGACGTACTTATAACTGCTTTATACTGTTCGACTACCTACAGTTCCCACAAGTTAAAATCAAAAGCAAAACCACTTCCTTACCCCGAGTAGTAATCACGAGGAAGATAAATGTCCTTAAGAGGACCAAACTGCCCAAAAGGCTTACGAAGATCCTCAGGCCTGCAAAATAAATAAATTAATTAATAAACAATTCAAGATTTATCCAATATCATCTCATCGTGCATATAATAACATAGTATTCCAAAGGAAAAAAAAAATCCGTATCATAGGAAATCAAATCATTGTTATAAACTTATAAGCATAAAGGAAAATAAGCAGAAAGTTCAAGCTCATGACAACAGCATGTAAACAACCACAATGACAACAGGATGTAAACAACCACAATGCATGCATAGCAAAAAAATCATATCAATAAATTGTGCAGCTACAAATATACACGATAAATTTTGATGCACCGATATTTCTCTTCAAAGAGGTATCAATGACCAACACATAACTAACATGCGCCCGACATGTGTCAGACACGCCAAAGATATGTTTGATTAAAAAAGTTCTAAAATAAATTAAACACGTGTATGGCGAACGACTTAAATATTTTATGATTTTTTTTTCAAATATAAATTTTTGTATTTCAAAATTTTATTTACTAAAAAAATAAAAATTAGATTTCTTATTTCCTCTCCACAAACCAAATCAGTTGCTCGCACTTAATTATCCATTTCTGATCATTTCCATTTTCATTTCTCTGGCGAATTCCGGCTAGGGTTTCTCGCAACAACGATCCATGCCATCTTAACATCGTTGTTTGATGCTATCACAACAACCATATTTTAAATCAACACAACATCGAAGTCTAATGTTGTCTTGGAACTGATACTTGATGCTGGTAATTTTCATACCCACAATCATGCCCCCACACTATTTAGACATCTAGTCTTTGTCCAACTTCATCTCGACATTGACAACAAATGTCATCTCGACATTGACGACAAATGCCCATTGCATAACATCGATGGCGGACCCTTGCTAGCATTGTCATCTCCCTCTCGATACTTGATACATGATATCGATCTCCGACTCTCTACATTCTAATATTAATAATTAAAATATTAGTTAAATCACTAATTATTTCTTAATTATTCTTAATATTCCGCTTATTGAATTTCTACATAATATTTTTAAGATATTGAAAATTATAATACCATATACAACCAGTGTCTTTGTCTACATCATAGATGATAAATTTTATGCATATACCGTATATAACCCGTGTTTGTGTCTACATCATAGATGATAAATTTTATGCATACCTCGGTAAAAATTTTAAAACAAGTTTGGGCGCACTATTACCAATATGACATGTTGTACTTCTTGCAAGTCACTGATCTCTTATATAGATCAAACTGCAAACGTACACATCCCCCTTCCAAGCAATGGAGACTTTTTGATTTCATAACTCATGACCTTAAATTACTAATTTATGCTAAACTAAGAGTGTGATAGGCTATGATTTTTATAGGCCTTTGACATTTTATGATTTTACTTTAATATATTACTTTGATGTTAATATGTGACTTATTATTTCATATTTTTCTTTGATATAATGATTTAATATTGAGATTTATGGCTCAAAAATGTATCGAGACTTATTGCCTTGCCTCACAAAAAGAAAACACCTCAATATTTGATTCTGCAATTTCAAACTTTGCATAAAATGATATATTAGTAGTCGCTAGACTACCAAACAGACTCTGCTTCATGCAGTAAGCCTTCTTTTTCTCAACGGTAAATAGGATAATCTATATGTGATGCCACTATTTAGGAGTAAGATGAAGAAAGAACTCAATCTACTATCAACCAACTCAATACTTGAGACGGTGCCTAGCCACAATTTTTATACCGACTATAGAAGTAAATATACAGATCTACAACCTAGCAAACGAAAGAAAACAAAATAACCATGTGCCAAAAGCAAGCCAAAAAATAAATTACAAAATCAAAATATTTAGTTTCACAAAACAAATAGAAATGAAAAATAAAAAGGAATTAACTGCAACTATTTATAAATGACTAATTAAGAAACCAACATTTCAAGCATTCGGTTTACCTATACAAAAAAAAAAAAAAAAATACAAACCTGCAATCATGGCGAAGATTTCTCACAAGAAGACTTGTAGGAAGGTCTCTATTACGTCCACCATACCGTCCTCTGGGACTCGGGCTTCTACCTCTTCCACGATAGCCCCTTGGTGGAGAAGGACTGTAGCTGTATCCTCTGCCCCTCATCCTGCCAAGAAAACAACCTGCAACACAAGTTACCATACAAGGTAAAATAAATTGAAGGGTAGATTCCTTTATCAATTAATATTTTCTGAGATAAATTGTGTAACGAAGAAAACCATGAATCTTGCAAGCCAGGAACCTTATAAATATACTTCAATCCTACCCCTTGTCAACTATTTAGCAAGCACTGTCCTGCTTATAAAAGTTTATTCCAAGTGGAAGAGCCACGTAGTTTCAAATTTTGAAAACTAAAGAATAAAAAAAAACCCATTCACAAAAAAATTTCAATAAAGTTTCCGTGCGCATGTAAAATATAAGCCAAATCGAAAATAAGTCAACCCAAGTCAGCCAAATCTTCAAATTTCCATTAAAATTAACAATAGTAGTAAGAATGGATTGCAAAAAGACACAACAAAGGAGGCAAAGCAAATGTGCCAGGAGAACTAATTGGAGAGCTGTCAACTTCAGTGCCCTAACATGGGTTGTCACTCTCCCTCCACTCTTCTTGAAGCTTCTTATGTTCTGGAAAACTGAAGGAGCTCGGCATCACCTTAAATAGCTTGCTTTATGATCTCCAAACAATCCTGATTACAAAATCAATAAATGTTTTTTCATATTTTTTTGCCAAATTTATTTCAGTGTATAGCATAAGCATTGGATATTTTTCTATTATTTTGATTATCTTGTAGGTACTAGACCACTGTTGCAAGGTGTGGACTAAGCCCATTGAATTCAATAGTTTAGTTGTTTTCAATTCCCTGTTACAACAAACATCCACTTAAGTATAAGGCTGAGATTTTAGCTTAATGATCGAAAATTGAATAAACTTGATCCATGAGCCAACTTACATAAGTTCCAGTAGATTTTGAGCCCACGCTTTATATGTTCGAAACCATCCCCTACTTATCTGTTTTGAGGCTAATTTGCAACTACTTTATTGAACTGTTGTTTCTAAGCCATTGCTATCGAGGATCAATGTTCTTGTTGATATATCACCTTCCATGGTTATTGATAGCTTATCTAATCTTTAATTTCTAAGAATATATCCATAGACAACTATTTGTACCTATGGTATTAGAAAACTAGTTGGCGACTCGGCTTTTCATGTTCTCTTCTTTGTACCCAATATTTGTTATTGTAATAGGCAATTACAACATTTATGGGTTGATTCGCTCGTAGTTTCCTCTTACATTGTTTGACTTGATTGGCTTACAATTTCTCATATACCTTGACTTGCTAGTTGCATCCAATCGCTGTTGCTATGATTCAATTATAATTGGGAACTTACTGAAATCAACAGGAACACAAATTTTTAGATTGTAAACTTTCCAAACATACTATAATTCATAAAGGGTGCATTGAAACATGTTGCATTTGAAGATTTCTATTTTGAATCCTTTGTGGGCTATAAACAAGACCCTCAAAACATATCAAATTGATTGAATATTGAGTATTGAAATAAAATTTTAGTTTCATAATTCATACTTATATCGATTGAATTTATTGGAGCACTTTGTGAGTGTAGACAACTATTCTTTGATGGGGGAGGAGGGGTCAATCTTTGCAACATGAGGCTTGATTCTTCCTTTGGGTGATTTCTATACTACGCTTCCTTTCATTTGTTTAATCAATAATACATAATTGAAGTTTTGCTATGAAATATGTATGATTTTGTTTTGAATCATGAACATGATCATTGGTGATATTTTATGTAAGTTCCCTATTTTTTTCTTGTCGAAATTCATATTTTAGCCTAGTAAATTACCTATCAGAAAGAACAAAGCATGTTTATCATTGTTACATTAAAATAATTTTTTTTTTGGCTAACGTTAGAGCTGATATCCTACAAATTGTATGTGTTTGTTGTGTTTTCATTTTGCATTTTATCCTAAATTGCATCAGTAACCCTAGGCCCTTAACTGTTCTATATCATAACCAATTATGAAGGTAATCATCGCTCTCAAATCACCAAATTCAAACGGAAAATTCAAGCTAATTTGCAAAACCACCAAAAACATGCACCGAAAACCCAACTAATCTATATATCACGTATAGCATATTTTATGCTTTTAAACAACTTCATAAATTGTGAAGCAATTATTTATTGCTTTCTATATTCTCAAGTGTGCTAAAGCATACATATTAATCATAACAACACTTTTCAAAAATACAATAACATATTTATCAAACAAAAAACCTAAAAAAGAAGCCCGAGAATCAAATCTGAAACAAAAACTTGGGGACCTGAATCCAATTAGTAAAATTAAAACCTGCAAACAGTGAAAAAGATATAGATTCATATTAACTCATTAAAGCAAATAAAGATAAACAGATTAGACAAAATTGGTATCCTACAAGATACATGAAACTTTTATAAATGTTTTTATACTGAGCTGGTGTGTTTTTTTACGCTCATTTTCCATTTCAATTTCCGATATCCAGACAAACAAAGCAATTAGAATTTATTTTCTTTCTTCCTTGAGAAGCAAGTTGAGATTTCTAACAGGAAATGCTTAGATATACAAAAAAGGGAGGATGCAGATTGTGAGCAATAACCGGATGCCTTCTCATATATCATACATCAGCTATCAAAACGGAAATATCAAGCCAGTACAACAAAAAACACTCAAAAAGTCATCTTACTTCAATGAACTTCTCCCCATCACTACATATTTGAGCTCCTAATCGAATACTTAAAGAATCTCCATATATCTATCCTACGCGAGCCCCTCTTAAGAGAACGTTACCAGTAGCTAAAGAGACAAATCACATTCAACCATACCAACCTAAAGAAATAGATCCAACAGTTAATACCATCTCAAACTCTATCTCAAACAAGATATCATCCTCAACAGAACACTAGTATACGACCCATCAGCAACATCTTAGCATTCTCCCTAAATCAGCACCCAAACAAGAGAGACGAAGCGCGATGAGAAACATCAGAAACGATATCATGTAAAACCCTAATAGATCAGACAACGCGGAACATACTGCAGGAGAAGAAGACGTAGAGCGCGAAGGAAACATACCACGAGAACTAATCGGAGGAAGCTAAGTCTGATTTTCGGTGCAAACCCTAACGGCGCTTTGTTTATCGCTACAATCCCTCCGTCCTCTTTTCGAAGCTTCTTCTATTCTGCGTAGCGGGGATAAAAAGCTTGGTTCTGTCACCAACGATCTTATTAGGTTTGAATAAATCTGAGCCGTTTAAGTTGCCCACTCCGAACATCGTCGGACGGCTATAAATCAGCAGTAGAATTCGCTGTGGAATGGGTCGGGCCACAGTGGGCTCAAAGAAAATTATATTAAGATTTATTGTAGGGGCTGAAAAAGAAATGCAATGTAAGAATAAAATATAAAAAAATATTGTATAAAATGAATATTTTAAAATTATTTGAATGAATATAAAGTAAATATATGTTAATAATTTTTTTATTTGATTAATAGTAATGAATGCAGAGTAAAGTCCTAAATTGTGTGAGAGGAGGCGGTGTGCGGCGGCGATCGTCACAAAAAAAAATATATGATTGATAAAATTGAATTATCATATTTAGTTGCTTAAAAGAGAGAAAATTGAATTTTTTATTTTTAAATTAATTATATAATTTAAGCTGCGATTTTCTCTAATGAAAATTTAATGGTTACCTTAATTAATTGCATAGCTTGGCATATAAACAAAAATTGACATTAAAGTTTAGCTTCAATTAGATACCTAATTGATTATAAGTTTCTTGGCAATTAATGTTGTTGTAAATAATAATATTAATCACCGAGAAAATAATAATCAATTAGTTATCTGATTGAAAAATATATTCAAGTAATTAAAAATATGTATATATGAGCTATTATTTGTGTTAAAACGCATGATGTTCGACCAAGTATTTTCCAATTTCAATTGGATTACATTAATGATTAACTTTAAGCCCATATCTTTTTTACTTTAATTATGGGTGTTCTTTCTGGACGTTTGCAAGAGAATGTACTTTGTTTATGTTTTTGCTAATGATATTCTTCTTATTGATAAGACTTGAGAGAGAGAGTTGATGAAAAATTTGAATTATGGATTTCAGCCTTAGCCTACATATTCTATGTTTATTGTTCGAAGTGATGATGAAATATATAGGGATATTTGAAGTAGAGGAATACATTCGACGTATTGTATGATAGAAAAGTAACCTTCAAATTTAGGAAAAATTTTATAAGATAGATGTGATACCTACAATAGCTTTATGGCGCAAAAAAAAGAGAATCATAAACTTAAATGTTGCAAAGATGAAGTTGGTTGAATGGACGAGTGACTTTACACTTAAAAGCAAAATGCAAATTGAGTATTTACATGAAAAATATCACATTTTATGTGGTTTGAAAATGTAATAATTTAGACAAATTCTTGAGAAAGAGTTAATAACAAAAAGGTATTTTCTCACCATAATTAATTTTGTAAATAGCACATATACGGGTGCCTAATAAGCTAAGCCAGCTCACAAGCCGTCTCAAACTCAAACTCATTAACAACCTCCTCATGAATCAAGCTTATTATGTCACAAGCTTGAGCTGAACCTAGCTCAACTCATAAGCTCAAGCTCATCCATTTGCTTGATTAACTTAAAATATGATTAACTATTAATTTTAAATCAATATTATATAATATATTTTGACTTTTTAAATTATTTTATTTGTATATTAAAAGTAATTTAAAAAAAATAAAATTATAAGTCAAAACAAAAAAATCAAGCTCCACAATTGAATCAAACTCAAGCTTTCCAAACGAACTCGAGCCTAAATTTTTTTAATGAACCAAATTTGATGAGCTCAAGCTCAATAAGAATGAACGAGCTCAATTAAATTAGGCAGATATTCAACTCGTTTACGTCCATGATCACGTGCATAAACATACCAACATGTGAAAAATGCATCTGGTTTTAACATAAAAATTTGGCATAAATTCATTAAAAAAATCCACCAATTCAATGCTTCTCTTCTCGAATCATACAATGGATGCTAACATAACTCTATAATGCATTATGATGCTTATAGTAATTTACATCAGAAACAAGCATTCATCAAGTGAATGATAAATAAACCATTGAGGCATAGCAGCAGCAACAAATTTAGCTCTGGTTTGAATCTGAAGCTTTAAAAATGGTGATGTGAAGAATAATGTCGAGCCCTCAAGTGGAAGCATGATGGATTCTCTCCAGTATCTGAATGACCTGATTCGGACAGAGAGGTTGATATGAATCAGAAGAATCAGAGGTAGAAGAAGCATCTGTGTTCTCAAGGAGAGGGAGAGAGAGCACAGCTTCCTGTTCCAGTAAAGTTAACTCCAGGAATTGGAGGAGCATATCTCCATCAAGCATGGTTGGAACTCCGGCCTGAATCATCACAAGGATTAATTACACGTCTAATCATTGGAAATCATACAATTAAGAGATAAACATGTATGGCTGGAAAAGAAAAGTGTTAGACGGGTCTGCCGGTCCGATGGGACCGGCTTACGCGAAACTGGCGGAGAGTTCTGCCTCTTGTACGCAGGAGCCGACCGCTCAGTTCATCTACGAGTTGTTTAGGAAGGTTTTTAAAGGGAGTTTGGAGGGAAATTTCTAAGTAGGGTTTGTTTAGAGAATTCTTTTTGAATTGTATGCATTAAATAGTTTGTTTTCCTAGAATTAGGGCATCTTGAATTTGGCTGAAATTTGAGATTTCTTAGGTTTAGATTTTCTTTTGGGCTCTAGCGGCATCTATAGATTTGAGAGAGGAAGATCATCCTCTCGAATAGATGATCAATTGTATCTTGTTGTTTTTCTTCTTCTACAAGTGAATTTCAAGTGTTTTCCCTCAGATTTTTTATTGTTTCTACTGTTTTTTTTTTTTAATTTTTCTGCTATGTTATTGTTGTTTTTCTCTAAAAACAGCCGTTTTCACTGTTGAGGTTGAGTGTTTCTGATGAGAGCATCCACCGTACATTTCGACATCGGCAGGATCGTAGATCGACGACTACGATTCATAGTTTTTTTATTTAATTTTCAGTTTTCCATTTGTACCCCTATGACTACGAGGGATTTGTGTCATGTTGTAGCCTGAGGGCATTTGTGTCTTTTACATTTTGTACTTTGGAAGCCTATATATAAAGGCCTAGCCTTTGTATTATTTTCTAATGTTTGATGAATGAAATTTTCTCTTGTTGATCTCTTTGTGAGTTTGTGAAATTTCTCAAGATATCTTTGTGAGTTCTTGAGGAGGTGGTACTTGTGGATCTCTTTGTGAGTTCTAGTGGAGGTGGTGCTTGAGGTTGGTAGCTCTAGATTTTCCCTTTCCCCTACACCAATTTTCCTCTTCCCTACCTAACCGAAACTTCACTCCCTCCCAATCCCCCCACCCACCCCATAGTTCCACCGCCGGCCTCTCCTGGCAGATCAAGCCACCGGCGGCTCAGCCAGCTCCCACGGCCGGCTGCCAGTCCGCCGCCCCCCTTGCCTCCAACCATGCCGCCGGCTCCCCTTTGATCCTACCTATTTTGAATTTCAAATTCCTCTTAATTAAATCACTTTCCTAATTAGTCTTTCTCTATTTAGGAAAGTCAATTAAGGGGATTTAAACCTATTTTGAAATTCAAACCCTTTTCCCTCTCATATTAAACCAAATTGGGAAGTTATTTTAAATTTACTCAAATATGAAATTAAAATCAGATTTGATTAGAATTTATTTATTAACCCATGGGCCCCACTTACTTAAATATCAAAGTCCCTCTCTCCCCCTCTACATGGCCAGCCCCTTCCCCTTGCTTCTCTCTCTCCAATTGTCTAATTGCCCTCAATCAAGACTCTCTAATTATCTCCCATAATTCCTCACCTCCCATTAATCCTTTGATTTGAATTTAAATTCAAATTCAAATCCTTCCCTCCAACTTCACAAAATCTGAGAATTAATTTCAGATTTTTGACTTTTCCCCTCCCAATTTAATCCAAATTCCCCCACAAAATCAGCCCCTATCCCCTCCTCCCTTGCCTCCCCTAGTCTTTAATTGATTAATTTGAATTTCAAATTAATTCCCTCCAATTTCACTTAAACCTGAATTTAATTTCAGGTTTCTAAATTTCCCCCAAGTGCTTCCCCAATCTAGCCGCTCCCCTCCCATTCCTCAAGCCGGCCCAACACCATCCCCTCCAACCACCACCTCCTCTCCCTCTTCTCTCCATTGGTGCTCCCTCATCTCCCGGCAAGAATGCATGGCGGATCCGGAAGTTGATCACGGATTCGTTTACGATTCTTAAGAGGAAGTCGACATCATTCAATCACCGTTCTTCGATCCCGAATTTGGGTCCGAAGGCACCATCAAAGAATACGTGGAGCATATTCATCGAAGAGCAACAACTTACAGGATCATGGAAGATCGCAGGACGACCACCTGTCTCTCCAACTTCGGCCAACTTTCCGTTGATCAAAACCTCTGGCATCCTCTGTCTTGCCGTGGCATCATTGGGCTTGCTTACTTTTATCCTCCGCTAAACCTACTTCCAAAGAATGATCGAGAGGGAAACTCTAAGGTTAATCGCATATTTGTTTACTATTTTGTTTTCATTATTCGAATCGCTCTGTTAATCTAACGTGTAACCGCATGCTAGAAGCAAATCAATAACTACGAAAACTGAAAATCCTAACTTAGTGAATCATTAATGTTATAATTTCATTGCGGAAACAAATTTCTTAATAAGATCCTGCAATTCTGTTGGTTGTTTCACATCAGTTTCCTATAAAAAAGGCTCATGGAGCTGATCAGAAATAGCTTAGATTACATAAATCTTTTTGTGGAATTCAATAGCTAAGGGGCTAATGGGATCATTTTTGTTTAACAAAAAGGAAAACACAAGCTGCTTTTGAAAATACTTGGGGGCAACATAATTGTTTTATTGAGATACTTCGACAAGCTCATAAGCAATTAAGTAGAGACAACAATTTTAGAAATCATTTATAGTTAGCTATGGTTGAAAAGATATGCATGCAGAACAAATACAATTTCGAAATTATACAGATAAATAATAAAGATATCAGCTTTCAAATATCAAGCTATCAAAAGAAAATAGAAAATTCTTATGATTAGATCAGGGAATCCATATATTCATAAAACTGAAGAGGAAGAACGCAATTCTAAAATTACCCATTTACTTAATACAGCCTTCGCATGGAGAAAAAAATGAATATATAGACAATATCAATATAAGAATTTTTTGAGAAATAGCAGGTGCAGAGCAAGAAATTTTTAGTAATGGGGCCGAAATTGATAATTTCTAAAACACTTAAATTTTTTCAGGTGATATACAAATAATAAAATTAATATTCGGAATTTAGTTAATCATTTAAATAGAAAAACTAAAAAGCTTATGAGTAAATTACACTATGGTCTACTAGATTAGAGGCTATTTAATGGTGCAAGAGTAGTTGGATTTAGGGTGTAAACGAGTCGAGTCGAGCTCGACTCATCAGCTTGTTCGCGATCTCGAACTCGAGTCAAGCTCGAGCACAGCTCGTGGCAATAACGGCGGGCTCGCGAGTTTGCTAATAAAAAAAAAGAAAAGGCAGGTCCCGGGAGGAAGTAGAACGAGCAAAAGAAGAAGAACAGGCAAAAGAAGCAACAGTTTAGAATAAAAGCTTTATAATTTAATCAGCCTTTACAACTTTTTATTTGCCTTAAAAGCTACATGTTTTAATGCCTTAAAAGCTATGGCTGAACTTATAGTTGTTTTTTCAAATGGAAGCTGAGCTTTGGAAACATTAAATTAATTAATTATATATATATATATATATATTAATTTTATTTTAAATAAAAAATAATAAGTATTTAAAATATGATTCGAGCTAGCTCGCGAGCTCACGAGCTCGTACTTGAGCTCGTTTAATAAACAAGCTCGGGTTTGAGCTCACAGCTCGATAAGCTCAGTTCACGAGCTCGTTAACAAGTCGAGCTCGAGCTGGTTCAGCTCACTTACATGGTTACACCCCTAGTTGTATTTGATCTGCAACAACAAATTTGCTTTGTTTTTAAATTTAAAATCAACTATTAAGCGAGTTTTATGTGTTGTGTGATGGGCTATATAATGAGCCATTTTGTAGGTTTTAACTTTTAAAATAAATTGTTATGTAATTTTCAACTATTATGTGACCACCCAGGCTCTGCCATGACAAATATTAAATCTAAAAGAAATTCAATAATGAACGAAAATGTTGATGTCTTCTGGGAACAAAACGGCACAAAATAAAGAAGATAAACAATGGCTAGAAAAAAACAAAGAAATCTTCTAAGACTTCTGTCAATAAATTTATCCAGCATAACACCTCAGAAGTTTTGTTCATACCCGCGAAAGACGTCCGCGAAATTCCTTATGGTCATTTCCTAGAACGGGAGCAGTCAAAGGATGAACAGCAAGCCTTGCCTGCACAGTCTCTAACAAATAATGTTCCTCACTGCAATTTCACAAAATAAAGAAAGATCATATAGAGAGATTTATAAAGTTATAATGCAAGAATATCCTAAAAAAAGAAAGTACAGCATCATAAAAATCAATTTTAGGACTGCAAATAGGGTTGTCGCTTCAGTTAGTAGAACTAAAACATTTAGGTATTTAGGCTGTTCTATATACCAGAAAAAATGGGTTCAGCCCATATTGTACTTCAAGGAAGGAGGACGGCAGATTGGTGTACTGTTAGTAGAAATTCATGGAGCTTTAACCGTGGTTATTTTGCAGCTAGTTCCTTCGATTGCTCTGCAGCCTTTTTCTCTGCATGATATTTCGACTTATATGGTTAATGCACCAATTTTTATTGGCAACTCCCCATATGATTCATAGGGCTTTTTCCTGCAGTTGATTTGGCCCATATCCATGAACTGTAGCAAGAATTGGCAGGCAGTAGCTTCTACGATTCCATCTAATGCCGGTGGCATTCTTGGAAGAATTTTTATTTCTGCTGTTTTGGTGTTTCACAAGGCTAATAAATGGTGGAAAAAAAACTTTTCTTTGGATGTTAGTCCTTTTCCTTCCAATGTAATTCTTTGATCGGATGTGAGATTTAAAATTCTACAAGAGGACATCTCCTTGAACGAGGCTTATATTTCGCTGAATTCTTCCCAAATACCTATTGCAATAGTGCTTACCCATGTTCTCATTCGGTCCGGTAAGTTATGTGTGCGGGAATTTCTAGATTTTTCTCTGCATGTGTCTATGAGTGTTCTCTGTGCATGTAAATGCATGAAATCTGTTCTAAAGCGAGTCTCAGAGGTCTGTATACATGATAACCAAAACCAAGAATTTCCCCTTGAGAGTGTCGCAGCCCTGGGGTGGCGGCACTATGGTGTTGAGCTTTTCATAACTTTGGAAACTTGGGGAATGTTGTGGCGCCAGATTGGGCATTGTGGTGCCATGTTCTCTGTCAAGAGTGCACTACGACGCCACAGTCTGGAGCGTCATGACATTAGATCAGATTTTTATAAAAAAAAAATCAAATTCCATGTGAAAATCCCATTTTGTCAAAATTCCCCCTTAGCTACCATTTTAGAGAGAGCAAGGGAGAAAAATTATAGAGAGAAAGTTTGATTCGAGCGACTTCAATTCATTTTCTGGCTTCGATTCAATTCAGAAAGTTGTTCGGATAGCGATAGGTTACATTCTAACTATCTCAATTTTTGTTAATGTAAAATTTTGGGATTTTTCTGATTAAAATTATAATTTCGTAGTATAAAAATGGGGATAACTTTGTATTCGCTAAACTTTCACTATGTAACTTTATGTAAGTTATAGATACTAGTATTCTGAATATTTTGGTATTTTCTCCAGAAATTTCCGCCAAATAAATTGAGAAGTATGCTATTTCTATCAAATTAGACAATGATTATGACATTAGAAAGTAACGTTGTAGAACATTGAAAGCTTCAAAACAGTGTTCTGAACAATCCTTGGCAATCTGGTGAAATTCTAAAAATTATGAAATTATGCCTCGGTCTTTGAATTTGTTGGCTGCTCATAAAGCATTTTGTGAGTTTCTACAAATTGGTTATTTTCATTTATTTCATTGAGAATCATATATATATATATATATATATATATCTGTGTGCGCGCGCGCTTGCATGCACTTGTTTATTTTCTTAAAATGTGCAATTCTAAAGAATTATGATGTTGGAGAAAGACCTGTTGTACTGAATACACTGGGAGTTATACGGATCTAAATTTCTTAACATCAAATGTACTAAGCATTTGGGAGTCAGAAGGGCCTGAATTCTAGATCTTTTCTATTGTGAGGCATAAGGCCCTAAGGGAATTCTTTACTTTTTGCTTTGACATATAAAATACTTATTTATTTTACATTAAGTATAAGTCTATTTAATTTCTGTTGTTTCTTAGCATTACTCTGATCAATTCAATAGCATGCTAATAACTGCTTTTAATTCATTATATGCATAATGGGTTAATTTTTAAAAATTTAGATTGGTGTGTATGACCTACTGAGCTGTGTTAGCTCAAACCTATTTTGCATTCTATTTCAGGTCAAAGATAGGGTAAGGAGCCAGTTGAGTAGTTGAGGTTAGTTTCTGATCTTCTAAGTTTGTGCAGGTATTTTTTTGGTCTATAGAATTTATAAAATCATGACTATTGTCTGTTGTGCTCTGCTCTGTTCTGGTCTGCTCTATAGCCATGTACTTTAGCGTAAAGATTTTGTTGTTTACACATTTTGAAGATGATTGAAATGAAAAGAAAATTATGATTAATCTTCTATTATGTTCATTCGAAGTTAACTACTAGCTCTTTTGTATGTTCATTATTGAAAATTTTTTGAAAAATTCTCAAAAACTAGATCTGCCACCACCCAACATGATATGACCTATTCTACTTGCCGGTTATATTGAGTTGGGTTGTGACATCTTCCCCGTCATTTCTCTTCTTGATTTTAATAATATGTTGAAAGTGCAGTTGAATTTTGTTAGATTTACTATATATCTTTCTATTGTATGATATTTCAATCATTCCCATTACGTTTGTCATGCCTAACTTTTTGCAATTCATTAACTCTTGTGAATTTTTCTTCCTCAAGTTTTCTTCAATCAGTTTCAGTCAAAGGAGATCACCACAAATCAAATTTCAAATAATGTATAGACATAAATATAAGAGCATTTCTATATAAATTTCAGTTTAGAAGATGCTATAACATCAGCAGCAGTAGCTTTTTCCCAATTTAAAAAAGTTCAATGCTCACCAAAGAATATTTCAAACTGTTTAATGATATTTCACAAAAAACAAAGTGAAAGTATATAAAAACAAAACTGCAGATAGGCAAGAAAAAGTCAAGAAAAGTGAATCAACTCAAAGAAACCTTCTAAATTTAGTAACACAATCTCCAATATGCCATAAATGCATGATGTTATATGCATTTCAAATTAATAAGAAGTTCGATTAATTTATGTTACCTTGTAACAGGAATAAGTATGAGCATACTTCCAAGAAGTGTGCTTGCAACAATGTTATTATCTAAAGACTTGCAACCTATATCAGTGCCATCAGAATCATTCAACAAGTCATCCACTGACGATCTGTACAAAAATAAACCCTGCATATATTTTTAAATGTTCAGTAAAAGAGAGTAGCAAACTTTGCACCTGTCACACAATTCCTCGCGCTAAATATTCTAGAATAGTTGACAATAATATACTTGGTTGAAATAAAATTGCCTTTCTAACCAAATTTCTATGATAATTAAGAAAAGAAATAGGAACTATATGATTCGAGTGTGTTCGCATTATTTTTCATGGCCATGGGTAGTGTATCATTTTGAAACTAATGGTAATACTGGCTACCAAAGAAGAAGAAATAAACCAAAATATTCTGCATAAAATTCAAATACTGAACATTGAAATCACAATTTTCTCAAATTAAGCAGCCATAAGTCTATCTGAGACCGCAAATTTTTCTTTTTTTGCTTTAAAATTTTCAAATTTCAGTTGAAAAAAATTAATAAGCACATAATGCAAGGATTTAGAACCGCAAGACACCCTAAAGTTGTCAACAGTAAAAGCAAAGACCATGCCATGCAAGATAAGTTAAGGTAACAACTAATTTAAAGTAGACGGTGCCATGGATGACTGCACTGGAAGTTCATGTAAGCTTCTGATGCCACGGCCGTAACAGACAGACAAATCCCACTGTTATCTCTGCTTTATCATCAATGTTCAAGTCACCTCAAAGCTATGAAGCAAAATTTACATTAAATTTGTTAAAAATCAGATCAAAAGCTGATTTGATACATATAATTTCCCTGATCTCTTACCCTAATTTAGTAGCTCTATTTGCCAACAAATTTTAGTATTTAACTCATTGAATGACATTTTTGCACATGCTTCAAGCAGCAAGCTACAGAAATTATAATGATTTCTGCCTAAGTTTTAGGTGGCTGCTGCAGCTGTTTATTCCCTTATTTCGTGCACGTGTTTGGGGCAGATTTCCAGATTTTACTGACCTGCTGCTACTGCGGTTTAAAAGTCTAATTTTTTGCATATTTATTTTTTTCCTTAAAAAGGCTCTCAGCTCTTCAGGCATAAATCTTGATAATTGCATCAAGTGAATTTCCTGTTTTTTTGTGTAATTAGTGTATTGCCTTATACGTTTTTCCAAACGTTAGACATGTATGCTCTGGTCTTCAGATGATTAAGCAATGAAGAATTATTATTCCTTCCCTGTTAATATGTCTAAGTTTTTATGCATGGATTAAGGCCTTGTTTTTCTTTGTGATATCAAAGGTTGCTCTAGCAAACAATCTAACCATTCGTATGACCAAATGTGTAAAGGAATTTGGAGGGCAATGCTTCACCTTCTAAGTCTACTCTGATCCAGACATTTTCATCCCTCAGCCCTCTAATGGAGCTAACAAGAAGTTGAATCCAATCACTGAAAGGTAAATAGCCACAATTATATTTAATGGCCATAATCAGTGATGTTGTTCATATAAAATAGAGGGGCAAACATGACCACTTCATGTGATTAACCCCAACCTCAGGTAGAGGAGATCCAGACTACAAACTCCAAAAAGCAAAGAATAATTTGGCAATGTCATGGCTTATCAAATCCACGACTATTGAGATAAGAAAATAATTCTTACTCTACTCCCCTACAAAGGAGTTTAAGAAGCTATAAAAGAAGCTTAAGTTTGAGAACACATCAGAACTCTTCTCGGTTGAAAAAAAAAAAAAAATCCTTCACAAATTCCTCAAGGTGATCTCTTTGTTAATCAATATTTCAATTCTTTCAACCGTCAAAGGCATAACTTGATCTATTAGAGCATCATGATTGGAAGTGCCCTGGTAATAAAACACAATATAAATCAATCATCGAAGAAAAAAATGGGTGTTTAAGTTCCTCATGGAACTAAAAAAAATTAATGATGAAGTTTGAGGAAGAAATTTAGGCAAAAACACCTTTGCCTACTATTAAAGAGACCTTCTTCGAGATTCAATCGCAGGAAACTCAAAGGATGGTGATGATGGGGCCATCAAAACCTTTACCAATTATATAAGGATTGGCTCTTGTGGCTTGTGAGTTATATAAATCTTCCTAAAATGACTTCAGGCAAAATAAAGCCATAGTGTGACTACTATAAAACATAAGGTCAGATCACATAAAGTCATAAACATGTTGGAAGTGTTAATAAAAACCTCAAAATTGGAAGTCAACTTAGAGGCCTCACACTAAATAAAGTAAATGACAGCATGTATGCATGTATCTAGTAGCAACACCTAGCTTAATTCCCTTGAACCAAGTATACCGACCAAGGAACAAATAAAGGCTCTAAAAAATCTACTAAGTTAGAAACAGAATGAAGAACAACTCAACCTCCATTCTTCTGATGTGATTGGAGCATGTTCTCTGGCCCAATCAGGTCATCAATTATACTGATAATGCAAAAAGGTTCAATAAGGTATGTGGATTATTGATTTTGAAGCCCTCGATCACATAACCAGTGACATTTCTCTCTAAGAACCATTGACAACTGTAAAAACAGACATATTTGTAAAATTGCCAACGGAATGATGACCAAAATTATTGGAATGAGAACTATTGTAATCTCCAACGGATTAAAACTCCACTCATTCTTATTTGCCCCTAATCTAGATTGCAAATAGTTATATATAAATAAACTTGCCTGTGATCATCGTTGCATTATAATTCTCACATAACCTTTGTTTTCTTCAAGATTTGAATTCAAGGAAGACGATTTGGAATGCTGAAGTATGCTCAAGACTCTACCCCTCAAACTCAATATTCTTTCATATCTTCATGTTCTTAAGATCACATCAACTGATTCAAACTCTAATAAAGATAGTTAGTTTATTTTACATCACTATTATCTAGATCACCTATATATTTTTGTACCTTAAAATATTGTTTCCTTTGCTTGACAAAAATATTTCTAAAGATCTTGTGAAGTTAACTAATTTTCTAAATATACTCAACAGCACTATCCCAATCTACCTTATTAAAGTTTATATCAATTTTCACTCATTCATTCTGATATCTAAGGACCCTTTATGGCTTTATAGTTAAAAATGTGTCTAAATCTAGATGGTTCAGCTCCTTCATAGATGATCACATTGGAGTTGCATGGATATTCTTGATGAAAGAAATTTTATTACAACAACAACAACAACAATATCAAGCCTTTATCCCACTACGTGGGGTCGGCTACATGAATCATTTTTCTCCATTGTGTCCTATTAAAAGTCAAATTCTCGTTTAAAGCGAGAAATTTTTTTTTGTGAACTTCAATACCATGATCCAAGCCCAATTCTACACAAAAAATTTAAGAACTGAAGACCGATAATGTTCAAAAATATTTTGGATCAATCTTGAGTGATTATTTATCCAAAAAAAAAAAATCATCAGAGCTCCTTTGTTGACACTCTTCAACAAAATGATTTAACTAAAAGAATAACCATATCCTAGTAGTCTAGTCTCTTATGTTCACCACCCTCATCACTAATATTTTTAGGGTAAAGTTTTGCTAACTCATAAATAGAATGTCCTCTCCTCTTGTATTCTCAGCTTTAAAGCCTCCATTTTTGGCCTCTTGAAAGCCTACCCATAATATAAGTAAACTGAATCCCATTTTTATTAAATATATATATTTTTTGTCCGGTACTTGTCTAACCAAGAGAGATGCAAATGCTACTCACCACTAAATGATCTGAAACACCATGGATGTGATCTTTCTTAAACAACAAAGATTCTTTCCTAAACCAGATATTCAAGGGGAGATCATACCAAAGGAATATTTTTCATAAAATTCCTATCACTAATCCTACTTGCAATTCAAAAGAAGTTGTTGCAAGCCCCCTAAACAATTTTACACTCTACCTTCCACTCAAAATATTAATACAAAAACTTTAATCTTATTTCAAACGGAGTCAACCATAAATTGATCCTACATACCAAAAACATGACCAGAAGTTTGAACCTAATCTGGCCTCTGCTAAAACAACATAAGATAACAAGAAAATTGTAGTCCTCAATAGTGATTTTTTCTATGATGATCTCACAAAAAAATTGTCTTGGGGAGAAATCTAAGAGCTTGCATAAACCAACATATCCATAAATTTATCTCTTATACTAATCTCATCATATCCACAATTTTGCATAATACTAGATTTGACTTGTGTTAAGAAGGGTGGAAGTAGATCTAAAAAAGACTTGGTAAGAAAATATTAGAAATGACCTTTCTTTATTAGATTAAATGAGAATTTAACTTTTAACAGGGCACAATGGAGAAAAAAGGATTCATGTAGCCGACCCCACATAGTGGGATAAAGGCTTTATAATGTTGATGTTGCTGTATACTAATCTCTCACCGAACTTCAAACTTTCATTGACAATCTCACTCAAAAATAGTTTCATGAATCCCTCCATGATGCCAAATGCTATCAACATTTTTAAATAGAAAGCAATTGATCCAAAAGAAATTTGGGCATTGAAAAAGAATAAAACATTGTAGATCTTGGATTTACCCTCAATAGCAAAAATTGTTGGAACAGATGACTATTTACTAACAAATACAAATCCCACGGGAATATAGAGAAGTTCAAAGCCTGCATTGTTGCAAAATATACACTCATACGTGCGGTAGAGATTACAAAAAGACATTTGCACATGTTACTAACAACAACATCAAGGTCCTCCTATCCATGGCAACTAAACTTAATTGGCCAATATATCCGCTTAATGTTAAAAATTCTTTCTTAATAAGTATATATGAAAATTCCTCTTGGATTCCACTCACAATTCCCTACTTATAAATAATACAAACTTAAGAAAGCTCTTACGGTTTGAAACAATCTTCTCAAGCCTAGTTTGAGAGGTTATCTAAAGTTGTCAAATATTAATGTGACACTCAATAACAACTAACGAAACTTTGTTTATAAAGAAATGTATTGATAGAAATTCATTCATCCTAATTATATACGTGCTATTGAACTTACAAGAAACACAGTAAGGAGATGGCAAGAATCAAAGAATTTAGGCCAAGAATTTTGAAATAAAATATTTGGGAAACATGAAGTGGAATGGGAGTTGCTAGATCCCACAAAGATATCACTATCAATCAACAAAAATATATTCATGATCTATTAAAAGAGCTAGGATGTTTGAATGTAAACCAATTAATACTCCCATGGATCCCAACATTTAACAAGGGATAAAAAGGCTAATAGGAAAACTCATCTCACTCATGCTTTTGTTGATGTTTTCTTTTCTATAAACTTATAAACCAATTCATGAATTGCTCCACTAAAGAACACATGGATGCACTTATGTGAATTTTAAGATATCTAAAAACAACCTGGGAAATAATTATTCTTCAAAAGGACCACATAGAAAAACATTTAAGTGTTAAATGATGCTGATTAGGCAAGTCTATGACTGAGCACAAATCTACCAAAGGTTGTACATTAATATGGGAAAATATTGTGACTTAGAGAAAAAAAAATGCAACCTACTATGGTCAAGAGTAATGTTGAAGTTGAATTTATGGTTGTGGCCCATGAAATTTAGGAAGATACTTGGCTACACTGACTCCTTGATGATAACCAAGCTGAGAGAAGTTATCTATCTCAAAAGAAAGTCCTATCAAATTACTTTTTCATAACTAAACTACAATAAGTATTGCAAAGAATCTTTTTCATCATGAAAAAACTAAATATGTGGAAGTTGATCATCATTTCACGAAGGAGAAAGTTGGCAATGGGTTTATATCTCTCCTTTACACTTTGACGCATTTACAAATTATTGACAACCTTACAAAAGCTCTCTAAAGAGGGAGTGTTAAAACTTAAAAATCAAATCGTAAGCTGATATGGAAACATATTGCTATGATCTCCTCCCTTCAGAAGCTCTATTTGCAAACATATTACAAGATTTAATTCCCATTGAATAGCATATTTTTGCACATACTTATACAGTTAGCTGCAACAATTACTTCCAGATTAAGAGGCTGATTTCAGCACATGCTTTAGGCAGTTCGTTGCAGATATTTATTCCCTTATTTGGTGCATATGATTGGGGCAGATTTCATGATATTGTTGGTGATGAGGATATCTGACTATGGAAAGTTTATCAAAGAAGGGGCCGAAGATCTACGGCCATGATTGGACCACTTTATTTTTGAGCTTTTAGTTGTATTTGATTTATTTATCTTTTCCGTTTTTACCCTCACTTGAGGGAGTAGGTTTATGTGACTACATGGGGCACTTTTGTCATTAGACGCATCATTGTATTTTGACTATTTATAGGCCTCTCCTCCTCTTTGGAGGGGATGATGAGTATGATGATTAAAATTTCCAGCACGTGTGTTCAAATAGTAATTCAGTGTCAAAAAACTTCTGTGAAGCACAGCATTAAATCAGGTTTTCCAATTCATTCACACATTGAAAAAGTAAAAACTGGTAACACAAGGAGGGCCTTTTCCCTATGCTCCCTTGCTCCAAGATACTGCCAACAAGAGAACAAGGAGGAAGTCCTACGATCTTCTATATGTTCTAATGCCAAAAAACATGCAGAAACAGCAAAAAATATGTTCATAATTAGGAAGCTTCTGGTAATATGAGAGTAAAGAGTAAAGAATGGCCTTGTGCAAGATGCATTTCATCGAATCTCAAATAACTGCAAATTGCAACACATTGCCATCCGTAGACTTCCATTTATTTAAGGATTATTTGCCTCTCCTATTTAAATGATATCAAAAAAATTGGATACACTGGTAATGAGATAGTCAACATATCTCCAAAACCAACACAAATTTATGCAAGCTTATAAATACAGATTACCTCACAATGCAAACATTTTATAATTAGTACAACAAATACAAAGCTATTATTTGAACCGCCTTTAAAGCAATCATGTATCAATAACAAATATTGTTATTTAGAGCTAGCAAAATGAACCCCATTTATCAACTCAACAAAAAAAAATATTTACCTTTCGGATGCTCATAACAGACTCTCCCATGTAATAGGAACAATTTACCAACAGGTTCTTTTCTGGATTGTCACTACCTGCAAGACAACAAATGAACGTATATGAAATGTAATTTGTGCCATTGTTTACCAGTTGGAATGCATTTTGTCAATTTGCAAAAAGAACAAAATATTTGTTTAACAGCGAAGTAGGATCAAGGGAGAAGAACAGCCGTTCTACAAGGATAAGCATTTTTTTTCTAGAGCAATTCTTCACTTCCCAAAGAAAATCCCCAGAAATTTGAGATTTTCTAGTTTCTTGTGCTTAAAAAATATATGGCCAAGTCCCCCCACCTCTTTTGAGTGGGTAACATAGGTTTGGTGCGCAAAAAAATCCAAAGGTTTTTTTGAATTTTTTTGGGGAATAACGCATTACTCTTTTTTCCGTTACTTCTCAAACATAGCACATCAAAACCTGTACCAAGGCCAAATGTCTCAACAAAAAATATTAGAATACTTAAATCTCATAAAGTTACTTTATCACTACAGACTAAAGTTCACTAAAAATTATCTAGAAAGCCATACATGAACATTACAAAAAGCTACATTCAGCCTTATTTTCCAAAATCTGTTGAATAACGGATTGCTTAAAACATCGAAAAATGTAAAACTAAAAGATGTAGGAAGTAGTTAAAGAAGGTTCAGCTAAACTATAAAACCAAATGCAAAACTGGAAAATAAATGAACAGATAAGAAAGATTCAAAAAATGAATAAATGCATGGGATACTGTTGATGACCACAAGACTAGAACTGATAAGGTTATAGTCAGCTCAGTAACAAACAAAAAACTATGGAAGATTAGAGGGATTCTGTAGTATGCAATGCAATACACCATGCATGAAAAATGCAGTAACCGATTCTCTTAAATTTGGTAAGCACGGATATTAATCTTCAACACAAATCCTCCCCTTCCGATTATGGTATGCCTATTTGTAGTTGGGAAATGTTTGCATATTTTCTGATTGCTAGGACCTACACTTACAAAGGCTTTCACCCTCTTCATTCCTCTTCCACTGCCAGCTGATTGATCTGTGAGATCTCGACTATCTAGTCATTAATGTATGGATTACTCTAATTATTTTTGTAATTAATTATATTCCTTGATATCATATTTTTCTTATTAGATGCTTTCCTAGGACTATAAATTCTGTATAAATTAAAATGAAATACACTCCACAAATTCTCTTCAATTATTATCAGTGGTTATTAGCTTCAGAAAAGGAAAAAGATGCATTGCATATGGCTTTCCAAAATAGTACAAACTGGATATTTGTCTAATAGCCAGATACTTCTCTCCGCCCACCGATGAGATGCCTACTTGATACGCCAGAAGGGAAGGGGGGGGGGGGAGATATTTAGAAGGTTCAAGGGGAGTTGTTTAGAAAGGTTCGTAACTAAGGGGGAACTGTGTAGGAAAGTTTTCTAATTATGTTTTATTGTTTAGAAAGTTTTCCTAAATCATATTTAATTTTTTATGAATGTTTCCTAAATTATATTTATACTATTTAGGAAGTATTTAATTGTTTAGGAAGGTTCTATTTATGTTATGATGGTTAAGGCTATTTAAGAGGAAGTTGTCTAGGGTTTAGATCATGCTATTGATGAGTTTTGTGAATGTTTGTTGTCCACTGCTTTTGTGAGGGATTCTAGTGACGTCTAGAATTTGGGAGAGAAGGTCCTCCTCTCGAAAGAGGACCATTGTATCTTGCTCGTTTGTATTTCATTTCTTATCAATAAAAATTTGTGTTTGCTGAATTTCTTTGGGTTTGTTGGCTGTTTTTGATACCAAGGCGTATCAAATTGATATCAAAACAGTGTCCTAGACCGAAATATCAAGCTTTCCTTGCTGATTTCTGCTGAGTTTGTCCTCTTTGTTTGTTGAATTTTGTTGTTTGGAGGCCAGATTCGTGTTGAAGCTGGTAATTTTTGCTGTTAAAGCCTTGATCCGAGTACCGATGGCCCGAAGAACAGTTGAGGCATTGGAAGAAAAGTTGGAAGGGTAGTGGGGCAACTATGAGCGGATTTGGGATTGATGAATGAACATATTTCAACCATAGAACGAAGGTTTGAGAATTTGGAAGATATGAAGAAAATGATCGAGATGTAGTTGAAAGCATCACCGGCGATTCCTAGGGCTGAACCAAAGAGAAAGGAAATTCTGGATCAGATGATGAGAAAGCTCATGGAGATGCGATCCAAAACCCCGCCGACGATTCCAATTGCTAACCTTAATCAAAATTTGATTGAGATTCCCTTGGTCGAATCTAAAGGGAATGAGATCAGACAGGAAGACTTTGGCAAAAAGAGCTTCTTTCATAAAGAGCACCTCCTAGGGCCCTGCGAATGGGGGACATAGGATTTTCAGATTGGGGGGGGGGGCCAGCAGGAAAGGAGTTTTATTGTGGAGGTGGTGGAATGATCAACCACTATGGGAGGCTTTTAGGCAAGGAGAGTGGACGATCGGAGGAGGAGGGCGGGCCGAACCATGGGTATCGGGACATATGAGGCAGATGGAAGAAAGGTGGGAGTCCCACCCTCGATACATGGGAGAAATATGGAGGGATCACGACAACTGCTATACTGGAGGTGGAAGAAGTTGTTGGGACGGTGGCGACACTAAGGTGAAAAAATTGAAGATGCGAATAGTTGAGGAGAAGAAGAGTGAGAGTTCAATAAGAGATACACAAGCTTCTTCTAAGGATAAACATATCGGCAAAGGGAAATATGTGAATGAATAGGGGAAAAAAAAACTTACAAAGCCAAGCTGATGATGCTGATCAGGAAATTTGCTGCATCAAATTACCTGGAGCAGTATATATTGGTGAAGTTAAGCTAGAAAATCAAAACCATGTAGTCAACTTTACCAGAGGGGAGGCTCTTCAGGCAATTAATATGAACCAGGATAACTATTGGAAAGAGGCTTTGAAAATGATATATCTTTTAGAGGAATTCAATGAAAACCATGGACTGTGCCCACCACCCATTCTTAGTGTACGTGGGCACATTTTTACATGAAGTATTTTATCTTTGGGATGGTTCATGTCAAACCAACAAACAAGTTGTGCGAAAATTGCACAAAGGGTTCTGGCTACTCTACTGTAGGTCTGCTTCCAATACAGGCATGTAGATTTATTTGATAGGATTTTTCACATCATTAGAGGTGACATAAGCAAGGCTTCTAGTGGGTTTAAAATTGCGCAATATGAGGCTCGCCTTGAGGCCCGCCTTTGCGCAATTCCAGTAAAAAACGCCTCGATGCTTACGCCTCGAATTTTTTTATGAGGCTTGCGTCTCAACTTGGTTGAGGCCCGCCTCGCTTCACTGCATCAGGCTTACGCCTCACGCTATATATATTAAAACTTTCATAAATCTTGAAGTAAATGCCCAATATTGGACTCTATAGGAGAGGAGGAAGGGGAGAGAGCAGTTCATCATAATGATGATTTAAATGAAGAACCCTTAATAATGACAGTGCTGATGACTTATGAGTTTTTATGTGACATATCATTGTTATTTATTTTTAGAAATTAGAATTATATCCTCATGAAAAGAATACTGGGATTTGGGAAAGATAGAATTTTGAGTTGAACTACATTTCATGTTGTCTTATTATTTGGATATTTTGATTTCACTCATATCTTATGCTTTTTTATGTTTTATATTATTCACTCATTACTCATTAGTATATAAAAAATTTATCATCTTATGTTTACGCAATCTTTGATTTTGAGGCTTACGCCTTAAAACGCCTTGAGGCTTACGCCTCGCCTCACAAATGAAAAACGCCTCAATACCCGAATACGCAATTTTAAACATTGGAATCAACCTAAGTGAGGATATCTTTGCAGGATTCAACTCGACATAAAGTCAAGAAAATACCACCCACTATGAGTATATTCAGGTTGGGAAGGGTCGTGATGTTGGACTCAACCAAATATCCCTATTTGAAGCAAAGGTTGCCTATAGCAATGGAGAACAAATACTTACCAAAGATATCTATCACCTGGGCCACCAATTTGACTTCTTCTGCATGCTTTCTTACTACTTCAAGACTGTAGGGTTCTATGTAAGCTCAATGATGGTTGTTATCATAGTCCACCTTTTCCTCTATGGCAAATCTTACATGTCATAAACTGGGCTTGAGTATGCCATTATGAAGCAGATATTGATGAGAGGAAATAATCCTCTAAAGGCTGCTAAGGCATCTTAATCTACCGTCCAACTTAGTCTATTGATGGCCTTACTCATGGTTATAGAGATTGGGCTGAAAAGGAGATTCAGAACTGCATTGGTCCACATAATCATCATGCAACTTCAATAGTACTTGGTGTTCTTTACATTCTTGCTTGGAATAAATTTCCCATTACTTTGGACGAACTAGGGGTGTAAGTGAGCCGAGCCGACTCAAGCTCGAATCGTTAACAAGCTCGTGAGCCGAGCTTATCGAGCCACGAGATCCGCATCATAGAAATGCAAGCAATTTGCATTTCCAGTGACTCCAAACTTAGAGATCCGCATCACAAACAGTGATTAAAATTTAGGCACCAATCATCACAAAAGAAAAGGCAGCAAATTCAGAGTGAATTCTTTATATTAACGATCAGGATGAAACAAATGTAAATAAACAGAAAATTTTATTAAACTTTAGCTTAAAAAAACTGCACCATATAATTCACCAACATCTGACAGAACTGAGATGCTCCCTCTACGGTCTGAGACAACAGCAGTGTCCATATCTAGCAGAGTACAGTCAGCAACCAATCTCTGAACTGGGTCAGAATAGAGCTGTTCCAATTTCCTAAGATCCTGTGTAAATAGAATCAGATGGGCTGAAAATATCATAATAATGTGCCATGCACCTACAATAATTAAACAAAACAATAAAAATAATTGATGCGAATTCAGTTTTAGAGGGGCACCGTACATCTGTATAGGAGTAGAAAAGGATGCCATCACGACAATCACCAACAGCAATTCTAGTGAAACATGTAGTCAAACAAGTTATGGTAAAGCGTGTTTTGGTCATGGAATGCCTTCTCAGTCGCAGAGGATTTTCAGTGACAAAGCAGAAGACATTCAACTGTACAAAAGTTGCTCATTAGTGAATGACTATCAGGAACAATTTTTTATGTTCTTACATTTAATTTGAAAATAGATGCAACTTTAAAATGTTAAAAACATCATTCTAAAGTACTAGTAAACTTTAATAGATAAACTTATTCCACCACAATACATGATGCAGAAGTGAAAACTTACAATAAAAGGAAAAAAAAAAGTGAAAACTTACAATATTACCAGAGGACGCCAATAGATAACGATTTAGAAATGGGCAGACAGCAAGAACAGCACCAGACAATTGATTCTGATAAATTACCCTTAACAACCCAGCCTCCGTTTCTTCAATTTTAACTCCATCACTACTACAATCATCTGGACTGCTGCCAACACTGTTGCATGATAACTTTTCAGTTGAATGTCCAACAACTTCATGCAGAGGCGAAGAAATCCGAGAAGGTGATGAGAAATTAGACTGATAGGTACTGCTTTCAGAGGTATTTTGTGCATTTCCCAAGCTTAATATGATAAGCCTTCCCTTTGTACTGTAGCATTGTGTGCAAAATAATCACATCAGTAATGAAATAAAAATTTATAAAATCAGTTGATGACAAGATTCGTGAAAAAAAGTAAATAATGTAATTCCAATTCTACATAAATTTGTAAAGATAATTCTTAAGTTTTTTTAGTGCAGTTGAAATAAATGTTTTTTCATATATAAAGCAAGGAAGAAAAATAAAATAAAATCTTCAGAGAAAAGGTAAACCTAATTTCTGGTTTATTTATGGCCATTTTTGTCCAAGGCTCTAGTTTGTCCAATTTAGTTTTTGACTCATCAAAATTTATCCTAAATAGCCCCCTGACTCAAATTGATCCAAAATAATCCAATTAAGGGATTATTTTAGTCACATTTGAGAAGTCAAAGAACTAAAACATATTTATAGTTTAGTACTAAAGTTGCTCCATACAAATAGTTAGTGAACATTTTGATCTTTTCTCATAATCTTCAGGATCCTGCACAGAGTTCAGAACACAAAAAAATTCAATTGCTTTCAATTTAAATCTGCACACACATTAGTAAGCTCGCTACAAGAAGGCATGAAGAACACCCGGAGGCATACCTTTCAGCTTCACCGCTGGGCATGATAGTCCGACCAGGACACTGACTAGTCCCAACAACTAATAGATGCTGATATCCTACTTTCATTATTTGCATACATTTTGCCGTTTCACCAAGCTCGCATGGGAACTTTGATATCACAACTCCACTAAAAGGATCCACACGGCATATATCTGATGAGAATGGAGTATCCCTAAGTCCCGTCCTCAATATTAGCAATGTCTTACTTTCTTTATGGTATAATACCTTCCGTGGAGTTCCTTCAATTGAGAACTTACGAACATTAATTCTCTTGTGATGACCCAGTTCAAGCTGCAGAATTTGGGTTTGCAGGATGGTGAAAATAAATATGACACATTAAAAACAACAAGAAAAAAAGCAAATATTTTCATAAATAAAACAGTAAAATAGTATAATAGGGACAAACAAACTAAGAGGACTACTCCAACAACATGGAAAAACACCATTAGGAGAATCGAAGCTCCCTTAGTTAAAAAGCACCAGTTTTGAGAAATCAATTCTTCTCTCTACTGTTAGGCCCATGATTAGTGTTACTTTACACCACGACTGAAACTATCCACAATACTCACCGCAGCATATTGCAACTCATTCAGTATTCAAAATCACTCATATAGTTCTAAATCTTGACTAAATCTTTCCATCATGGATAATACCACACCATCATGGCACATTGGCACTACATAAGTAAAGATTGTATTCCGATAGAGTAGTCACGCAAAAGGCGCCAAGTTTCACCTAGTTATAGCCAGGCAATTCTATCATAATTCAGCTGCGGACAAGTTTTCACCCTTCATTGTGGTAGATGTCATAGTATCACACAAAAAAAAAATCAAACTCAATCATTAAAATGTGCAAAAAAGGATAGATCTAATCAAGCATATAATATAATGACTTTAAATTTTGCAATTTGAGGCACACTTCAACGCTTTTTGGATAATTTTGCCTTGAGGCATGCGCCTCATGGACTTTTGTGTGAGGCATGTCTCATATATATGGTGGGGCGCGCCTCACCAAAAGATGTATAAGTCGCGCGCCTCATATTATTTAGGGAAAGGATATTTTTTAGCAAAAATATTAAAATAATATTACTCCAAATTATAACCTATTTATTATTTCTCCCACACATCTCACGCAATCTCATGCCTCTCTTGCTCTCGATCTCATGCAAAGCCAACCCCCTGTCTGTTCTCATGTTTCCGCTGACTATCCTCTTCCTTGTCGCCATCAAACGCCTCCTATCTAGCTTGTTGCAACCATGTCCTGCTTACCAAGACATCTTCCACAACAAGGACCACATCTCCTCTTCCAATAGGTCTAACACAAGCCAGGATGAAATAAGAAAAAATGTTCTGTAAAATATTGGAGTTGTAATCATTGTTGTTTAAAACTTTAATTAATATTAGTATTGATTATTATTGATTAGGGACTAGAAAGATAATTGAGATGGAAGATGAGGAGGAAGATTGGGAGAACATTGACATAACTAAGGATAAGGCAGAGGAGTAAGCAATTCATGATGATGATAATTCTAATGAAGATCCATTGAGTAATGAGAGTGCTGGGGACTTTTTGATTTTAGAAATTCTTAATCTAGTTGTTTGTTATGGTCTTTGATGTTGGATAGGAGTGGGGGAGAAATTATTTGCATTAAATTTATTTTGAATTGTTATGTTATTAGCTCTTTCATATCTTATCTTACTTTGATGTTTGTATAACACTTCTAATTTCATGTTTTGGTATTAAGATGTTAATATTTTATTTGTTAATTTATGCAATTTATTAGTTCTTATAATGTTAGGATGTTAACATATTACTTCTAGCTTCATAACTTGATATTAGTATAATAATTCTAATTTTACGTAATTTTTTTATTCTAAATCTTATGTCTTGTCTCGCGGACAAAAATTTCCTCAATACCTAATTGCACAATTTTAAACCTTGTATAGAATATTATGCTGCCACTTTAATATGACTTGCGATTTACAAGTGGAAAATTTTCAGCCTCTCCATATAAAATTGTGTTAATATCTTTCAAGTTTCACTGCCATTGGAAGACCTCTAATCACTCAAAGAACCCAACTCTAGTCCTTCCCCCATGCTGAAGCAATATGGTTTCCGCAAAGAAAACTAGGACCTCAAGCCCACTTTAGTATCAGAAGGTGCAGATCATAATTGTGAAGCGGCAGTAAGATAACACAAAAAATACTGCCAAAACCATTATCTTCTTCCTTCATTTTTTGATAAAATCATCACTACATTGGCAGCAACAGAAAACACTCCCTTTCATTTCCCAGTAAGGAAGAGGTCGATAACAAAAAGCTCTTCAAAAGTTCAGAACTAAGCCCTCTAAAGCCCACGCAGCCCAGTCACACCACACAACACACTTTCCTCACATACCAACTTGATCTTCGCTAGCTCCATCAACCCCTTCATCTCAACCAAAGATGCCATCCCTGATCACCACCCAAGCAGCCATGTGTTCGGGCGAGGTATCAAATGGGAAACCACCATGCACCAACATGAAGAAAAAAAAGACAAATCATTAGTCTTATCATAGTAACAGAGAATAAAAGGAAGAAACAATATATAATTCAAAATCAATACAAAAGATGAAGGCAAAAATATTAGCATTGTGGCATGCCAACATGCAAAACATGGAAAAGAGGATGAGTTTTGCATTTGAAATGCAGCCCCACTTGTAATAGCACACTAGCATATCAGCCACATTGTGAGCTTTCAAGTTAGCTCCACAAGCAACAGCAGCCTAATCCCTTTTGCAATCTCCATGTAGATTCCAACTCATATTTCCTTGCTGTCAAACACTAGGCTATGAGGGGCTTGCTCTATGCAGCAGTGAGGAGGAGATTCCAATGGTACTTCCCCACATATTCACAAGGATAAGACATAAACGACTATTCAACATGAACCATATTCATAAAAATAATATATCCAAGTCAAAAACAAAAAATTGACAGCATAAAGAACAGACTTTATGAAGTGTGAAGGAAAAAAAAAATTTTATATGCTGAAAATAGCTATTGGCAACTTTTAAAAGTGCAAGAAGGGGGTGACAGGGCTGACGCTTTCATAGCAAAGAAACTGAACGACATGCAAGTAAAACAGCAGTACTAAATAAAACATCAAGGATGTTTAAAAACAAAGATATAGAGAATAGGCTTATAAAGTCTCATAGGATACGTGAAAGCTAGGAGATTTGGACTCACATAATAGTAGATGAATTTACATATAGAATATAAATTATAGGAAGCTTTTCTCTTATTTAAAGTGCTTCAAATGTAAATATTTAACTACCATTTTTTATGAAACATACAGAGAGTTTGCTATCGCTGACAAATTTCATCATTTAAATTCAACAACTAACAAATATTTAAAATCTTATCAATAATATAAACATTGGATGATTAAGAGTTTGAATTGACGAAACTACAAGCCCTTTATAAGATAAATGGACATATAGACGACAGCTTAAATGAATGGTAGAATTCTCTTTCTCAGAAAAAATATTGAGATTCTTTTGCAGAAGAATACCGAGCTACTTTTCATAGTAGCATAGATAAACTCACCGATGAAAACAACTTATGCAACCTTCTAGAAAAAAGATCTAGCATGTATTTCTATATCATTCATGCACATCAGATCGGTGATGACATTGGACAATTTGAACACCTGAAACTAAGAAAATTTCCAAGAATAAATATCCCAAGGCATTGGGATTAGCAATCATCATGTTTATAACTTTGAATAGCAAGAAACCTATCAAACCAAATTTCTGCATTATCATTCTCGTATTCCTCCATCCACACACAGGCTCTCATCATCTTAGCTTCAAAGGCATAACAACTTCCATAAATATCATTATTTCTGCATTTTCAAATTTTCATCTATGTAGCTCACACTAAACCAAAGAAATAAGATATTAAATTTGTTTCAAATTAAACATTCAGAATCCAAGATAGTCATGATAAATGATTCAATAACTAAAAGAATGCTGCTCAGCATGCTTGAAACCTTAATTATAAATATCAAATGCGTGCTCAAGTCCCAGTTAAAATATCAAATTTCAGAATAAAAGATATTTACGTCATTCATAAAACTCATATATGCTAGTAAAACACGATATTGCAGCTTCTAGCACTTGAAAGTTTACAACTGACTGTTTGGTTAAATGTCATTTAGATTAATATTATCATCAAATAACAATTTTATTCACATAACAATGTTATCTTCATATTAAGTGTTTGGTTTAATATTATCTCACTTAAAAAATGAGAAGCTACATAGAATAATTAATGGTGATTATTTTTTTTTTCTTTTTTTCTTTCTTTTAAAGATCAAGACAGATATCTAGATGGCATCAAATTTTGCCGCTATCTAGGTTACAGTTTAATCTTGAATACTAATGCTACACAGATTATATCAATGTAATCGACAACATCAAAACTAACAATGCTTATTGTTAAATCTCAGCCGCTCTCTCTAGAAGAGAGCCCACAACAACAAATCCGGATCCGTGGGAAGCCCGCCTAGATCACGCCTAAATCACGATGACTTCTTTCCATAGTTAGGTAGCTGATTTAGGAAGGAATATATGATTTTGCAGTTATTTGTTTATTTATTAAGATATCTTGTATAAATCTATAAATAGGGAAGAAATTGTGTAATAATATATGATTTTTCCCTCTCAAATTTCTAATTTCAACATGGCATCAGAGCCATGAAAGAAGTGAAGAGGAAACCATCGGGATGGAATCTGTGAGGGAAGGACGGAACCAAGCAAACCTCCTGCGAGCGGGACGAAGCCAAAAGGATGGGACGAGCGAACCTCCTGTGTACACGCACGAGACGGAGCCTCCTGCTCGCAAGCCACCTCACGCGTGTAGAAGAAGAGGCCGAAGCCCCCCCCCCCCCCCCCCCCCCCCCCCCCCCCCCCCCCCTTTTCTTATCCGGGCAAAACGAGGTCGTGAGACCAAATCTGGCTTGATACCTATTCTACTAAATCCCTATTTACTCACTTAAATAGGCCTTCATTGCTTAATTGTTGATATAATTACAAGATAATCCTATTCTCTCACATAAAATCGTCCTTCATTACTGATATAATTAGAGATAATCTTTATTACTATATATTGTTGTGACACCATGATATCGGAAGAAAATTCATCCCAGAGCTTTGATCAATTTGAAGATTCTATGGTACACCAAGAACGAGGTGATCTCCAAAGCATGCAACCTTCTTATCGCCTAAACGGGAAGAATTATCTAAAGTAGTCTCAATTTGTGAAGACCTACTTAAAAGGAAAAGGAAAAATACACAACCTTCTTGGAGGAGGACCAAAAGGAGGAGATCCTAATTTTCGTGCACGGGATGAAGCGGACTCCATGATTATGTCATGGTTGTGGAATTCCATGACTCCAGAAATTAGTGATACGTTTATGTTCCTTTCCACTGCAAAGGATATATGGGATGCCGCCAGACAAACTTTTTCAAAAGCTTGAGATGTTGCTCAAATCTTTGAAATTAAGATCAAAGTAGGAATCACAAAATAAGGAAGCAAGACCGTAACAGAGTATGCCACTCTTCTACAAAACCTATGGAAATAACTTAATCACAACATATGCATAGAAACCTGATGTAGGAAAGGGGGGGGGGGGGGGGGGGGGGGGGCGGGGCGGGGGGCGGGGGGGAAAACATCTTGAGTCTTTGGGTTACTTGTTGCCTCTCGGTTTGGGTCTTGGCTGCTCTCAGATTGGGTCTTGGCTGGTTTGGTTTTGAGCTGAAATCTTGGGATCTTATTGGTTCTAGCTCATTATTGTTTGAGAAGATGTTTTAGCTCATTAATTGGAAGAGTAATTGCACTTGATAGCTCATTAATGGAGTGATTTCTTACCTCTTCCCCTTCTTGTGTCCCCTCGGTTTTCTCCTTGTGCTGTTTCCGTGACTTGTTGTTGGGTGCTAGTTCTAGTCCCCTGTGTTGGCTTTTCGGGTTTCTCCCTGGTTGTGTTCCTGTGGCTTCTCCTACCTGATTCCTGTGTTGTCTTTTGGATTTGTTTTGTGTTGACTGCTGGTCTTCCTCTTCCCCTTACCTGATTAGTTTGGTTGAAGGTTATGGTGGTTGTTTGGCTGCCCCTTTTTCTCCTATAAATATTAGGTGTTTTGTCTTAAAAAAGAGAGTTTATGATGTGATTTTTGGAGCCAAAAACATGCGGGATTTCTTGGAAAGCTTGCGAGCTTGTTCCATCCCTTCTCCTTCTTCTAGGAAAGCTTACGAGCTTGTCCTCCTTCGTCTCGGCTTCTTACCTCCTTCCTCTCTCCACAAGTTCGACGCCACCTGTATCTTTCGTCTCAAGTAAAGAAGAGCTCATTTAGGTTTTTATTATATAAGTTTGTTTGCGTCGTTTGTAAGCGTCAAAATTTGTAAGTCCTTTTATTTTATAAAAGTGAAGTTGTTTTTGGTTTATTTGTTGTATTTTGTCTAGTTTTTGGGAATTTTGTGTAATTTTCTTTTTATCCTAGGAAGAGTTTCTATTGCTTGCAAAAATTGGGGTTTTCTCCTAATTTTTGCTTGCATCAAAACCGGATGTCCAAAAGATGCTGCTATCCTGAAGAACTTTATTGAAAAAGATAGAGTTTATGATTTTCTTGTAGAACTGAATACAGAATTTGATCAAGTAACAGTCTAGATGTAAAACCCAAAAATAATGAATCTTGGCGTTGCAATGCGTTCCGACGCACTGCGACAAAAATAAGTGAATTTTCAACGTTCTCATAATGCGGCGAAATAAATTTTATAAAATTATACGCAAAATTTTGATCTTTTAGGTATAAAGAACTTATACTTAATTTCTTATGGGTTTAAAGTTAAAATCGACAAAGTTTATTTAAGTGCAAATTACTAAATAGCCCCCTTAGCGGCTTAGCTCTTAAGAGAAAGTATGGACTTAAGATACATGCATCATTTGAGCACTCCTCCCTCCCCACCATCCAAATAAACACCCAAGGGACCGAAATTTTCGGTCCCATCTTGTTTGTTTTGGGTGAATAGACGAGAGAATGGAAGAGAGGGAGAGGGCGGCGGCGACGACAGCGATTTCCGACAAGGTTTTGGAGGAAAACAAAGAGAAGAGTTTAAGGAAGAGATAGGGTAAGTTTCTAAACCTAGAAATCCTCATTTTCGCATAGATTTCTTTAGGAGAAATTTTTAGAATTTCTCAAAGACTTGGAATTTTTCAAGGAGAATGATAGGAAAAATTAGGGGAAGGATTTTAACCATGGAAATGAAAAATAAAATTAAATTTCATAGAAAGAAGAATAATATTAAAATAGAAAAGTAAAGATTAATGTTAAGGTAATATGAGTGATAATTAATGAAAATAATCCAATTGTTAAGGAGATTTAATGTCTAATATTAAGGAGGATAACGACAATGAAGATTAATGTAAGGATTAGAGCATGACTTAGAGTAAATATTTGACAATCATACTTACATTGTTTTTTTAGGGTTTCCAAGTGGGAGAGGAAAGGCATTGAGGGGAGGGGGGGACAACAAATTTCGTACATCCGTTGGGTAGGTAAATGTGATTCTTTTAATTTCAGATATTTCTGCTTTTTCAATTCTTTAGCATATGTCTTATGATATTTTGTGTTGAGCTTAGCATATTTTTAATGCAATGTAATTGATATATATATTGTGGAAAGCCTAATATACTTTTAAAGGCAATGTTGCAATGCACCTTACTCATGTGGAAAATGTAGATAGTTTAAAAAACGTTTTCTCCTTACTCATGTAAAAAATTTTCAGGAGAATCCGTTAATCAGTAATGACGGACAGACAGCCATTCACCTACCGTCGTAGGGAGACGACATGTAACAGGTTCTTTTGTTATTTTGATCTTTTGGTACTAGATTGACTTGTAGGATGGCTTGTGATAGTTGAATTTTTTTTTGGACATCTAAGTTTGTAAAGAACTATTATGTACATGTTTAATTATGAAAGAGAAATTGTTGTTTGGGATTTTTAGTAGCTCTTTCTTACCTTTGTTGGATGGTTAGTCTAATGTTATAAAGAAATGGTTTAAATTTTTCATCCTACTTTCGTTCCTGCCTAGTCTACCAAGCTTATCGGGCCAGGACGTGACAATAGATCCTTGGCAGAGAGGATACACCGTCATTAAATGAAACAATTTCTCTCATCCACATTGAAGAAAGTTGATGAGGTGTAATGTTGGAGCCAAAGGTTGTTGAAAGCTCAACAATGATGACCAGAGAAACACCATGAAAGGAAAAAGGTAAAGACTGCAATATTTAAAGACAAAGACTCTCTTTGGTGTAGTTATTGCAATAAATCAAGACATACGAAGGAGACATGCTAGAAGATACACGAACAGCCCCAAGAAGTGGAACCAAAGAAATGAGAAAAGGGATACATTATATGCCAACACTACAACAAGTCAGTCTAACCTAGAAACACAATCAGCTTCCAAAAACTCAATAAAAAATATATTAATAAACTAAGACAACACCTGCTATTCCTCGAAAAACCACCTACATCTTCCTCTCTTACACTTTCAGGTAAGAGGGAAATAAGACTGTAAATTTTTACCTTTAATGAACATGATGAGAAAGCTAACGGGATCTCTTAAGTTATTAATACATGAATCTTACCAAATGCAAACTGCTGTCAGCAACAAATAAAATTCCATTTGGGCAATCGAAAGAGGACACCGCGGTTACATGGGTAGCAGTTTGGAATGAGATCGATGTATAAACAATGCTGTGCCTTGCAACATGTAAAAGCCAGGGCATTTCACAGAGTACAACTACATCTGTATCAAGTGCATCCCGCAAAGGAACCAACACAACAGGAGCTGCACCAAGGCGTCGAATAGCAATCAACTCTAATTGAAAAGATCTGATGTTCCCACGGTTTTTCACAAAATAATAGGAAGAAGATAGAACTGATGTCTGAGACAACTCATACCGAAGCAGAATTCCATTTCTCAAGCCAGCAAGTACATAAAACCTATCAACTAACACAAGCCGAACATCTTCAGGGATGCAGCTACTTATAGGAGTTTCAAGCGGATCGTCTATTGAAATTTCCCCACTTGAAAGGATCCTAAAGTCTTGATCATGTGCCAAAAATATAACTTCAACAGATGGTGCGTGGGTACCAATCACAAAAGTTATGCAACGTCCATCTCCATTACAGACAGTTTCTTGATTATCTTTCTCGGCTAAATGAACAATTGATAACAGCTGTTCAAAGTTGATTTCTTGTTCGGGTATGGATATGCAAGAAACCTCATGCAGCAACTTCCAATGATGAATTTCATATAATTCATGTTGATATGCTGCTGCTAATGATCTTATGCCAAGAACAAACAAAAAGCAAGGACTAGAAGTAGATACAACAATCACATTATGGCCCACTGCACCTGAACTGATAGACATATAATCAGGGCACCAAGAGGTGCAAAATGGTATTAAGAGGGGGAAACCATTCACATGAGCAGCTGTAGTGGGCAAACACAGTCTCACGCCTGCCCTATGAATCTGAACCAGAAAACCATCGGACACCAAACCACATGCTAGAGTACAGACATCAGCCTGAAAACCAATGGCATCAGTAACATCAACGAAATTTAACCCAACTGAGAGAACTCTCGTCTCCTCAACAAAAGACACTACAAGAAATGAATGATAAGGATCACTCTTTTTCATCCTCAATGTCCAAGTTCCTGTTATTCCTTCATAATTTGGAGTAGTTTTCACAAGCTTATCCACACTTAAACCAGTTCGTATGACTCTCAATGATCCCACAGGACTCATGCCACAGCAGGAAAACATTTGATCTTGTTTTTCATCATGGTCATCAACAACAGCTAAATCCAAAATTGGTGCAATATTCTGAATGATGCTTTTGTACACGAGGCCTCCATCATCCAGCTTTAAAACAAAACCATCTCCCATTTCTATAAGTCCCATTACAAAACCACCCTTCAGCCATATAAGCTCCTTACAGGGCACACATCTGTAGAGGCAATCAGAGATATCAACTCTGATTCCTTCAATTGTTGAATGAATTTCAAGGATGTAAAGTTCCCCTACATCCAAACAAAGGACCAAATTTGCACTTGCTAACCCATCAGGTTCCCAACAACAGGCACATACATGCTTGGAAGTTGAAGTTGTTTCTATACCATTGTCAATATTCATGGGATCATCTTTGGCCATAGCAGCTGCTGAATCACTCAATTCCAGCAATGCACAAACAGCCACATTAGACATTCCTTCATCATCAATATCCATACTTCTAGAAGACTCATGAAAAGAACCCGGTTCTTCAATTATACTAGGTAAGCCAAAGTTTATTCTTTGAACACATTGTATAGAATATGGGTCTCTAAAATCCATTAGGAGAGCATCACCTATCCTAAACACAACTGCAAATCCAGAAAGATGAGGAACAGCAGATATATTAAGGGCCAATGGCCCAATTTCAGCTTCAGGGTATGATGAAATAAATTGAATAGCACGTGTTCTTATGTTACACCCAAACAGCAACAATTCATTCCTTAATCTTGCTTTCCTGGAATTGATTACAACTATCAGCAGTAGCAAGCTTAAATTTCAAGAAACAACAAGGACAGCAGCTATGATCTAGATGATCAAATTGGAATATCTCAAACCAAATATTAGGAAATTTAAAAAAACCTATGCATTATAGTGGCCAGTATTGGATAATATCCCGTGCTTGAACAATCAGTGCCATGAGAAACAAAGCACATGCTCCAAATTGTACCACGAACGTTTGTCCTCATAGCATCCTTTATAAGACTTGTTTCTCCTTTGTATTCTGGTGGATAGAACATTTTCTGAAATTAGGACATAGAATATCTTCAAAATCTAAAAATAATATTAACGAATTAAACAAGCCTTATGTAAGCAATAGCTACAATAAAAGCATCACCTCATCAATCATGTTGTCTCCAACAGATGTGGACATAGAAAACAAAGCAAATTGGTCTTCAAATGCGCTAGCTGCAATAAAACATCCACTGCAAAGGAAAAGGTTTAAGATTTTAAAAAATAAAAATTTTAACTGAAACATAAGATGCGGTAAAGACAAGTTGGGCTATCAGAGAAAATCCTGAAATTTTTTTTATCAAATCAAGTTATTAAATAACAATCTCAAGTCATCTACAAAATAAGTTCTAACACAACTTAACATGGGAACCTCCATTCGCATCTAACTTGAGGCTTTTTTAATCATAAATCATCTCAGCTTGTACCACTGAGAAAATCATATGCCTCCAGACAAATAACAAGACTTATGACTCCAAATAAAACACTTAGCATGATTATTTGACCAACCAAAGCCAAGTAAGCAAAGACCCTATAATAGTAGCCCATTTATTGTTGAACTAAAACTAGACATATATCAACTAATCCATGACCAACACCAAAACATAGGTAAGTTCCTAGTCAGTTTCTAAATAAAAATCCACATTACAAAGAAAAATATGAATTTCCAGAACTAGGTCATACCATGATTATATGACCAATCAAAGCCAAGTAAGCAAAGACCCTATAATAGTAGCCCATTTATTGTTGAACTAAAACTAGACATACATCAACTAATCCATGACCAAACACCAAAACATAGGTAAGTTCCTAGTCAGTTTCTAAATAAAAATATAAATTAAAAAAAATATATATGAATTTCCAGAACTAGGTCATATCTATTCAAGAGCACTATCAACGGATGGTGGATTCAGATTTGTCCCTTTAGACAAACATTCACCCCAGGTCTACAAGATCCCCTTGGATGAAGCGACCCTTGGCTGCCGACAAAAATCTTTCTGTCAGGTTGGGTCGACTACATCCTCTGACTAAGTAGAGCAGGGATCACGATGGCCCGAGACGACGGAACCATGGGATCTTGATCGGGTCCATCATCCATTCCCTCACCATCCACTTTAAGTGCAAGATGGTGTAATTTCAAATTTTAAATATCAAATCTTCAAACTCTCCAATTTTCCAACATTTTATGCTCATTGCTACTACTATATGCCAGATAACACGTATCTTTATGTATCTGATTGACGACTAGCCTTAATCGAAAGCTCTCTCTCGTGATCGGGATGGGTAATTAACTATAGGGGCTTGCGCCTATAGGAAAACAGAACTTAGATTATAAAGTCCTCGCAAAATGAGGGCGAAATCTCTGGGGTAGTGTCTTATCTATAAACCCATCAACCTACCTAAAATTTACCCCGGAACTTATTCCGTTAAAACTCCATCGCCAAGGAAAAGCAAAACAAGTGCGGGCGGAGGCCGGGGCCGAATTTTCGGAGCCCACATTGACGGATGCAATCTGATTTTGAAAATTTGAAATATTTTCCTCAAAATCTGATCTGAGTTGCCCAAGTTCTCCCTCTAAGACTTCAACCTTCCTTCCGACCATTGATATCCCTTAGATCAACGTGCTCTAATACCAATTTGATAGAAAATAGCAACCAATAATACAAAATTTTGCTAAATTTCAGAGAAATTCAACAAAACATAGCAGATTTTAAAAAAATGCAGAAAATCTGAGAGAAAATACTTGAAATTCACTAACAAAAGAAAAAAATAGCACAAGATACACAGATCTTCAATTAGAAAGGAAGAACCAACTCTCTAAATCTCTAGCCCAATACCAAAGCCCAAGCAACAAACATGAGATCCCAAAATCAAATTCAAGATAAACCTAACCCTAGCAAGACAAGACTAATTAAAGCAAAAGGACAAAAGTTTAATAAATAAACAGCCCATAATTTAAATTTTCTGTCCAATACAATGCTTAACTATTAAGTGGGCCCCATCTACTTAGCCGCCCCCCTCTCTCCACAGAAGAAAAAAAATAGAACAAGATACACGGATCTTCAATTAGAGAGAAAGAACCAACTCTCTAAATCTCTAACCAAAGATTAATGCCCAAGCAACAAACATGAGATCCCAAATTCAAATTTAAGATAACCCTAACCCTAGCAAGACAAGACTAATTAAAACAAAAGGACAAAAGTTTAATCCCTAAACAACCCCTAATTTAAAATTTACCTCCAATACAATGCTTAATTATTGAGTGGGCCCCATCTACTTAGCCGCCCCCCTCTCTCTATGGTTCCGCCCCCCCTTAGGCCCTCTCGCCTATCGACAAGAACAGGTCCATTAGGGGCCAGTTCAGCTGGTTCAGTCAGCCCCCCTTGGGCCAGCCTAATAAAATTGTCCAAATATTAAGGAGGAAGAGGAAGTAAATTGTCTGAATTTTCATTTAAGTCCAATTTAAATTTAGAAAAGAAATAAATGCATAAATTTTAGTTTTGATTGAAATAGTAGTATATGATTATGCAGTAGGAATAATTTCCATTGGTGAAAATCTCGGCTAAACAAAGAAGAACAATTTTCAAGTAAATAATAAAAACTATTTAAATATAATGTTTGATTATCATCAAGGAGTTCAGAAATTTGAATTGATAATGTGAAGTGTCCGACGTTGTATTAGTGACATTTATTGTTATTTTTGGATAGTGAAATACAGTAAAAGTTCTTGAAAGAAGTTAAGAGTTATATTAAGGAAGGCTATTTTAAAACTCGAACATTTGGAAGAAATTGAAGCACAAAAATAATTAGAATGAGTAATTACAATAATTTTATAGTAATTAAAATTTACTTTCATTTCATTGCAATTATTGAATATCTTAGCATATATGTGGACTGAATGTTTAATGTGTAAGATGAATCAAATTAAGGAAATCAAAGTGGGTGGTTACAACTATATATTTTTTATATATAGTAGTTATATTCTTTCATTTTGTTTCAATAAAATAATTTCATATAGTATCATATATTTATACTTATTAAATTAGAAAGCATATACTTCGCATCTTATAGAAGAATAGTGACAAATCAATGTTTCAAAATGTTATATATAAATATAGAAACAATTTATACTAAATGATTTGTATTTGCAAGGAAAAAGGAAAAGAATAAGATAATTTATAATATATAAATGAAAATATTAAAAAAGGAAAAGGAATATGCATGCAAATACCGGACTTCACCCATTTATGGTACTGGTCGGGGATGAAGCGTACCCGTGCATGCTAAATGGAAAATAAAATGTGAACGTTATAACAACTAAAAGTAAGTTACGATCCGGCCCGGAGGCTCAAATTAACGAGGCAGGAACATATGGTTGGACGACAAATTAGATTTTCAATTAATAAATCTATCTCCAATATACTGAAAGAGCCACTAAACTTCAAAAATATAAATTGATATAAAATGGCTTAAATACCTTTCTTCCGATGCACCATGCTTACGATATACATTTTCACTTATTCTGCCCATTTTGATTATATTGAATTATACTTGAAAATGTTAGAACAACTAAAAGCAAGCTACATATCAGTGAGTAAAACATGCTTCTAATCTACATTAAAAAAGGTAATATATATATATATATATATATACACACAGGCACACAGACACGGACACGCATACTTTTAAGAATTCAATGACATGTATGTGAATCCCCCTTATAAATATTGTTTCTTTTCTTTCCTACTTCTCATGGTTTTTGCCATATGCTTCAGTTTGCTGGGGCTGCAGTGGTATTGAAAGAAGGATCAATTGCTTCCCTATCAATTAAAATACCATGGAAGCTGCAGAACTGTCAGATAGAACTTGAAGAACTTGAACTTGTGTTTGCTCCATTCACGGGAAGCAAGATTCAGGTGTCTAGCAGCTGTTTGGAGTCAAGTAGCGGTCATAAACAACAGATGAGCCTTGGCCCAGATGAAAATGGACCGAAGATCAGCCGAGAGAGCTATGGATCAGTTTCTCTAGATATTCATGAAGGAGTTAAGACAATCGCTAAAATTGTGAAATGGCTTCTTACTAGCTTTCATGTAAGGTTAAAAAATTTATTAATATGTCATTTATCACTAATTATTTAATTCCTTATTTGGATAATTAATTTCCTAATTAGCATTTTGAATTAAAATTCATATTTTATTTAAATATCTTAATATCTCAAACTTACTCTCTCTAATTATTTTCTTTTAAAATCTTAAATTTAAAATTGATTATTATTATTTCTATATTTGATAAAATATCTCATTCCTATACAATTTATCTCACCAAAACTTCCCTTCCCTTCCTTAATTCTTTCTTCCTCCACCATCGAACCAAAGTTTATATCACTTGGATTCTTCTAACATAAAAATAAATAAATAAATAAAAATATATATTTTCTTATTATTTCTTCAACTAAATAAATGAGAAATGATTAAATCACTTATTTTTCTTTAAGAAGGAATTCAAAAAAAAATTCAAAATTTTCTTCTCTTTTTTATATTTCCCTTTAATATAGCTTATCTTTTTTTAGGATTAATCACAGAAGAAGAAAATGTCAAAAAAAAAAAAGAACTTGTAAACTTACTTTCATCTTCTTCCTCCAAGCCTCCTCTCACAATAGAACATCGTTCTCTACCGTTTTCTTCTACAAGAATGAATGAAACAAATATTTCTCACATGAGGAGTTGTTATTTTTCACTCTCCCACGCGTTTATCTATTAACACAACAAAAAAATCTATCAAATAGACGTATACACGCCCGCAATGACTACTCAGGTCGCGTTTCTATGCTCGGTTCCGCTCTGTGCTATAGTACAGCGCCGATTTTGCTGAATAGAGTTGGTTCTGCTGAACCTGATAAATCTGGTTCTCACATTTATTATGAAAACTCAGATTATTAAATAGAAATTTCAAGTAAATCTTCTGAGAAATAAATGGTTGAAAGAGAAGAATTCGCCTACAAAAGAAGATCAAATGATAATAGATAAGAACTAGTTTGTTATATGTTTAAACTAAAAAATTTGTTATAGTTGCTCTTCAATTATATGTTGGATATTAGTCTGTTAAGTATTTTATGTTATTTTATGTTATTAAACGAACTATATTAATTGTCCATCCATTTGTTCCTGCCTCATTAATTCGAGTCTCCGGGCCGTGTCGTGACATCTTATAAACAAAAGATGTCACGGTATAAGCCGAGAACTTTGACAACGACGGAAATGGCATGGAATCTATTTATATCAAACTAAGAATTCATGTCTAACATGCATCCAAGTTAAGTCTCCTTATGTGCAGAAAAAATTCAAAAAAGATGCTTGTACTATATACCCAAAGAGACATGCTTTCGCACATTTTTAGAAACTCTTTATAAGGTGAGATCAACCTATTAATTGTTGTCAATGGCTTATTAAGGTTCAAATGCTCGAACATGTTTAGCTACTATGCAAATAGATGTCACATCTATTATTTGGCAGAAAAAACCCTAGTTTTTAACAATTTTTGCTTGATTTAGCACATTTTGAAGGACTATGGTCCATGCCGAAACTCAAGATCATCTTATAACGTTTCCAATAGGTTTTTGTAGGTGTAATGAACGCTACCATTATATTTTTTTTCAATTCTTATGACAACTTGGTATTTAAAATCCTAGAAGATAAGGGCAAGGGAAAAATGGAGGCTTATTAATAAATTGTAGCGACTCAGACGAGCAAGGCAGTAAAGAGGGAAAATAAAGGCTAGATTGTCAGAGGGTAGAGTAAAACACTGAGGCCGGAGGCATGGGAGCTTGGCACAAAGACTTCTAATTGTCTCTACATCTCTGTAATGCTCTCAAAGAGGTTGAGATTTTATTACACTAATCCAATCAAGAAAAGAAGGCTCACTGAAAATAGCAGTCAGCCAAAGACTCTAATTTCATTCATCTAAACATTCCAAAGGACACAATCCAGCTTTTTATAATAATAGCTGGAGCACAGAAAGAGGAATTAACTCCTTAAGATCCTTCAAAACTAAAAGTAAATACACATAATAGCATAAATAACATGCAAATAGAAGACATAAAAAGACACAAGATCGTGACACTAGACTGAGCATCAGTAGTGCTCAGGGAACATAATAATAGGAAGGCTAGCAATAGCAATGATTACAGCTTGAAGAACGCTTTAGTGGACTCCTGACTTAAAAAAAAAAACAATATATTCTACATTTCCGCAACAAAATCTTAGTCTTTTCGCATGGAATGATCAAGATGTGCAATAAAGTGATCTAAAGAGATCTTCCATGACCTGAAGCTTCATGCGGATCTAAAGAGATCTTCCATGACCTGAAGCTTCATGCGGACTGAAACTGTACCATCACATCCACAAAACTTTTTATTAGAAAAAAGAAAAAAGGATCAACATCCTGCATCCAGCAAGCATTTAAAGTAATAAATTTCCTGTTGGACACCATTAATGTACAAATATTTAAATAGAACAAATAGATTCAGAAGAAGAGATCAACTAGTTCCTTGACTTCACATATACCCATCCTGCTTGAGAAATAAACTCTTGACACCGATGGATTAATAAAACCTTTTGGGGGAGAATTACACCAACCAATATAACTGGAAGTAAAGAAAGAGTGCTGCAGTGATTAAGACGATAGTACAGGACATGAGTTATTAACTCAAAGAATGAAGTTGTAATCTTTCAAGCTCACTCAGCCAAGACAACCAAAACATTGGTATGTGATTCAGTTGAAGAAGAAAATGTTAGATACATCATTTTATTTTTTAATCATTACATGCAAAATAATATCATTTTTAGCAAGTTTGATAATTAAGAGGCAGCTATGATGACCTCAATAATTATATCAAAGTGTAATTATTATATACAGCGAACATAGTTGTGATTTTCATTAAAAAAAAGAGCAAATTTTTAAAGTACTTGCCGCAATAAGAGAACTCTTCTGTAATAGGGTATAAATCATCCAAAAAAAATATTATCAAAATAATTAACAACTTAAACTAAAACAACAATTGAGACTTACTCCGGGTCAACAGCCAGCATTCTTCCAACCTGATCAATCGAATTTCCTGGCTTGGACAATTGTATATGGTTCATCGCAAGGAACCTACAAGGTAACTAGAATTTAGCAGTTTAAAAATGTTAATTTTCCAAAATATCAAACTTTAATTCAACGGTCAATATGGAAAAAATAGTTACCTAAATAATAAGGATAAATTGCATTTATGTCCCCTGATTTTATATATACTGCACAATGGTTCCACACTTTTAACATGCACAATTTTGATACCTTTGTTTCAGGAAGAAATGTTTTGGCCCGCCTTCAGTCAATAAATTAGAAGGGTATTCTTATAATTATGAATTCTTACCATGAAAAAAAAATGCTTCACTACTTCTACAACCATCTACCTCCGCTAATTATTGAGTGCGTGTATGTTTTTTTATGATGTTATGTTATGAATTAATAGCATTTCTCTTAAATAATTTATTTTTCATATTTTTTCTTCATTTGATGGATTTATTTTATGGTTTATACATCTAAATATCTTAAGGCTTGCCTCTCATCTCACTAAAAGAAATGTCTCAATACATAATAGTGCAATTTTAAACCCAGCAACTATTAAGAAAAGAAACAAATCTAGAATCCAATCTTTATCTTTGAAATTTAGAATTAACTACACAGCTTAAAATGGGAAGCTGATGTCCAAAAATTGTTTTATTTTTCATGTCTGAATTGTTATTGTTCATGGGCTGTTAAGTTGTATAAAGAACAAAGTTGGGCACGAATTCAGGATTATTTCACATGGACCCCAATAACAAGATGGGTAAGAGAAAGTTCACTAAGTTTGCCAACTAGACATTGTGATGGACCGGACCGGCCGGTCCATCCTGCATCCGCACCGGCCCACCAGGGGCCGGTTCTCGCCTTTTACAGGCGGAGATATCGCCCGCCTGGGCGTTCGGCCGAAGGAGAGGGAGGAGGCGGGTGGGCCCAAAGGGCCCACCAAATGTAAGTGGGAGTTTGTTTTGTTTGCCCTAGGGATAATTAGGATATTTTGGGGGTTTCATGTGAGGGTTAAAGGGGAGTTTGGGCTGGTTTGAGAGGGATCTTGTTTTGGTGGCTGTTTTAGCTTTCTTCTTCTCTAGGGCTTGGGAGAAAGCTTCTCTTCTCGAATTGAGAGCATTGTATCCGTGGAAACTTGTAAGTCTTTTGATATTCAAGTTATTGAAGTGTTTGTGAGTGTTTTCATCCAAGAAATTTCGCATTTTTCCACCGTTTTTGGGCTGTTTTTCCTGGATTCCGAAAATTACAAACTAAGTCCCATCACATTGATATTTACCTTTATCAATGGATGCGTTGTTAATGGTGAGTCCAATCTTCTTTGTTGATGACAACTGGAGTTTTTGAAAGCTAACATTCAAACATTCTTGTTTCAAAAACTAGATGAAGAATATACTTTGAAAAATGACAATACCTTATTTTGATCATGTCACTTCCATACCAAGTATTTTAAATTTCGTAAGTATTTTACCACAAATTATCTTGCCAGTTTTAATCTAGTTAACTCTTCTTGAAGTTACTTGTCAATATAAAACCATCAACATACCTAATTGGAATCTTTTTTTGCTAAGCGATCACTTGATAAAAAAAATGTGATCAGCATATCACCCGGTGTACCTATATTTCTCAAAATATTTGGATAATCTATCAAAACAAGTATGAATGGATTGTTTGAAGTCTGCATACCTTATTGATGTTTCTTTGATTTTCAATATAGGCGGAATCCCTTCATATACTTCTTCCTCCTTCAGATTCACATTAAGAAAAACATTCTTAATGTCAAGCTGATGTAGAGACCAATCCAAACTTTTTGCAAAAGGAAGCGGAATTTGAATTTTGTTTAGTTTAACAATCAAATTGTTCATTTATAGCCAATGTTATATGATAAGGAGTACCCTTTTGCACAAGTTAATCTTTGCACACCCCCATCTACTTTATGTCTGATCATAAGGATTTTGTTAGGAAACACATCTTGAATTAGAAGAAAAGCTTGGCAGAAATTGAATTTCAGTAAGCTTCGAACGGTCGTCAAGAAAGATTTATGTGGAATCATGCACAAGAAACCTTTTTATTGATAATAATAAGAAGAAACAAACACGATACAATGGATCTTCAATTCGAGTGGAAGATTCGTCTCTCCAAATCCCTAGCCGACGGCTAGAGCCCAAACAAACCTAAAAGAAATCCAAAATTCAACAAAAACAAAAATAACCCTAACCCTAACGGCCTAACCTTTCCCATCTATTTAAAGCATACAAATATAATTCTTTAAAAAAACAAATATAATTCTAATTACTAAACACCCCCTCCCAAATTCAATTCCCTCCTAAACTGCCCCCTCCTCCTGAATTTTTTATTCAAATAATGGGCCCCACAAGGGGGGCTAGCGGCTGTTTGGTCAACGCAACTTTAAGAACACCCTATCCACCACTTCAAATTGGATGTCCTTCATGTGTCCATCCGGCTACTTCTTCATAATTTGTTGTGCTCTCAATAGGGGCCTCTTCAATTCCTTCAACACCCTATCTCTTTCCTCCAAGTACTGATCTACTGAAGAGACAGGTGTGCTACTCTGCCCAAAATGCACCAAGTGTGGAGGGTCCCTTGCGCACAACACTTTGAAAGAAGTCATATGGGAAGTCAAATGATATGAAGTGTTGTACCAATACTCTGCACATGCTAGCCACTTGGACCTCAGCCGAGGTGTCTATGAAGCAAAACACCGTAGGTAAGTCTCCAGGCTCCTGTTTACTACCACGGTCTGTCCGCCCGTCTAAGGGTGGTAAGAGGTGCTCCTCTTTAGAACTGTTCCCTGCAGCCTGAACAACTCTCTCTAGAAATGAAAGAGAAACAGCTTATCTCGATAAAAAACTATTGACTCTGGGATCTCAAGTAATCTAACCACCTCTCGGATGAATGTTGTCACCACTGTAACTGCCGTATAAAGGTGTTGTATGGGAATGAAATGAGCATATTTGTTCAACCTATCAACCGCCACTAGAATTATTGTAAACCCCTCAGATCGAGGTAGCCCATCTATGAAATCCATGGCGACCTCCACCCACACTCTATCTGGAAGATCCAGGGGTTGAAGTAATCCCCCTAGAGCCATAGCCATGTACTTATTTCTCTGGCATCTGATGCAATCAAAAATTTGGGAGAGGGACCCAAATTTTTTATCACAAAAACATACCCTTACTAAGATAATAAAAATTCAAATAACTCATAAAAATTAGACTAATTAGACAAATAAACTAAAACACCATTTTCATATTATAAAAGGACTTACAAACAACTTGAACACTTGCAATTAAAAGTAAAACTCAACTTGTGTTGACCCCCCCTTTGTCTACATCAGCATCTCACACCTAGTCATCTTCTCCATATCCTTATGCATCCCCTTCCAATAAAATTATGCTAACAATCTCATGTATGTCTTCTGCATAACAAAAAGAAAGCCCCTCGACAACGCTCCCATGAAACTCCTGCAGCAGGTGGAAACTCCTGCAGCAGGTGGGGAATATGAACTGAGGTCCGTGGCAGCACAAACCTCTCTTAGTACAACAGTCTCTCCCCTTAGAGAATAGCTAGGGTGGCTCCTTGCATCCTTCAGTAGATCCGCCCTAATCCCCCTTAGCTCCTCATCTCATACACTCTCCTCCTTAATAGCCCCCCAATCCAACATTAGTGGTATCGAAATGGCTACCTCTTGGAGCTCTCCTACATATTTAGATAAGGCATCAGTCGCCTTACTCTCTAACCATGGCCTATATTGGATCTCAAAGTCATAGCCCAACAACTTTGACAGCCACCTCTGATGTTTCTCAGTTACCATCCTCTACTCTAACAAGTACTTCAAGCTCCGTTGGTATGTCCTGACAATGAAATGTTGACCCAACAAGAAAGGCCATCACTTCTGAATAGCCAATACAATGGTCATCAATTCCCTCTCATAGAATGACTTCTGCCTAGCTCTGGTTGTCAACACCTGGCTGAAGTAGGCTATGGGTCTATGATTTTGCATGAGCACTTCCCCAATCCATATGTTGATGCATCAGTCTCTACCACGAATGTCTGGATGAAATCGAGTAGGGACAAGAATGGGATCATGGTCCTGGTTGTCTTCAATCTCTCAAAGGCCTGAGTGGTTGCCTCTCCTTACAAGAAGTTATCCTTCTTCAGCTGCCCTATTAGAGGTCAAACTATGGTGTTGCATCCCCTAATGAATCTCTTGTAGTACCCAGTTAATCCAAGGAAGCCCCTCAGCTCCCTCAAGTTCCAAAATAGAGACAATTCAGCATTGCCTCAATCTTTAGCCTGATCAGCAGCCAGCCCCTCCTGGGATACCACATGTACCAAGTATTTCACAATATCTGTGCAAAACAATACTTCTTCGGATTGGCACTTAGTTGATGCTCCTATAAAACCTCTAAGACCACCCTTAGATGCACAAAAAATCTCTTCATTGGACTTGTTGTACACCAAGATGTCATCAAAGAAAACTAAAATAAACTTCCTGAGATATAGTCGAAACACCTTGATCATGAAGAATTGGAAGGTAGCAAGGGCATTGGTGAGACCAAACGACATCACCAAGAATTCATAGTGTCCCTCTCGTGTCCTGAAAGCTGTCTTCGAAACATTCTCCTCTCACATCCGGATCTAATGGTATTCGGACTTCAGGTCCACCTTCGCGAACACCGCCGCTCCACAAAGCTCATCCAGCAACTCATTTATCATTGGAATAGGAAACTTGTCTGGCACAGTCTCCTTATTCAAAGTCCGGTAATCCACACAAAATCACCAACTTCCATCCTTCTTCATGACCAGTAGAACTGGTCTAGAAAAAAGGCTCACGCTCAACCTGATGATCCCTACTCCAATATCTCTCATATCAGCTTCTCAATCTCACCTTCTGGATCAAAGGGTAGCGTTAGGGTTTGGCACTAATTGGTGACACCCCTCTCTCAAAGTGATGGCATGCACCTATCCCCTTTGTGATTGCAATCCCTAAGGTGGTTAAAAAACCTCATTGAATTATTGTA